AAAACTAGTGTTCACTAAAAACAATATAAGGGAAAAACCTGAATTTGATAGGTACACATTTTATAGGAAACATCAAGGATCTTCTTGTCTGTGGGTGGGTCAGACTACCTACCCCTGGGGCCAGTCACTGATGGGGTGTGGACATTCAGCTTGACCGACGGGTCCCTTAAATACCCTGTCATTGTGGGCTCTACCCCCTGCCCCACCCATCTCCCGGACCTCCGTCTTACATGTAGTTGCTGCAATATTCGTCATCTGACACCATCAAGCTGTACACATCCGGCTGCTAAACGTGGTGGTGGGGGGGGGGGGGGGGGGTTAGTCAACAGATACTTTGTATGAGGGTACTTGGGGTAACTTACGGATACTTTGATTGGGAGGGGAAGGGGGACTGGAATTAACTTGATACCCTTGAACGGAAATTGAAAATTTTCCATTGATTGTATTTCGGGATCTAGCCTGAACAAACGGAGTTTGAGTTCCCTGTGGGTTTCACACGGGCCTTGTCGGGCAATCAGATATACAAGGGCCATCATTCATGTACAAGGGCCATGTCGGTCTATCAGGTACATAAGGACCGTGTCGGGCCATCAGTCATGTATAATGGCCATGTCGGACCAACAGTTATGATGTACAACGGCGTGTCGGTCTATCAGGTACATAAGGACCATGTCGGGCCATGATGTTTATAATCATTTTGCCGAGCTATCAGTCATGTGTAAGAGCCGTGTCTGAGCACAGGGTGTACAGTAAAGAGAATTTATCCCTCGTCTACACAAGCACCGTGCAAATAGTAATTTAAAACGAACCGGTCACGTGGTAACAACACAGCGATTATATCACACCTGCCCCCCCCCCCCCCCCTTCACTTGTTTGTATCATGGCGATCTGCCCCACCCATGCATTAAGGTCTAGTGTCAAACTTCCTGTATATATCAGGTTGCTTAAATCTTACACCTGCCAGGCCATGTAGTGCTTACACACACACAACCAGTGTTTACACACAAAAAAAACAGTGCCTACACACCTACAATAAGTGCTTACACACCAAAAACCAGTGCTTACACACCCATAACCAGTGCTTACACACAAAAACCAGTGCTTACACACCCACAGTGCGTACACATAAAAAACAAGTACTTACACACCAAAAACCAGTGCTTACACACACAACCAGTGCTTACACACCAAAAACAAGTACTTACACACCAAAAACCAGTGTTTACACACACCCACAACCAGTACTTACACACAAAAAAAACCCCAGTGCTTACACAACCACAACCGGTGCTTACACACAAAAACCAGTGCTTACACACCCACAACCAGTGCGTACACACCCACAACCAGTGCGTACACACCAAAAACAAGTACTTACACACCAAAAACCAGTGCTTACACACCCACAATAAGTGTTTACACACCAAAAACCAGTGCTTACACACCCACAATAAGTGTTTACACACCAAAAACTAGTGCTTACACACCCACCCCACAACTAGTGCTTTGCAACATCCACAACAAAACACCACATATGCACCACTCGTGCTTATAACACCCACAACCACACTACATATACTCTACTCGTGTTTATAACATCCACAACCAGCACTACATATACTCTACTCGTGCATATATCGATGCCGTTCTAACACTGAAGACAATCTTCGAAAAGTTTCACCTGCCAGTTTCACGCTTAGCTCATCAATTTTTTTTCTCTGAAGACCGACCCAGGCACCCGGAAACTTCCGTCAAGGCTGCACACGCCGGTAACGACCCCCCCCCTTCCCACCCAACCAATTAACTGGCGGTTTAGATTATTTTAAAAAAATGTCATTGTGTGTAGTTTGGCGTGGCGTCCATGAAACAGTTTAATCAAGTAGCTGTCGTGTGGCCTGCATTACCCGGCCCGTGTGCTCGGTCTAATGTGACACCATGTGATGAATTATCTCAATGTCTGCTCCACGCCTGCACAAAAAGGCTAAAAATATCTGTCGTCATTGTCTGACCTAATTTTCGCGCACAAAAAAGCCGTGTAGCCCCCCCCCCCCCCCCCTCCCGTTCTCTTTAATCTTTTGTTAAGTGAACTAAATTGATGTCATGTTTGCTGACACGGTGATTTGGTTGTGATAAGATTTTTTTCTTTCTTGTCTGAATCGTGTTATTGTAGGCTGTGTTCTCTCTAGAGCACCCTCTCCTCCCTCATTACCTAGTGGCTGGGACGTGTGCTGCCAATTGTTGTGCCGGGGGTCACTTTCCCTAGGTCTCAGACCTCTTTCCATAGGTCTCTCTCAGACCCCTTTCCCTAGGTCTCTCTCAGACCCCTTTCCCTAGGTCTCTCTCAGACCCCTTTCCCTAGGTCTCAGACCCCTTTCCCTAGGTCTCTCTCAGACCCCTTTCCATAGGTCTCTCTCAGACCCCTTTCCCTAGGTCTCTCTCAGACCCCTTTCCCTAGGTCTCTCTCAGACCCCTTTCCCTAGGTCTCAGACCTCTTTCCATAGGTCTCTCTCAGACCCCTTTCCCTAGGTCTCTCTCAGACCCCTTTCCCTAGGTCTCTCTCAGACCCCTTTCCCTAGGTCTCAGACCCCTTTCCCTAGGTCTCTCTCAGACCCCTTTCCATAGGTCTCTCTCAGACCCCTTTCCCTAGGTCTCTCTCAGACCCCTTTCCCTAGGTCTCTCTCAGACCCCTTTCCCTAGGTCTCAGACCCCTTTCCCTAGGTCTCTCTCAGACCCCTTTCCATAGGTCTCTCTCAGACCCCTTTCCCTAGGTCTCTCTCAGACCCCTTTCCCTAGGTCTCTCTCAGACCCATTTCCCTAGGTCTCTCTCAGACCCCTTTCCCTAGGTCTCTCTCAGACCCCTTTCCCTTGATCTCTCTCAGACCCCTTTCCCTAGGTCTCTCTCAGACCCCTTTCCTTAGGTCTCAGACCCCTTTCCCTAGGTCTCTCTCAGACCCCTTTCCCTAGGTCTCTCTCAGACCCCTTTCCCTAGGTCTCTCTCAGACCCCTTTCCCTAGGTCTCTCTCAGACCCCTTTCCCTAGGTCTCTCTCAGACCCCTTTCCTTAGGTCTCTCTCAGTCCCCTTTCCCTAGGTCTCTCTCAGACCCCTTTCCCTAGGTCTCTCTCAGACCCCTTTCCCTTGATCTCAGAATTATTTCCCTTGATCTTATACCCCTTTCCCTATGCCTCATACCACTTTCATTAAGTCACAGAGAACTTTTCTTAGGTCTCAGATCACTTCCCAGTGCTAGACTAATAAACAACAAGGTTTTTTTTAGAATAATTTGTGAGACATACCTATTGAAGCAGTGTGGTTATAGTTTTCTATATTTGCATTCAAACCGGCTATTGCTCTAACGTTTTAGTTAGATTTAGTATTTATTGAAGCGCATAACGCAAGATTCCCTGCTTTGTTACATCGGACTGTTATCTTTAAAACATTGTAGCGTTTGTTTTTGTAACTAGCTTACCATGTTTTACATGCTGCTAAAAGTTGTGACCATGTTTTTCTGCGTCGCAAGCCCAAGTCGTTACATCACATTGTTGTAATCTAAACAAACAAAAACACCCATTATACTGAACAGTCAAGATCTACTAGATCTAGATTAAATACGCTGACGGAGACATAGCAGCAGAATGTCTGGCAAGGAACAGTGCTGTACATTTGTAATGAAAAACACAGGGTGACGGAGGGGGTGGGATATAGTACGTGGTAGTCTTGTGTTTATAATAGGTGGGGTACAGTACATAGTAGCCCTGTAATTAAACAGAGTAGCTTACAGTATATAGTAGCCTTTTGTTTATAATAGGTGGCATACAGTACATAGTAGCATTGTGTTTAAAATTGGTGGAATACAGTACTTGGTAGCGTTGTGTTTAAACAGGGTAGCTTACAGTACGTAGAAGCCTTGTATTTATAGGTAGCATGCAGTATCTACATATCTACACGTAGCTACCATCTATCAGCTCTTGCTAACTTAAAACATCGAAAACTTTAAACACCAGAGGAAGAAGAAAATATTGAGTATGATAAAACCAGATATTTTTGTTTTCCTGTTAGTTTCTCTTCTCTCCCCCCCCCCCCCCAGAAAACTTATCGGTTTTACCTTCCTAGCCGCATAACCTATCAATTCGCCAGATACTTTTTTTGCTTTATCTCCAGGTTTGATCACTTTAGAATATTTTCTTTTAAAACTCAGCACTCTCAAGGTAGCTACTGCCTCCCCTTCCCCGCCCTTGTTTAAGAGAGTAACCGAAGCGTTGCCTAGCGTAAGGCACGGGGGCGGAAATGAAATGAGTCCTTAACCCCCCCCCCCCCCCAACACAAAACACTCACCCGTAGATGCGCGTCCGTGTGGCAGATGTGAGTTACCAAACATGTTTTCTGTCGACTGTTTCCCCCCGACAACGTGTTCTAGCGTGCCGTCTTTGATACAGCGTCTCAGTATCGTGGATGTTTTAGTGTTGTGACCCGCGCCATTATGAGCATTGTAGTACAGCTCTGGGTAGCTTAACTAGGACTTCTCTCATACACTCCAGTGTGGTCGGTTTCTCTTCCAGGAATTGTTTTAATTTACTCAATAAAATTGTGGCATGTTTTCCCATTAAAGTGGTTCTAATTTACTTAAAGGAAGTGTGATGGTTTTATTTCTGAAGTTGTTTTAATGTACTCAAAGGAGGCTTGAATTTTGTACGCCGTGAATTGTGTTTGTGCTGCCTAATTCAGTTTTGCAACTTTTTTTGCCGTCTCAAGATTCTTCTTTAACTTTATTATTCTTTCCCCCTGCTCTCCGCCCCAACCCCCGCCCCCATATTCCGAAACGTTTGGTTTACCTGTGAGAGTTGTGCGCACGGGTAGCGCGGTGAGCTCACCATGTTGGTACATGACTTACCTGTAGCCGTGTCTAGAGACGTGCTCACACTTCCCGTGCTGGCTGATCCAGGTTTTGTTTTCATCTCTCCTCCAGCCCCTCCGAGGCTCTCATTCAGTTTACTTTCACACGTGAATTAATTTCACAACACCGGACTGACTTTGTCTCATTGTGTGTCGCGTGTGTGCTGTGCACCGGCTGTGGCCCTTTTGTCGTCAGACTTCCCGGCTCATGCGCAGGAATTTACGTGAACGTGTTGTTAACATACCACAACTGTATCGTATACAGCTGGTGTATATGGGGGGCTGGGGCTACATCTGGACAGGTAGGCATGGAGGACAGTGGCTACTACAGCCACGGCCCTCAAGATTTCCAAGTGTGTTCTTCTGACTCGGCACATAGTATCTTTAACATTCACTTCTCCGAGCTGCCCGCCTCGAAATATAATTATTTTCTCTACGGTTTTAAGGACGAGAAAGACTTTGAGGAGTTCAAGCAGGATTTGCGAGACTTCCAGAAGCTGAAACGGTGCACGAATGCCAGCAGTGAGGACGCGGCTAGCCATGCCGCGCTGAAGGACCTGGAGCTGATCTGTAGGCCCAATCATGTCTGTCAGAACAGGCGGAAGGGTCACCACCACCGGTCAGTGGACGAGAACTCAACTGTCCGCTACAGGCACTGCTCGCGGCATAAGAGTCTAGAAGCAGACGCCGGGGCTAGCTGTCAATGTGATGGACAAACTAGACGTGATTCGTTTGGATTAAAAGCTGATTTTGAGCGTAGGAGTGGACTTTTTGGCTTTGATAAAAGAGGTGCTTTAACGTCTAATATTCAAGACATTCTCATGGAATTTATGAACGGTGACGAACATTTTCAAGAGTTTGAGCGGGTATTTGATAATGTGAACAATAGACGCATTGCTAAGGAGATGGATCATTCTAGAGCTCTACAAGGGCCTAGCGGGAGTTTTCCCGACAATGACCGACGGTCAAACTACGGCGAAGAATCAACTCATTTTACCGGTGATATATTTTCCGACTTCTTCGACAACGACGAAACGTTTCTGGAATTCGAAAAGGAGCTGGAAAAGTTCCGCGCGAGCAGAGCGTCAAGTCTGCTGGGCAGCGTGAGTAGCCTGGGGTCAAGTCGGGACATCTTCGGCGACTTCAAGTCTTACTGTGATAGGAACATTAGGTCCCAGTCCAGCTCCATGTCCAGCGTCACGTCATGCTCGTCTGAGGAGGCCAGACCTAGCTGCGGGGACGACTCGCCCTGTCATGGCCTCCCTTGGCGATCCGTGGAGGACTGGGAACGGATCCTGCGGAAGATGAAACGGAACAGTCGCCTGATGGTCGGCACGGACAACCACCGGGACGGCTATTCCAGGAGCTCGATGTACGGCCTGTCTAACGGAGGCTCCCAGCCGGAGAGATATCAGAAGACTCAGTCTCTGGCTGACCTGACCAGGTGCCACGAGCCTGGGTACGGGTCACGTGACAATTACCGAGCCCAGTCGATCAACAACTTACCGCAGGTGAAACATGTCCCCGAGACAACAGATTCTCACCTGGAGCCAGCAGACACGGGCGTGGATGACACCAGCTCGTTTGACTCGTGGTCAGACGGCCCTCACGACGACACTCGATACTCGTCCTCGTCCACGCTGTGTTCCGGAGACTTATCCTGCTCGTTTTCATGCTCGTGTTGTTCGGGCTCAGACCTGCACATAGACGAGGACACGGACGATGAGATATCTCTCGACTACCGCCACTCGCCCCGCACACGGAGTCACTCGCTGATGGAGCTGGGCAGGCGACCTACGCCGCTCGGACTTCACACCACCTCTGCCGACAACCTCCTCTTGTGCAGACGACAAACCGGAAGTGACGTGATCTTTTCGGATTACCACCGTGCGCCCCCAAAGAAGAGTGGCGTTTTAAACGGCAGTGAAAATATACCATGTGATTTACCTCATCGCGACGCCAGCCCCACCGAGAGCTGCGCCAACAGCAACAGATGGAGCCGGGCCTCCTCAGCCTTGAGCAACTGTTTCTCGGACGTGGACTCTGACCAGTACCACACGGCCTGCTCTGATATCAGCGACCACTTCTCTACGGCCAAGTCAGACCTCTCGGCCTATCTTCACGGGTCAGCCACGAGCCTCTCCTCGCTCGATGATGACCGCAGCCCGTCGGGTGAGGGCTTCCATCAGTGGACGCCCGAGGGTCATTACCACAGCTACCACGGGCGTGAGGGCATCAAGAGGTGCAGTGACCGCTACAGGCCACGCTCAGGATCGGGTAAGACACTCCATCAAATGGTCTCACTTTTGTTGCAAATTTGTCATATTGTACAACAGCCATTCCAACCGTCTCCCTTTCCCTAGAACCCAGTAAAAAGTTTCCTCTATGATTTGTACAACCGTTCAGATGTTTCCTGTTCTATCATGTAACCAATTCAACGAGTCACAATCTCCAACAGCCTCTCTATTCATTCTTCCTCCCCCCCCCCCCACCCAACTTGTGTAATACCTAAGTAATAAGCCTAGTATTTATAGTTAATTCTGGGACGATCGAGCATACAATGATCTAATGTTTTCCCACTCCAGATCTAATCAGTAAAGCCTTGACTATGTAAGCTTGTATCCAAGCCAGGGAACAGAGGGGCTTGTGTGGGGAAAATTATTGTGACACCAAATCTGTCTACATCTACTTCTTGCCTGGCTAAGTGGGTTTAAATCATATGTCAATGCTTCTGTTTAAGATCTTAATTAATGGAAACATTACAACTGTAGAAATGTGTGTGGACAAGAGCTGGTAAAAACCCTGGTTTTGGGACAACCAACCAAACATTAGTTCTTGTGTTGTTAAAATGTGACAGCACAGCATAGGCCAAGAGACTATTTACTATAGACGAGAGTAGATAAACAATGTGTTTGATTATACATCAGCTTGACTCAGCCAAAGTTCCCATCACGTGGTGTATTCTCTGACATCATTTTTCCCGTTACATCGACTTCATTATAAAAATAACATCTTTAATTTTTTTTTAAATGGCTATGGTTATTTGTATATATTGGACAAGGTTTCTTGCGAACTTGTATGGGTATTAGATCTAGTTAAATTTCTGTTCACACTGTTTACGCTTTTACTGAACGAAAAAAACAACTAGTAACACGCCACAGTCTTACTATGTTCGTCATGTTTGGGTGTAGTTTTACTTACCGTGGCTAGTGCGCAACTTAGCGAGCCAGCGAGATTAACTTGTACTATACTAGTATAGCCATCCTACGTCATCCTACGTGCTAATGACGTATGACACGTGTATCGGACCCATTTTTTAGAGACCAGTCTTCGGGATCCATATAAAGGACATATAAGGACTGTGTAAAAAGGCCCGTGTTGGAAAACTTAATGTTCTTTAAGGTCTCGTGATAAAGAGCCGTGTTGAAGACCTTGGTTAAGGTCTTATGTTAAATAGCCGTGTAAATGACCTTTGTTAAGGTCCAGTATTAAGACCCCGTGTTAAGGACCTTTAATTTAGGTCTTGTGTACACACACCCCTAAGTCCACCTGACAAGGTTACAATAGAACATATCTGACCCAAGACTCGATGTACAACCAAGTTTCCCCCAGTTTCGTTAACACGTTTGTTTTTTGCTGGCACGTTTTCTTGTACTCGACCCCCAGCGTCTGTCCTGTACACGGTTTTAAACTTAGAAACTGTCGTCTTTGTTAGTATCTGTGGCTGGTCACATGTTACTACTAATTTAGGCCGTGTTGTTATGGATTCCAGTCACGTGTCCTGTATAGTATTAATAATAGCACCAGTAGGGTCCTCTATGTTCACATTACAGTTGTCTAAATGCTACATTTGACGGGCCGTTTAAATTTTTAAAATTGAAATGTTGAGACGGCATAACTAGATGCTAAATCTGGGCCTATTCAAGTTTTAAAAATGTTGATACGACACAGCGTGTAGCCTACATCAGGAAATGGTGCATTCGTGAAATAAATCAACGGGACGAGAGCAGGCAGCTTCGTGCCCTAGTGTGGCGCTTGGTCACGTGATGCGGTGACCTTTGGAGTCCCTTGATGTGTTTGTTTGTTCAAGTACCAACGTTGTTTACATTTATTTCATGACACAAAGTTCACTGTAGTATAATTTACCCACTATTTTAACTACTGTTGATATACCAACACTTGCGTGCCTCAAAGTTCATAGTAAGATCCGTTAGCGCAATACATCGTCATAGTTGAATTTTGTTAGGCGCTAAATCTAAAACATCTTTAGCCTCAGTTTTTTTAGTATGGTGCTGTCTGCTAACATTGTCAAACTGCTGTGTTTGATCTTTATATCATAACATTGAAATTCTAAGACGTGTTAAAGAAATAAAATAGCTCATTTAAAACAAAAATCCCATTTCGATGTGCTGGCGACTGAATTCACGATGCCTAGGAAATAACTACCTGCTACAAACGCCATTGAATGTTTAAAAAATCTGGCAATAAAACCAAGACTAAAGTTCACAGAACTCTTGCCAGGTTGTACGTATTATTTTTACCGTATTTTCTGTTATTCTGTCTAAACAAACTGAGCGATGACGTTAGTGGTATATGAGTTAGAGAGTTGGGGCTATAGAGGAGCCGGTGTCTGGATGAAGATCTTTACGTTTATCTCCTGTATCGGGAGATAAGAGAGAAATGAAGGAAAAACTATCCTGGCGTCGATAATGGAGGTTTTATGTTACTGTGGTTGGCACTGGTGGTCCTGACAACATTATTACAAGTTGGTGAACGTCTTGAGTTCCATCCTACATGCCCTGTGAAATCACACACACCACACACACACACCACACACACAGGGTCCTGACAACATTATTACAAGTTGGTGAACATCTTGGGTTCCATCCTACCTGCCTTGTGAAATCACACACACACACCACCACACCACACACACCACACCACACACACCACACACACACACACCACACACACCACACACACACACACCACACACACACACCACACAGGGTCCTGACAACATTATTACAAGTTGGTGAACGTCTTGGGTTCCATCCTTCCTGCCTTGTGAAATCACACACACACACACACACCACACACACCACACACACGGTCCTGACAACATTATTACAAGTTGGTGAACGTCTTGGGTTCCATCCTTCCTGCCTTGTGAAATCACACACACACACACACACACACCACACACACACACGTATCTGAAGGACCTCTTTGAAATTAGACCTTTATTTTGTAAGGTGGTGTTGACATTACTGTGTATCTGCTGGTAGCTAGAAATTCTCCACTGTCTGCTGAAAGCTATTTATAGAACATGTGTAATTTTGTGTCCTATACTTCAATTGATTCACTTACTAGTGTAATCTGTATGCTGGTGTAATTGTCTGTCTTGTTATATCAAAGCATCAGCTGTTTCAAAATACAATTTTAAAGTCAACTTTTGGTTGCGGTCCTTGTATTTAAACTGTGGGTTGTTTTAGTGCTTTATTTTTGTCTTGCATGTTTTAAATCCTTATATTTGTCTGTAATTTATACCTTTGTGATTACATTTTGTTCACTTAACAAAAAAACTTTGCTGTGTACTCGATAAGGAAGAAGGTAGGGGAAAGGGGGGGGGGGGGGTCCAGCCCATAATTTTGTCTGCTTTTGTTTAAAACTTTAAAATTAAGGCCACATTTCACTAATCCAGGGTTTAATTAGTTCACACATTAATCCAATGTACAAAGTTAAACCTAGAAAAAGCCACACAAAAAAAAAGCCAGTAACACACAAGACAAAAAGTGATCCCAGGTCCTGGAGCCATTAAAAAGCCATTGTTTATAGCACCTGACCGGCCTTTATGTGCCCACCTGTTTAAAGACACCTTGTTTACAGGAGCACACTGCCTACATTGTTTATATGTTGTTTTACAAGCAATCTAAACTGCTTACTTTTTACAAGCTATCTAAATTGTGCATCCTGGGTCTGTGAGTTTGGTCAAATAGTTTAGGCCAAATTTGACCCATTTTTAATGCAGCAACTCTTTTTAAATTCTAATGTAAACTCAAAATCTAATTTTCAATTAACCATCAAAAATTGAATTAAAAGATTTCAATATTTACTTACAACAAGAGCAGATAACAAGATTAAGCTCTATCCTCAACAGAGGTGAGCCCGCATTTACAGATGTTTGCATTCTGAAGTTAAAAGGGCAGATGGTTGTCATTTAGAGTAAATATCACAAGCTACTGATCTGGTTTTTAATCCTTTTTAATTATTACAAGCTGTTGACTTAATTAAGGACAAATGGAAAGGAAAGAATAAATATAAACCCAATTGATTTTAAAAACTTTAATGTTGACTTATTTTTTATTTTTTAAGTTCTTCTTAGTTACTTATTTCATCTTTCTAAAAAGTAGAAACTCAAATAAGCACTTTTACTAATGTGTGTAAAAAGGGAAAATTTGTTTTATTTTCTTATTTTAGTGCATTTCAAAACTTGCTATACAAAGGTTTTTTTAAACTTGTTTTTTTTTTTTTCAATTTTCTTTTGAGGAACATGTTGCTGTTTGAGTTGTCTTGTTGAGGAACATGTTGCTGTTTGAGTTGTCTTGTTGAGGAACATGTTGCTGTTTGAGTTGTCTTGTTGAGGAACATGTTGCTGTTTGAGTTGTCTTGTTGAGGAACATGTTGCTGTTTGAGTTGTCTTGTTGAGGAACATGTTGCTGTTTGAGTTGTCTTGTTGAGGAACATGTTGCTGTTTGAGTTGTCTTGTTGAGGAACATGTTGCTGTTTGAGTTGTCTTGTTGAGGAACATGTTGCTGTTTGAGTTGTCTTGTTGAGGAACATGTTGCTGTTTGAGTTGTCTTGTTGAGGAACATGTTGCTGTTTGAGTTGTCTTGTTGAGGAACATGTTGCTGTTTGAGTTGTCTTGTTGAGGAACATGTTGCTGTTTGAGTTGTCTTGTTGAGGAACATGTTGCTGTTTGAGTTGTCTTGTTGAGGAACATGTTATAGCTGTCATATCTGTTCTCTTATAATGGAAAAATCCAATTTTAAAAATGATAGCATTAGATTTAATGAATTATAGTAGCACTATATAGATCTATTTAGCACCCATCTTAAAAACTTAGCACTGATTTAATTTACCTGATCATCACTTGATTAAATTCCCCCCCCCCCCCCACACACACACCACACCACCTTTCTCATTTCTATATTCTATAAATTTCACCCTTACCCCACCCACCATACAAAAAAAGTCAGTCAGCCATGTTTAATGAAAAAACCAAGTAAGTAAAGCACATCTGGCAAGGTGCAGCCAATTTCCTGGCCCAGCCACCCCATGGAGGTTAGAAGGTAGAGCATGGCTGCTCCTTTCATCTAGCACCCAGCAGGGACCTGCTAGTACAAGCTCATTCTCTGGAGCCCACCAAACTGCCAGACTAAAAAAAATAAAGACTGCAGAATCTGTGAGTCACATTGCAGGTGATTAAAGTAGATTGAATCTAGACCTGGCTGCTAGCTGATACCTTTGTCTCCACCCTCAAGTCATAACTCACTCATTGCAATCACTTTTAAATGTTTATTTTATTCTATTTATGGCAGTGCTTGTTACAGGTAGTGGGTGACCTGCCTGTTACAGGTAGTGGGTGACCTGTCTGTTACAGGTAGTGGGTGACCTGCCTTTTACAGGTAGTGGGTGACCTGCCTGTTACAGGTAGTGGGTGACCTGTCTGTTGCAGGTAGTGGGTGACCTGCCTGTTGCAGGTAGTGGGTGACCTGTCTGTTGCAGGTAGTGGGTGACCTGTCTGTTACAACGTAGTGGGTGACCTGCCTGTTACAGGTAGTGGGTGACCTGCCTGTTGCAGGTAGTGGGTGACCTGTCTGTTACAGGTAGTGGGTGACCTGTCTGTTACAGGTAGTGGGTGACCTGTTTTTTACAGGTAGTGGGTGACCTGCCTGTTACAGGTAGTGGGTGACCTGCCTGTTACAGGTAGTGGGTGACCTGCCTGTTACAGGTAGTGGGTGACCTGCCTGTTACAGGTAGTGGGTGACCTGTCTGTTGCAGGTAGTGGGTGACTTGCCTGTTACAGGTAGTGGGTGACCTGCCTGTTGCAGGTAGTGGGTGACCTGCCTGTTACAGGTAGTGGGTGACCTGCCTGTTATAGGTAGTGGGTGACCTGCCTGTTACAGGTAGTGGGTGACCTGCCTGTTACAGGTAGTGGGTGACCTGTCTGTTGCAGGTAGTGGGTGACCTGTCTGTTACAGGTGGTGGGTGACCTGTCTGTTGCAGGCAGTGGGTTGCAGGCAGAGTACATAATGTTCTTCTGACAGTTAAGAAACTTGATATGATTTAACTTGCATCTTATCAACAATAACTTTGTAAACTAAAAATTGTCTAACTTTCCCTTTGAACTCCCAGTAAAAAACATGAAAGTGCCTTTATATTTGTCCCGGTGGTACAACTTGATTTATCATGGTTTATCAAAGCTGACAATTTACCTGGCAGGTATCTGTTTTTAAACTTTTACAAAAAAATTCATCCCAATGTTTAAACATGTAAAGATGGTTGCCACAATGTTTAAACATGTAAAGATGGTTGCCATGGTAAATACTGAGCTTTGAAGTTGTATCATCTCAACCTGGGATGAAAATTTGTGAACATTTTTTTATTCTTTTGATTAAACTTACTTTGTTATGCTGACTTGACAATTTATGCTCCAACTGATTTACATTTTTTTATCATCATTAAGTTTAATTGAATTTTTGTAAACACATTTTTCTAGTTGTATGATTGTTTTTTAATTGGTTTCATAACTCAGTTAATAAAACCTAATTTAATAACCTTTGCTAATGGCTAGTTAAAGATTAACATGCAGGTGAGAGTTTTTTGTATGTGTGTTTATAAATACCCTGCAGGCATTCATTTCCTAATACCCAGGTATTAAGTATTTTTGCTAATTATGTAGTTAAATACTTGCTTGAGGTGAAAATATTTTTAAGATACTAACTTGATTTATTTTTTGTGTTGGCAGCCTGTCAGTACACCTGTCATCAGCACTGTGTCCCCGCTGTCACGCTCAACTGTAAATCTGTCTCTGATGACGGAGTCGAGGTCAAGACCCCCAGCCCCATAGAGCCCAGGCCGCACCTGGAGACTTCGTTATCACTGGGCAACATCAGGCCAGGCTGTGCCAGAAGTGTGACCACCGCTCACCCTGCCGACACTTCCATTGTCCAGTTACATCCTGACTGTGCACAACCAACCGCCCCTCACCCAGCTCAAGTTGTCCAGTCTGACCCTGCCACTCACACCTCTACACACAATTTATCCAGGTCGGCCAGTGAAGGCTTTGTCACCTCACGTCATTCTTTCCCGTACAAACCAGGCAGTTTGACCCTCCCTAAATCTCTGGGACATCTCCCATCTATACCAGTTGGCTCCTGCCAGCAGGCTAGCCTTAGGTCAAACATCCACGGCCCATCGTATCCACCATCCACCAACCTAGCATATCCACCATCCACTGGCCTAAGAGAAGATGCCACAGTCCAGGTCACTCAAGAAACTTGCACCATCACAGGTGACAACAGCAACAACAACAAAGTTGAAGAGCTGCAAGAGTCTCTGTCAGATATATCAGTCTGTCCTAACGCAGATGGGGAGCCTGCTAATGTAAGTACATTGAGGTGTATTGCATTTAATTTGACCAACATAGTACATGTAGGCGTGTTACATTTTATTTGAACAACACAGTACACGTAGGAGTGTTACATTTTATTTGACCAACACAGTACATGTAGGCATGTTATATTTTATTTGACCAACACAGTACATGTAGGCTTGTTACATTTTATTTGACCAACACAGTACATGTAGGCGTGTTACATTTTATTTGACCAACACAGTACATGTAGGCGTGTTACATTTGATTTGACCAACACAGTACATGTAGGCTTGTTACATTTTATTTGACATTTGGGGTGACTTTTCCTATGACTTGACTATACCTGTAGACTTAACAGTCCAGCATCTTTTATTTATATGTAATGAACTGCTAAAGATACTGATCCCATGTGGACCATTCTTCACTTCTTAACATTTTTATATTATAATATTTGGAAGTCAGAATTTTGGTAGTATCATGTAATTCAGCATCAGTTTATATAATATAATGCTTAGTAATAAAGGGATGTTTGGCCTAGGTATATTTGCATTGTTATTTAAGTTGCTAACATGGTCAGTGTGTTAATTAGAGAGCTGACAAGAGGATAAAATTTAAGATTTGAACAAACCTCTGGCTACATCAAACTGAGCCTAGACCTCTGTGTTGCAGGAGAAGGATGAGACAGACAGTGGCTACAGATCTGGGACTATACCTGATGACAAACTACCCAGAATTCCTAGCCAAGAAACACTTGACAGACAGGAGCTGAAGAGGAAAGTGGCCAAGTACAACCATTTTGTTCCTGCTGCTAGTCTAGAAGTGGTGAGCTTGGCTTTTGGCATTTTACTAAACTCTGGATTTTAAACAAAATTATAACTAAATTTGTTTTACATTCTTAAAATTCACATGTCAGACTAAAATGAGTCTATTATAGTTAAATGTTTCATAATTATTTTTTTCAAATCATGAATTAAATCAGATTAAATTAACACTTTAAAAAAGTTTGTATTGAATAAGACTGAAATAGCAATTTTAAAAATTAACATATTGAATGAGACTAATATTTTTTACAAATTTCTCTTCAGACTGACAAAGAATCATTCCAAGGTTTTGTTAAAGTAACTATGAACCTCATTAGACCAATCACAATGGAGCTCGGAGCGCGTCCTCCATCAATTTATGAGCTTTTGACAAGAGAGCATATCATTGAGGAGAACACCCAACAAGTGGCTTTCTACATGCCTAGAGATACACACAAATCTCTTCACATCACAAGGTCTGTTGTCATGTCACTTCATACATTTCAATTTATGAATTTCTTTACTGGATTGTGATTGATTTTTTGTTGTGTTTCATGGTTATGTATGTATGTATGTACATTTATGATATGTAACATTGTTGGTTACAGTGATACAACAACCAAAGAAGTGGTAACTACACTATTGAAGAAGTTTCACATTCTTGATCACCCTCGCAAGTTTGCCATGTACGAACAGGAGTTTAGTGACAGAAACAAATTGGGTAAGTGGACCTTATCATTGGATTAAGTTAAAAATCAATGTATTACATTATTGTATGGTATCTTGTTTTAGTTGGGTAATTAGTTATAATTAAAAACTGTATTTTAAATGTAACTAGATCACTGTTAATATTTATTCAAATCACTTCTTACAATATTGAAACATTTTTCGTTGTCAATTTCTAGTGCGCTTGCGACGCCTAACAGATAAAGATTTCCCCCTGAGAGCAATCTTGACATGGGACCCAGAGAGGATAAAAAATTACAGAATGGTGCTCCAAGAAAATGAGACTGGAGAGATTGTTGTAAGTTGGGTTTTTTTTTGTTTTGTAACCAGCGTAAGGTAGAAGTAAACATTGCTTGTGCCTTTGTACAGCTGCTGTGATGTGTTTGTTTACACCAGGCTTTAACTTGGGGGTGGAGGGGCACTTTGGTCAGGGAACTCATTATTTTAGTGTAGCAGACATTTAGGCCATCCCAGTTTGAAAGTCTTTACAGTTAGGGATCCCATTTTGAAAGTCTTTCCAGTTAGGCCATCCCAGTTTGAGGCCAAATTTTAAAGTAGTTTCAACCTTTAATAAAGTAATTCTACGCTCTTATAATAGTTGACATTTTTTTTTACAGTGGGACGCCTTCAGCCTCCCTGAGTTGGGAAACTTTCTCAAGGTTCTTGATAGAGAGGAAAAGGAAACAATTCTAGAACTGAAGCATAAATATGCCTACATGAAACAGTACATGGAAAGACGACTTGGTGAACTGCGCAATGAACGCAACCGAATCTCTCAAACTAACAAATAGATTGAAGCGCAACAATCCACATCGTGCCAAAAAAAAATGTTAAAGGAGAAAAGCCAAGAAAAGAATTGTTTTAAGTTCTTGATAAAATCCTAAAAATACTGTAATTTATAAATCACAGCCATCTTTAGCTCTGAAGGTTGTTGCCAATGTTACATATTTTAACCTGATTTAACCAGCTTCTGTCTTATTTCGTTTTTTGTTAAATCCTCAGCACTGAGCTCATAAAAAATTGAAATTAATTCTATACATTTTTGAAGCTCCATCTTTCGTTTCATAAGACAGAAAACTGAGTGTTAACTCGATGTTTTATTTCAGAGCACAATTTCAATTAGTTACAGGATCACAAATTGATGTTGATAAAATGTAAACATGTTGATTTGTAGTTAAACTACTTAACCAAGCAGAGCCATAGCCACACTTGCTAACTCTGACAGTGGCATGACAAGCCTAGTCAAGATCACTCCATTCCAGTGCTTAGAACTCAGCAGAAGTTGTGTTCTAGCAACCAGTGCTTGTCATCTAGATTGTTGTTGCCTCCCATTATAACATGATTCATGCGCCTCAGGAATACACACTAGTTGATTGGCTATCAACTGCTGCCATGTTCTGTTGACCACCCTGTTCATACCTCTTGCTAGAGGAAAATAAACAAGGAGCTAATTATGTTTGAATACTAAATAAAACTAATTCACTTGAATTTTACTTGTGATGTTCGGTATCATAAAATCCTGACAACTTAATGCAACGTACAATTTTTTCTTAGTTGAAGTGAGATAATAGTTTTTTGTTTGTTTTTAATGTTAAAATATTTTAAGAAACTATTTTGACCATTACCAGCAAAATGTAATTTTGTAATTTTTTTCACTGTTAAAATTTAGAATGGTTTATAGTTAATATTTGTAAGAATACAATGTAAATTTTTGTGTACATAGCATTATAATTTTAAAAGCAAAAAAAAAAAACTTTTCTTAATGGTATTGAGAAAGTGATATGTTTGCAAACATTTTTTTTTACCAGTACCGGAGTTAAACCAGCATGGTTCATCTATTTATAGACCAAAAACTTCTAGTCTCATGACATTAACAGTATTTTACAGTAATGGTTTTTTTTTAAACTTTAGCAGAAGTAGAATAACTGCTTTTTTTTCCACTTACGACTGTTACAAATTATAGAGTATTATTTTATTGATGTATGACAATTTTTTTAACAAATGAATTTTAGTCTAGTAAAAAAACACACCTGAAATCTGAGTGGGATTAACTTATTTTTTTTCCCCCTTTTGCTCATTTTAAACATGGTTGAAATAATCATATTTGATTGAAACTTTTGTACAGATGTAACGAATTCTACCACAAATCTTCACTCACTTTACACTTGTTGTTTGTTTTCAAGATTTGATATTCATTATATTAATTAACTCATTTATCACTTGATTTTACATTAATTAGAATCTCTCCTAAGTCTTCCTGATCATTGGTTCACAGCTTGATTAAATTGGCACTTTATAAAACAAAATAAGCATCTTCTTAAAGAGGTTTCAATATAAGCAACTAGTGTACATATTCTGCATGTTGGAAAAATAAGTGGAAAGAAGTCACCTGTTTATAACATGTGTGTATGTATCTCATTGTTGTGCCTTTCCTATTCCTTCTTGTAAATCTTAAGCAATTATTTCTGGATATAGAGTGACCTTTAAAGTTTCTGTACTGGAGCCTAAAGTTTATGTACTGGAGCCTTCTTCAATTGTGCACCAAAAAGTTCTTTCATTAATAGCTGTGAGAATCAGAAGTTAAATTAACTCAAATTCAGGATGTGTTGAATATATTACCTACAAAAATCACACTTTTTATCATTGTAAATGATTGTAAACTTTTCTTTTTAAATAACGAAGCAAATGATTTAACCATTTCTTGATCAGCGCACAGCCTTGCAAATAAGTCATCAAAACCCCTTCACATCCATCGTGCCCATTAACTTACATGAAAACCATGGACCACTTTACGAGTTGAATCTTTCAGCTGATAAACTTGTAAATATTGTTATGATGCAATTATTGTTCTAACAAAGCTGCTGTTGATGAAAGAAATTAGTTTGTTGCGGGCATTTGGGTGTTTCCATCCTGATTTGCCAACATCAGGCAAACTTAATTTTTTTTCATCAACTGTAGCTTTAAAATGTCTTTAAAGCATAAATATTTATTTCATTAACTAATAAGTAAGGCATGTTTTTCTTGTTAGAAGTTAGACACCTTTAAACTGTAATCAGATACATTTTTTCTCTATTTTACATTTTGGATTTGAATTTTTAAAAGATTTAATCTACAGAAGTATATATCCCTATTGTAAAACTATTTAATGTTTCCATATTATTTAGCTATATTAAATCAAATAATGCGGACTGATTTTCAAAAAATGGAATAGGTAAATCTAATAAAGAAATTAAACAATTGTCTGTTTGCATTAGTATGTGTCTAATTTGTACAGAACTTCTGGTTAGGGACAGGTATATTTTAACTTAAAAAGCTGCTTTTATTTTGTAAAACAATTTTACCTTAAGATTTTGTTTGTTTTATTACTATGTGTATATTTGGTCTGAGCATAAATTTTACATTTATTTTTACATTATTTTCAATGTCATTTTATTAGCAGGTAAAACAAAATTTCAATGTCTAACTTAGTGGTATTTTCACTTGATTTTATTAATTTCTAAAACTATGTTTTTAAAATTTTAATTTCTAATAATTTGTAGAAGTTTCTAGATTTTAAGATAGATGTTTGTTTGCAATGTACCAGCCTTTGATACATTTGTCCATGAAAATAATTTGTCAGATGTTAATTTCACTTGAATGCTTTCATTTACCCCAATAGAATATGCATCATTGTTACAACAGGTAATTACATGCAAGTGTTTGCTTATGTTATATAAGGAAACTTTTAAATATAAAACAAACAAAAAAAATAAAGTGAGAATGAAAACTTTTATGAATGTTGTTTTTTTTTTTTAAATAGAAAAATTTGCTTCAAGTAATCAAGTATTCAGCTACCTTTTATCTACAGGAAATTTTTAGATGGATGAATTTGAACAAGAATCAAAAGCAAGTTAGATAGTGGCAAAATTTATTTTTATTGTATATTAATTACATAAATGTTTCACAGTGGACAAAAAAAACCAGACTGCAACAAGTACTCTGGACAAATCTGAATCATGTGACCAAGAAAACATTGACAATCAGCATTTTAACACAAATCAATAGCATGAGATGACTTAAGTGATTACACATAAAACTTTAGTACACCAGTGACTGCTGTAATGGTGAGGTAAAAAATCAAACTGTACCAAAATATTGTAAGGTGTTTCAGCTCAAGTTGTGTCATAGATGAATGATGATTATTGCTGCCTTTGAATGCTTCTAACTTAAAGAATTTAAACTGTGGCCATTGCACGCTGACACATGACACACCTGAATATATTTAGTGCATTCACAATGTGATTCCTCTCAGCCAGGGACATGATGATGGAGTCAAATTCTGACACTCGCATCACCCAGCCCACAAGCGCAAACTTTACCACCCTACAACCATTTATAGAGCAGGTTCTCGTCTCAAATTGAAAAAAAAAGCTACATCACCAGATGAAAAAAAGTTTTATATGAAATAATTTTTTTTCCAAATCAAAGCCACATTAAAAGAAGTAAACCAACATGTTGTTGCAATAACAAATAAGATATACAATTTTTAAAAAGTGCTGTTGTGTAATGAAAATCTTTTAAAAGAGTATGAACAAAGGAATAAAACCACAGCCTCAATTTGCAATGTAAATCCAATACATACAATCTTAAGCTATGCTATATGCACAGATATAAAACAATGTAGTGTTAAATAAATAGATTCTCTTACATGGGTTGTACCATTTACTTTTATCTAAGGTGATAAAATATAAAAACACTGACTAGCATCTACATATCAGTCAAGTAACTACATGACTTTTTAACTACTACACACTGTTAAAGCTGATATTTAAAAAGAAAGTAGTTAAAATAAAGCATGAGCAAAAATTCAGTTTGCTAATAATGAATTACATTTTTTACACCTCTTTTAAACTAGGGCTTTTATGAAAAAGTAACAGTTGTTTGAAAACTTGAACTGAATTAAAAAACCATTTAGAAAACTGTCATGTAACGTGCAAACAAGGCAGTCGATTAGTCAATACAAACAGTACCAATACATTTCTAACAAATCATTATATGAATAGTATTCATCAAATGGCAGGCTAAGCCATCAAATATTTTTATAACAATTTAGTTTTATCCAGTGAAACAACAGGTCAAAATTCTAAGCTAAAATGTAACTACGGTGGTGGTGCCACAGTACAAATAAAAATATAATACTAATACAAGTTGAAAGATGAAACAGAAAATATTACAGCACTGTGTTCTAAGAGTACCAGTACTACTCATATACAATGTACAAAGTTAAGTGACAGTTGTACTGTCTGTACATATCTACAACTTTCTAAAAATAAATATTTGAACTTAATGTTACCAGTTAATGTTGAATATTTTATTTTAATAGAATTATAATTGGTGAGCTATAGATTATACTTTTTTGACATAAATCATTTAAAAATATCTAACAGAATTTACCAAAAATTGTCCAAATTGAATTAATATCAATGAGCAGGGTATTTTTTCAAACTGTCTGATTTTATTTCTACACTTCTATTTCTACAATGGACTATAAGAAATATTGTTAAAAAAAACATAAAAAAACAAGGTTAGTGAAATTAATTGTGTGGATATAAATAGCATAAATTATAAATATATAAATTTATATATATAAATATATTTTATATTTTAAAAATATTGAAACAATGGATTAATAAAGTTCATAACAGTCACAAACTTCTAATTAATAAAAGCTGTTAAAACATTTTAATAAATTAAAAATAACTTACAATGTTATAAGTAGTTCCTCAATATTTATTGCATTATCAATTCATTATAGAACTAGTCAGAAGCTTGTAGCAGGCCAGTTAGAAAAAACTTAAACAATTCATATTTGAAAAACAATATTCTGTAAATGTTTATGGGAATAGTAAACATCTGATAGTAATATCACATTTCATTGATACATTCAAACACAAGATAACTTTAGCTAAGGCACTTAATTATTAATAAAGTTTTACAGACTAAAATCCTATTTAAAAAAACACTTTTCATTAGTTTTCTCAAGACTTTTAAAAACAATTATAATAAATTTAGAAATATGTGTTGAGTCACATTGTACTTTAAGACTAGCTTTGTTGGTTAAGTCAATATACAAATAAGATCACAGTTAAAGAGCCTTTATAAATTTATATATCCATTGTTTTTATCAATGATGAGTTTTTAAATTTTTTTTAAAAATATTACACACAATTACATTAACGTTTCCATCACTTACATTTAAAAAATAACACCAGTGTACATACAAGTGTATAGTAGACTTGTATAAAACATTCTTTAAGAACTTAGAGTGCAAAGATTAAAAAAAGCCTTTTCAGGGTATGTAAAGAAATTGTGCATGATCACACCAAGTCCAGCTACATCATTAATTTAAATAATACATACAAACATAGTTAACAGTCACATAACTTTTAAAAACCAAGCAATTTTTTATGCACTAAAACATTTACTACAATTCCTAGGAAAAATTTTCTATAACAACAAATATAATTCATTTATTTTATTTTTAACTTGCTCATTCAAACACGTTTTTTTAAAGTGTTACCAATGATAGGATTAGCCTATCATAATGAAAAATAATGTAAAAATAATTTGATAACATTAACAATATTGGGGATGGGTATTCCTTATGGTCAGCTACCAGCAGAATAATGTATCAAATGAAGCAAAATAAATGTAATTATGAGAAAAAAACAAATCTATAAGCATACTAAAAATATAAGTCACACAATCAAGGATACACTGCGAGCCCCCTGTAGGAAAAATTATTGCAAAAATTCAAGCATTTTAAATGGAATGTTTTGCCAAACCTTATGGTGAAAATGTTGGATTTGGTGTGAAAAAATTGTTTACAAAAAAAAAATGAAAATGATCTCAGTTCTATTAATTTCAACTTTTAAAAGGAACCTTGGAAACTTATGCTAACACAACAACAGGAATTATAAGCAAATAAATATTTTTACAAAGTGAGGCACCGCTGCATTAAATTAGTTTCAAAGGACATATATTCTACTCCAACCATTTTTACTTCCTTTTACAACCTTATTTGTAATCTCAATTTTTTATTTTGACATTTTTTTGTTAATAACTTAGACTTAGAGCTATTAGCTTTGGTTTTTTTCATTTTGAGCAAAGCTTTTTTAACTGCTTTAGGGGTAGCTGCCTTTTTGCTACTACCTTGAGTATTCTTTTTGCCTTTAGTATTTGATTTTGGCGTTGTCTTTAATTTTTTATTTAAAGAGACATTCTTAGCTTTTGCTGGTGTTTTCTTCTGTGTCGATTTTGCTTTAGTAATATCGGTCTTTTTTGGAGTGGCCTTCCCTTTAGAAGTAAGTTTAAGTTTATTAGCAGAATTAGTTTTGGGGGTTTTACTTTTAGTAATTTTATCACTCCCTGAATCTTGTTTAATCACTTTTTTAGCTTTGATTGTTTTAGGGAGTTTAATTTTAGCACTTTCTTTATCTTTTTTGTTTTTCAAACTAGATTTCAACTTGATTGCTTTCTTCACTAATTGCTTAGTATTTTTATCTAATTTTTTAGTTGTCTTCACCACCCTTCCTTGTTTAACTGAGTTTAATGTTTTAGCAGTTTTTAACTTTTTATTTGCACTGATTTTTTTGTTGGCCTTACTAGATGCTGCTGCATCATTTTTTGTTTTTTCTGTAGTGCTAATCTCAGTCAACTGCTCCTCCTCATCACCTGACATTTCCTCTTCAGAGCCACTGACTGTACCATTGGCTTCAGACTTTTCCATTTGGCGTTTTAAAATGGTGAGGTCCCCTATAACAGCGGGTACTGTAGAGAGTGACCTGCGCTTGCTGTGGAGCTGCAGGGAGATGAAGATGTCCTTCAGCTGGGTGGGGACAACCCCATCGTTCTCATCCCTCAGTGTGTCACGATGCTCCTGTAGACAATAACAGTTTTGTTCACACATTATAATCTATTCCACTCTGTCATTCATTAATATACTAATAAAACTTAATAAAGACACTTCCTTGAACCAGTAAACACTTAATTTTATGCCATATTAAGGCAGTTTATTCATTACTTCAATCATTTGGATTTAAAAGCAACATCAACCCACTCCTACTGGTAGCAAAGTTCTTTCTCAATGACCCATATTATAGCTGACTACACACATGATGGACTAAAGGTAGATTAGGCTGCTTATGATGACAGTTGATATTAGGACGAAGAATAAGATAGTGTTTATGGAAGAAAGCAACTGTTTGTTAGAGAGTTTGTAGAATTGGTGTTTATCTGTTGTGATATATTAATGTGAAGTGCAAAATAGACATAGTAACAAATAGAATTACATGGTATGAAAAATATGTGGGAAGTAGGGAGAATGGTGCAGCTGCATTATGCAATGGCACATGTTACATTAGGTGAATAATAGTACATTTTATTTGTGTGATCTATCACCTTGAAGTTATTCTATGTATGGAAATAATAAGAGATGACCAGTCCTCACATAAACAGACGGGTTAGCTATTAAACATTAACATAGTCTGTACTAACAGTTGATCCAACACATTATTGGGTTGAATGATCATATTTGGGGCAGTATGCCAGTGCATTGGTTTATAAACAAGAACTAAAAACAAGTGTTAAATAAATTTTTGTTAGATAGAATGTAAAATTATGTCAATGTGTCACCTGCAGTAAATCAGGTCCGTAGCAGGCACAAAACACTCCAACTAGAACATCAACAAGTTTGGATGCATCAGGTAACTTGATGTGTTGTCCATTAGTTATCTCAGCCACCCGTTTAAAAAATGTCGTCCCTCCATCCTCTTCCTTGTCAGCAGGGTTGGGTGGACCAGAAGCTTGAACAGTAAAAACATGGATTCCCTGAAAACAGACAACAAAGGGCTTCATATCATCTTAACCTAAAATGACAGTGCTTCTCTGGTTCTAAGATAATATTGTTAAATGATATGTATTTCAGTTTAAATATAAAAATATTTAACTATATAAGTACTCATACATTTACTTGTCCTTGGATATATTTTTGTGAGTAAAGTGGGGGAGGAAGACTAGAAACATACATAAGATCTAGTCACCAATTTAATTAATTTTTGTTTTAACAAAAAAAAACAAAAAAACAACCAACAAATTATTGGCTCTGCATACTCTAAGCATTAGATAACTCATAAGTGTTCCGTTCTTTGTTTTCAATCCCAAAGCCAGGGTAGGTGGTGGCTTATTGGTGAGTTACATGTATGTATTTAGCCACCCACTCACCATTTGTGCCAGTAGCTTTGCTTCAAGCTCCCAATCAATAACAGGAATCTCAGTTTTTCGACTGATTTCTAGAGCTGATCTGATCCAACCTCTCCAATGCTCTCTCTGTAAGTAGAAGCTGGTTGTATTTGGTCTGCCTCGCCCCAGCATCAAAATTGTACGATAGCTGCAAGAGCTCCAAGTCATACACCTCTGTAGTTTCCATAATGCCATTTCTAAGTTGTCTTGGACATAGTCTGGGTAAACAGTTGCCTCTGGTTCTAAGCATGCAAAAAATAAAACAAGTTTTAAAAACTGCTAAAGTTTCTTAAACACTTTAATAATTGTTCTACTTAACTTCAGTTGGTGAAAGAATACAATCCACCAAACAAGTACATAGAATTGGACACATTTAAAATAACTCACCCAAACTTCCAACAAAAGCACAAATTTGTGAATATGTAGCACCCAAATCAATCCACTTGGTTCCACTATGTCCACCAGTTCTAATGTAGTTATGGTCAGTGACACCACTCCTGTTAGCCATCTTGTCATCATGGATACCACCTTGTGTGTGGGCAAAGACCCCAATTCGCAGGTTAGGTATTAGAGATTGAAGACGCCAAACCATCTCTCTAGTCTTATCTTGCAGAACCTCAAGATACTCTCTCATGGCACCAGAGGTACTAATGCAGATGACTACTTCAAGCATTGTTGGTTTCCCTACCTCTGCTGGAGGAGTTAGTTCTTTATCATGTTGAGTATCTAGGAGAGATGTATCTTTGGTGTCACATAATTCTACAACATTAGGACTGAACTCTTCTTGATTTACATTTAAGTTCTGAATACTGGACTCTGCTGGTTTAACAGGGTGTTTTTCTTTGGTCAAGGAGTTTGATGTGACTTGCTTTGTTGCTGGAGGTTTGATGGTTGATGAATCAGTTGTCTTGTTTTCAAGAGATTTTACTTCTATCGAGTTGTCATTAGAGGAACTTAAGATTTGAGTCGAATTTTTAGTTAATGATACTTTTGACGGCAATTTTTGTATGGTTTTTGACTTAACAGCAAGCGGTGATGATAAGTCTTCAAGTTTTAATGTGGAATCTCGCCTTAATGACGGTGGATGTTCAGTTAGTGATGAGGAGTTTTCAGTTGCTTTTTTTATTGTGTTATCTAGCTTAGGAGTTTGCTCTGCTAATTTTCTCTTACTGGGTGGTACAAGAGTTGGAAATTTGGGCATTGAGGGTTTAGGTGCCTCTTTGGTTGTTGAGTTAGTAACATAAGAAGAGAGCCAAGCTGGAGCTTTCCTTTGTCTGAAGGATGCCAGTCTGAGAGGCTCAAGCGGTGCTTTTTTAACAGTTGTTTCATGTTTTAACTTGCTTAGCTCTTCAGTGACAGTGTTCTTGGTAGCTTCTTTACTCAGTTTGGCAGGTTGTTCGTACCCAGGTGCCCTGGATGCTTTCCGCTTCATTTTTAGTTACTGCGTGGTCTGTTAAATAAATGAAAGAACTTAGATCTAGTTATAATTATGGCTTAGGTGTAGCTGTAAAAAAAATTTGATTTGTTACTAATTACTAATGTTGGGCATATTTTTATCATATCTTATCTAAGTGACCAAGTAAGTAGATCTAGTCTAGATACTAGATCTTACCCTCACACAGCAGTGACTATACTGGAAGTCACTATCACTAACCTAACGGCGCCTAACACTGTTGTAGAACAGCAGTAGATCTAGCTAAAAAACTAAACTTTCCACACTAGATCTAGAAATCTAGCTTAAAAAGTTAAATCAGTAGTACTAGGTCTAGATTGTTATTTTTATTTTAGACTTTCTACTTTCTAGACAATAGATTAAAAATCTTGATGAATTTAGTCATTTTTAATCTAGATTTAGATCTAGATCTAGCTTCAATTTCCATAAATAAGAAAGTTTTTTTAGATAAAAAGATTTAGACAGGGGTAGGATCTAGATCTAGTACTTCCATTGCATTGTCAATTTTAAAATGGAAAACAACTAACAAAATAAAACTAACCATAAGCAAAGTTAAAATAGAGTACGTTTTTTGATAGTACTTGTTTGTTGCAGTTGCTAAAAATTTTAGCCAGATTTTTATATATTTAGCTGCCGAATAATACTATAAGAAATCGGTTGTAGGCCTAATTAATTAATTAGGCTAACTTAACTCATGCACGTTTTGGATCTTCTCAAAACTAAACTGTTAACATTATCATTACGTTTCATAGAAAGTTTCATCTTTTGAGGCAGGGTTGTTATTTTTTTTGGAGTTTTTTTGTTTTGTTTTGTCAGTTGAGGCCAATTTCCGACCGACTAGACTTCACTTTCACACATATCTCGTAGACTCATGTTAACATCAAACGACAAGGGAGAGGTACGTCTCAATAAAAATAAGGCCATGTACCACCATTTTTATTATTAGTCTTTAAAAAATAAAGTCAAGCTCATTAATTATTAAGTCAATTACCCCCTGACCCCGCATTGAACAACAGCACAGTCCACCCACATTAATTTTAATGAAATCATACCTCGGCCGACATTCGATGACCGTAGTGTAACCGGGGGCTCCCGATAGCACCGCTCTACGTCCCACAATAATGGGCGGTCTACGAAGTGTGTTCTATTTATTTGAAGGGCGATTTCTTTAGAAAACTATTTACTATTTATGTTCATCGCGTTTTTCTTTTTATAACACAACAAAATTTTAAAATACAAAATGGCTAAAATTTAGCTTTAAGCGTTACTTTTTTCAAATGAATAACTGTTTTACCACACATACAGACTTAATTTTACGCATCTTCGTCAGGTACCTCAATATTTTCAGGTCGAAATAAAAATCCATATACTTCTACTAAAAATTAGACCTACAAAATTATAAAAGTCAAACTGGCATATACAAACTTTTGACCTGGATTATCGACCCTTGGCGTCACTGGCAGCCCATGTTTCATATATTCAAAAAGCAAACACTTTCATTGAATACATGTTCTCTCTTGACAGAATTTACCATTCATTTTTAATTTATCCTTTATAAACAGCATTATATATATATATATATATATATATATATATATATATATATATATATATATATATGTAAAATATATACATATACAAAAAAATCTCATTTGAGATGTTAGAAGAATTAGGTGCCCCCTCCACACTACTTCAGCATAGATGTGAGGAGTTGCCCATTTGAGTAAAGTAGATAACTTCAGTGTTGTCCTTAGGGGTCTTCCATAAATTATCTGGAAAGTGGGGAACGGGATGGAAGGAGGTAAAAGTATATTTTCTACAGAAATGTTTAGATGGGCTTTGAACAGCTAGTAACAAATATGGAGCACATTTTGCAGAATAAATTTTAAATACAGCTTGGTAACTAACAGCACACTCAAGAAAATCGAGCTTGTCATTAACCTTGTATAAAATTTAATTCTTTTATTAATACTGATGCTGCAGTTAGAATGCCAAGTATTTTATTAAGTGTAATAATTAATTAATTAATTGTAATTATTATTTAATAAGCTTACAAAGAAGAACCATGATGTACAGTGTAACAAACAAAAAATGAATAAAAGTTTCTTAAGGGTGTTGAAAATAATTTCTAACAACTGAAAACTGTAATAAATACAAGTAGGCCTATAGTTGTTCAAGAGAACTTGTATATAAATAAATAGTGAAAGATTTTTCTACTTTTGGTAAATTCAATATGTAAGTGGTCTTCAATATTGTTTGTTAATTACTTTTGTTGAAATGCATAAATGAATAGTAATTGCATTTACAATTACATTGCTTCTTCCATAGTAAGACATCAGTGATAGAAAACTTAACATTTTATTATTATTTAGAGTATCACAGCACTATAGGCTAATTTAACATAAATTTTGTCATATACTATATACATTATGAAGGAAAACTAATTTATAAGTTTTGCTTTTTTTTGTAGCTAATTTACTACCCATAACATATGGAATGTTCATTCAAAGACAAAGCAGTTAAATACACACAAAACAGTTTTACCCAATACACACAATTGTTTTGGCATTACAGCTACGGTAAAAACATCACTTATTATTGATAGTCATGACATTAAGTCTTCTTACATAATCATTTTTCAAGTCTATTAAAAATACATTTGAAAACATTTTATAAAACATTATGCAAGTCATTCATTTAAGTCAAATTAATGTTAAAACTTTGTAACAATTGTGTAGCGCTTCCTTTTGTATAAAATATGAGTCTAATCTTCCCAGTCATCATCACTTCCTGCTGCAACAGCTGATGATGAATTTTTAGGTGGTGCTGGTATCATTGAAGAAATCTTTTCTAAAGCTGACGATGCACCTCCACTATTGCCCGCAGGTAACTCAGACTTCTCGCCCACTTTAACATTACCCGATATACCTTTTCTTCTCATGGATAGTTTAGAATGGAGATCACCCATAAGATCTCCACCCCCTTTAGGTGGGGCTTTCTCTTCTTGTTTTTTCTTTTTATTATTAACTTTTCTCTCTTTGGCGGATTTGAGGCCTGCTCCTGCTGCACCTCCAGCTTTGACAATTGAGTCTAGAAGACTTTGACGTCCTGTAGAGGGTGCAGCGACATCTTTGGGAACGGATTCTGGAGCAGGTGGCGGTGGGCCTGGTGGAGGGGGTGGTGGTGGTGCACTGGGTGGAGGTGGAGGGGGTGGTGGGGGTGGACCAGATGGTGGTGGGGGTGGTGGAGGTGGTTCTGGTGGGGGAGGACCAGAAGGTGGTGGGGGTGGGGGTGGTCCACCTGGTGCTGGACCAGGTGTAATTTCTTGCTCAGGTAAAAATGAAGGTAAATCTGGCACATTAGATCCCATCACTGAAGGTGCAATTGAAGTGCCTTGGTCTCCACTAAATGCTAAATCATCCGCAACACCTTTTTATAGGAAACAATTTAAGAGGTTAGCCCTAGCAGAATTGATACACCAAATACATTTGTAATGACTAGTTACTAATTGACCTTCAACTAGAAAACTGGTTAGAAATTACAATTAAAAGATATATGCGTAGAATCATTTAGTTAATCATAATATTTAATATTATATTATATGACACACCTATAGGCTACTTTTTCCAAATTTTATGAAATAACATACTAGAAATAAATAATTCATTATAAAATAAGCAAGCAACTTTAACAGTAAAATATTGGTAACCTTTTTGCAGAGCTGATTTAAAAATAATAAAAAAATGAAAATCTACCTGGAAGATTTGGCAATAGTTCCGGGACAGCAATCTCTGGTACAGTACCCAACTTTGGCATGTATAAAAAATTCTCAGCAGTTGCTCGAAACATTTCTTCATTGTGTACAATAGTAGATGGTGCTTCTGCCATAGCATTGACTTCCTCTTCTATGGCTGACCGTGTCTTTGTTACGACACCAAGAGGGTCAAGCAGGACATACTTCTTATATCTGGTTGAAGAAAAAAAATTATAAAGCATCCATGTACAAGATACAGTTAATCATCCATATGTTCTGATGGCATAAAAAAAGAGAAGACCATCTCATTTCAATGACAACAGCATGTTTATATACTTTATTCATTTTGATACTCCTAAAAATATTTTTTTTAAATTATAGTACAAATGGCCATTTTTTGGACTTTAAAATTTCAACTATTAATATTCTAAATTTTATTAATTACGACACATATAAAATATAAAGAAGCCATTTTTAAAAATGAAAAACTTACGGATTTTCCGTGGTGTTAAATAGAAGCAGTGAACTGACAGAGGATGTATTTCTGGGTAAACCTCCCAAACCCTCTCCCTGACTGCTTGCATTTTTCCTAGCTTTCGTCCCAAGATGAACGTTATAAAATTTTAATTTCTCTTTTAAAATTCTGTCATCCACAATGGCATGTTTTTCTTGAACCTAAATAGAATTACACTTATTCATCAAATTTACTAAGTTAAATAATAAGTAATTTTATCAGTACTGGTATATATACCCTGGACAGCATGTGTTATTTAAAGATACTGCTTAAACAGGAATTAATAGCTAGATTCATTTACCTTAAAATTTGAATGTTTTATATCCTGTAAGCCATCAGTGTCAGAGAAAGATGTATTAAATGGTTCAAGTTTATCAACAGCAGGGTACTTTGCACTAGCAAAAACTTTAGTTGCTTTGTTGCTTCCCTTTAATTTCTCTACCTGTGCTGTTGCAAGGTTAACTCGATCATTGATTTTCTGTAAATGAGCTTTGTTCTCCACGACTCGTTTGCCAATTCTTGCAAATACTTCATTTGCTACCTATGAGAAATGTTGATATGCATTTTAAAAGAAGTAAGAATTTTAAAAATGTCTTCTTGAAAGTACAGAATGTCACATAGCAGAATGAACATTTTATTTTTTGATGCAGTTCATATTAATTACTTCCTATGCACTGCATTCAATTTCCTAAAACCTACCTTATCTAAATAGTCTAGAGCATCTGCTATCTGATGTATAGTTTCTTCTCTTCTTAAATCTGGAGGAATAGTTGGGACATTAAAGCCCTGGCTCCCCATTATAGTCATGAGTTATCTACTGGACAAAAAATATTTTTTTTTAGAGAAAATAACAATGATGATATAATTTTATATAGTGTAGAGGGGGTGGAAGCAGGCGTTGTAACTGAAATAGCAAGATAAACAGAAAGTGATATTTCAACACCAAGAGTAAACAAAGGGACCTTTGTTTACACTTGGCGTTGAAATATCACTTTCTGTTTACATTGCAATTTTATATAATCAACCAATAAGTTAAAAAATATGGCTCTACATATAGTCTAATAGACCATTGGATAATTGCACGTTGCAAATCCAAGCAAAATCAACAGTTTCCCAGGAGCTGCAATCACAGAAAAAAGGCTGACACAATGTTTTAAGAGGATTTCATCAATGAGATACCAATTGGGCGACCTTGTTTTCTCAAACTTGAGTTATGTAAGCAATGCTAGTGCTATATTTATTGGATCCTAGTTCTCCGGGAGGTTTGTCCACTATTGCTCAGGGCGTACTGTGTGAAAGCCTTTACTGTACTTAATCACACGCAGTGATGGTGAGTACTACGCCTCTTAGCGACCGCCCAGGTGTCAGAGGCATCACAGAGCCCTCTTGGAAGCCACCAGTTGCATTAACAGAGGTGCTCCTAGTACATCTACATCCCCTGGTTGGATTTAGTCATCAAATGTAGTGGCCCAACATGTCCTTATTGTAGTTGTACGGTGCTCTTTAAAACAAATGTTGGCGCCATAGATAGTGCCTGGAGTGAACCGGGTCACCTGACAGCTGATGGACAAGCCTGATTCAATTAAGTCAAAAATTATAGTAGCCACTGGGGAACTATGGGTGCCAAACCACACCCAAGTGCTGTAACGCCACTCCTCCAAATTAGAAATTTTGTTTATCATAAAAACCTTTCCAGGAGTGTTGTCAATAACATCCCAAAGTTTCATAGCAATAGGATGATAGATGTAGTAACGCATAAGAGAGTATATTTAGCCCTATTATTTTTATTAATGTAATAATATTCATATTGATTAAAATCTATATTGAGTCTTGACAGAATTTAGTTGATTTGATGATTTGATTGTCATTGTGATGATTATTCATTCATTGATCATTGTTTTCGTTAAGCCTAATTGATTTTCAGTAAATATTAAATAAGTAATTGATAATAGTAGGCCTAATCATTATTTAATTTATGGATCTAGGCCTACTCATTGCCTACCTAACTCTTATACTAAAATATATCTAGATCTAGTTAAAAATACTGTACTAAAGTATTAAACTTAACTAAACTCAATTGTCCAGTGTACTGTCCTGAAATGGCCACTACAGAAAAGAAAAGATGAATGATAGTTCTAGATTCTAGTAACAAGTGATAATGATCAGATAATGGTAATAGTAATACTATTACTAAAAACCACTCCGTCCCATTATTACTAAATAATAGTAGTATAGTTGGTAATCTATCGTTTTAGGTAGGCCTATGTAAAATCGCCCGCAACTAGTAATGTGAAAAACAGGTAATTCCTTAAATTTTAATAATTATTTCACATTTTGAGGAGGATTTATGTTTTGGAAAAATACAAAAATGTTCCCTTGTTTCATTTATGTAGATCTACCTCAACTACCTGTTTTTAAACAATTGAATTAAAACTTTTCGGTAATCTATCGTTTTGGGTACGTAAAATCGCCCGCGGCTATTAATGTACGAAAACGTTACCTCATTGTCAAGGCTGTAATAGAAGTATATTGTGATATGTTTGTGTCAAATATTATAGATAAATGAATAATAAACCTAAATCAATGGCTAAATATATCAATATAGGCCCGAAATTAACTTTAAACAGCAGTGTGTGCAAGCAAGATTTGCTATATAAACAGCAGCCATTTGTAAAATAGAGTGACTTCCGCCTGAATCTTGCGCTATAAGTCTATAAAAATAAAACTTTAACAAGATGGCTGCTATAGTAAATGAGCATGGTTGCATCTGTTGGAAACATCGCTGGTGTTCATTTATTACTGAAAAGTTTTAATTCAATTGTTTAGAAACAGGTACATAAATGAAACAAGGAAACATTTTTGTATTTTTCAAAACATAAATCCTCCTCAAAATGTGAAATAATTATTAAAATGTAAGGAGTCACCTGTTTTTCACATTACTAGTCGCGGGCGATTTTACGTACCTAAAACGATAGATTACCAACTTTTCAGTAATAAATGAAGACTAGCGATGTTTCCATCAGATGCAACCATGCTCATTTAGTAAACTATAGCAGCCATCTTGTTTATTTTTTTTATAGTAAACTTATAGCGCAAGATTCAGGGGAAGCGACTCTAACTTACAGATGGCCGCTTTTTATATAGCAAATCCTGCTCGCAAACACTGCTGTTTATACTGTTTAAAGATAATTTCTTGCCTATATATATTGATATATTTAGCCATTGATTTAGGTTTATTATTCATTCATCTATAATATTTGACACAAATATGATCACAATATAATATATATTATATATATATACTTCTATTAAAGCCTTGACAATGAGTTAACTTTTTTGTACATTACTAGCCGCCGGCGATTTTACGTACCTAAAACGATAGATTACCGTATAGATCTAGTTACTTAATACTAGATCTAGATCTAGATCTAGATCTAATAATACTTAATGTGAAATAGCAGCAGAGATAGGCCTCTAGCGGCACTCTAGCCTCTAAGTTCTAACTAAACTTAATTTTAAACTAAACTCAAACTTTAAACGCTAAGAAGAAAGAAAGAAGAAGTAGTAGAGGATCAGTAGGCCTAAGTAAAAATTGTAATATTAAGTAACAATAAATAAGTAAGTAGACTAGTAATTTACTTTTTTCTCTTCACTGTTCTTTCTATAAAAATAAACTAGAGAATAGGAGGTTGAAGTTCTAGGCTGGATCCATAAATAAATACTGTAGCCCGAATACAAATCTTGAAGAGCGATATTATTACTGTGCTGTTATTAAAAACACGATAAGTCTGGTCAAATTTTGTATTAATTGCCAAAATTTTGTAATAACACCCCTTTCAATTTTTCGTTTAAAGTACTAATCGATTACTTGAAATATGTCTTTAAATGCGTAATACTTTTATAGAATTAAGAAATGTAAAACAAAGTAAGATTGAAAAATAATTCCAATTTTAATTTTTGACATACTAAATATCCAATATGACAACTATGTCGAAGGGGGCGGAATTTATTTATTTCTTAGGTCACGTGCATAAACAGTTTGAGTAAATAAATAAAAAATTAAAAAGTAGGCTTATTGCCCATGCCAAATGAATAAAATTGGCCTATACACAACTGTACAACTAGATCTAGACTCTAAATCTAGATTCTAGCCAACATGACATTTTACCTATATATAAAAAAGCTGTAAAACCAGTTTAATGTTTTAAGGGGTCATCCATAAATGATGCCACGCTTTTTAAAACGATTTTTACCTCTCCCCTCAGGCACACATCGTTTAAAAAAAGCCAGACCCCCTCCCCTAAAATGACGTCAACCTTCAGCCGGCATTCCCCCCCCCCCCCACCTCTTTATATTGCATTTGAATATTTTTTAAACGTCGATTTTTTTCTAAAATATTGACTGAGCTTGGTAAACGTAGGGAGAGCCCCTCAGCCCCCCCCCCCCCCCCCGAACGAAATGGAATTTATATAGAAAATATATACTTTTAACATTGTCCGCCCCCCTCCTCCCGAAAATTCTAGTCCACCCCCCCCCCGAAAATTTTAAGTGGTGCCCCTTCCCCCCCCCCCCCCCCCCGAGAAAAAAGTCTGGAAGAAACACTGAGGGTAAGGTTGGTTAGCTACGTCATGTTTTCAATATTTAATTATTTTTCTTTAGGTCAGGGGTCGGCAACCTTTTGTGACGGAAGAGCCAAAAGTTACAATTTATACAATTTCCCAGTTTTTAAAGAGCCACCGCGATTATTATTTCAATATTATGATCTTTAATCGGGGTTTGGGATATATAGAAACTTTGGGAAAAGATTGAGAATACACCTGGGAAGGTTTATGCGAAAAAAAGTTTTTTTTTCAAATTCTCAGGGTTGGCGGCCCGGTAGGGCGCGATTAGATTATTCTCTATTCACGGTATATTTTTTAAAAAGTCGCTTGCGGTTCGACACTGTTCATCCGAGTGCCATGAAACTTTGGAGAGTAGATGAGAATACTCCCGAGAAGATTTCTGGGGAAAAAAAATCAAATATCTAATGGGCGGCGCCCGGATGGTGCATTTTTTGTCTATGTTAGTACTATGTTAGTACTTGGCATACGTTGATCGGGGTTTCTGCCTTAGCGGGTAAGGGGTACTCCTATTTTCAGCGGCAAAACTGAAACAGGCGCAACCGCCGGTGCCTCGTTCATTGCGCGACCCGAAGCGCCCCGGGCTCACCTGCGAGCACTATAGCACCTACGTTTTTTTTTAAAAAGGCTATACACTATAGACACGATGGGCAACAATTCGTTCATTTTAAACAGCGCGATAGGCTATGGATACAATAGTTTGCTGTAGTCGCACACTAAATCGAATCAGTCGCGTCCTCCGGCTTCTCTGCAGGGTGCGATTTGGCGCCCAGGGCTATCCCGCGAGCACTAAGCGCCTACCTTAGTTTTAATACGGCATTCGATGATTAAGCCGAGCTAGGGGCCGTACGCGGCGCCCCTGCCGTAGTGTAATCGGGTTCACGAGAGCACCATTTTTCGTTCTCGACACTTAGGCGGTGAGTGATTAACCATGATATTACGGTGAGTGATTAACTTACACTCAAGGCTTTCATACAGCACGACATGGTAGTGGGCGATAGTATAGGAAACCAGTGCCTCGATAAATACGATCCAAACACAGGCACTGTTCACATTTAAATAACTCAGCTTTAGAAAACAAGAAAGTACATTGAAATAGGGAGTAACTAAATATTTTAATAGAATAGCAAGTGTCTATTGTTTATATTCATTATTATATTGTTCATTATCGAGTGTTGCAGACTAATACTATTATGAGTTTTAAAAATAAAATTAATTAATTATTAATATGTGTGCATCGAGCTGAAGAGCCGCATCTTGACACCAAAAGAGCCGCATGCGGCTCGCGAGCCGCAGGTTGCCGCCCCTTGCTTTAGGTCTAATGTAAGAAACACAACCCGGTCCTGTCCAGTATTTTTTCCAGACTTTTTTCTCGGGGAGGGGGGGGGGGGCGGACTACATTTTCCGGGGGGGGGGGGGTAGACACTGGTAAAAGTATATATTTTCTATATAAATTCCATTTCGTTCGGCGGGCGTAAGACTTTCTTCGGGGGGGGGGGGGGGGGGGGGGGCATAGAAAAAAACAATAATTCCCAGCACGGAACGTCTATTATTGTCCCTAGATCTACTTAGCCTACTTTTTTTCTAGACATTGTAGACCTAGATCTAGATTTATGTCGCAAGTATAAACTTGGCTCCCGGTTGTGTGTAACGAGTTTGTCCTCACTCCATGGGAAGAGGACTTATTTTTGCGACAAAATTTGAAAGAGGGTGTAGGACTAAAATCGGCGGATGGTGGCTGACAGTATGTAAGAACCCTAATTAAAATGTTTAAAAAATATATTTTCAATTTTTTTTTGGCGACTATACTAGATCTAGTCTAGAAACTAAATCTAGATATATTTTCTAGAATCTAGATCTAGATCTAGATCTGGAATCTAGATCTAGACGTTGAAACTATTCTGGCTTTGTTTTTCAAACTAGACTAGTGGCATTGCACAAACCCTGGCCTACGTTGAGGCAATAACCAACATGGCCGCCGTGAAAACTGATCCTATCGAAGAGACAAAAACCGAAGAATTTCCTTCTAATGGAGAACCCCTAGAATTGATAGCTGATCAGCAAGAAACCGTTGATTCAAAAAAGAAAAAGAAACGCAAAAAGAAGAAAAACAGTAATATTAATGTTTTGTTTGCTTATTTTCAACTCAGACAGTACTGACTGACGTACTGATGTCAACTGTTGTACTCAGTCAGTACTGTACTCAACACTCTTTTGATTTGAGTTCACATTCATTGTCGTCAACTCGTCAAGAAGTAGTATTGTAATTTCGACGTTTTATCATTAGGACTAGGGTTAAGGATAGGGTGGTAATCTATTGTTTTAGGTAGGCTACGTAAAATCAGCCTGTCTAGTAATGTGAAAAAAAGGTGACTCCTTACATTTTTTTTAGTAATTATTTCACATTTTTAGGAGGATTTATGTTTTAAAATTTACAAAAATGTTTCAAAGTTTCATTTATGTATCTGCTTTTAAACAGTTGTATTAAAGATTAAGTGTAACGCCGAGCAAACTGCTCTAATGCCAGCTTTAGCGTCACGCTCAGCGAACCGCGCAAATGCTGCCTTATTATTCAGTTATCTATAGGCCTAATATTTTACACAAATATATCTCAATATAATTCTATTAAAGCCTTAACAACGCTGCAACATTTTTTTACATTACAAGCTGCGGCCGATTTTACGCACCTAAAACGATAGATTACCAATAGGCGATAGGGTTTATCAAAAATGTGTATTTAGTTAGGCCTAACTAAAATATTTTTATTTTACTTCTAATAAATATAGGCCCTGTTAATACATTTTACTGTCATTTCTATTTACTTAGATGTTTGTAATGGAAATAATGAAAATTCTGAAGAGAACGGTTCTGCAGCTCAAATTGAACTTATTGTCAAGGATTTAAATTCAGTCAAAATTGATGCAGAAGAAGAGCAGGAGGGTAAAAAAAAATTTTTTTTATAAAATCATTTTTTTTTCTAAAAAAAACAGTTTTCCGAATAGTTATTTAATTTTTTTTATTATTATTGATTTAGAAGATGCAGATGATGGAGATGGAAAGAAAAAGAAAAAAAGAAATAAAAAGAAGAAGGGTAAGAATTAAGTCTACTTATTTTCACTTAATGGCATGGGAAGGCATGGCCTAGAGATAGAGTGCTAGACTGCTAACCCGAAAGTCTCAAGTTCAAATCCAGGTTCAAGTCAGTGGAACCCCCTGAGTTCACCCAGCTCCTCGCTAGGTCTAAAAGGGAATCTTTACTTTTGTTTTATCTTCGCTCTTATTTTAACAAGTGTAATAAAAGGGTAGTATTTATAGAGAGTAGTTCTGTTTCTTAACTAAAAAAAAATATAAAAAGATTGTTAAAAAATACCTAAAGCATTTAAATCCTTTGAATAAAATTTATAACTGAAAAATATTTACTGATTCTTGCTGACAAAATGTAGCCTGATTTAGTGATTTTAACAAAATGTAACCTGATTTACTTATTTCAGTCTATTCTATGATATTTCTATAGCCAATGTAGGGGGAGGAGCAAACAAACAACAGACTGTGCCTCCATCAATACCAATAGTAGAGCTTTTTAGCCCAGGAAACTATCCTGTTGGGGAGATCATGGAATACCCAACAGAGCAGGATAAGTAAGTTCTGTCTTTTTACTTTGAGAACTATATATTTTTGGTTTTAAAATTGTTTATGAATTGACACAGGTTTTTCAATGTAAATATAAAATGTTACATTTCAGTCGTACTGCTAAAAACAGAATGACAGATGAAGAGAAAAAGATGTTGGATAAATCTCACAGCCATTTGTATGAAGATATGAGATTAGCAGCAGAGGCCCACAGACAGGTACATTATTAACAGTTAATATAGCCATGTAATTACATCATACCAAAAGTAATAATTTGTGTTAGACTAATTTGAAATTTATACTTTAACATGTTTGTATAGTTTTATTTTCTTTTTCATTTTTTAGACCCGAAAATATATGAAGTCAATTATTAAACCAGGAATGACCATGTTTGATATTTGGTAAGTTGTCTAAACAAATACTTTCATAACATTGATTTAATTTAATGGATAAAACTTTATTTAAAGTTTCAATACAAAAATTGAATAGTCAAATGCTAATGTTTCGAAAAAATATTCTCCTAAATTATTTTACTTTAAAACCTCAAAATTGGCAAGCTATTTTTTTTAAGAAGTTCATAAGGAGTTGGTTGCTTTTAGTTTAAAACTTTCAAACATTTATAGTGAAGAGCTAGAAAGCACAGCCAGAAAGTTAATCAAAGAGAATGGATTGGAAGCTGGTCTAGCTTTTCCCACTGGCTGCTCCCTTAACCATTGTGCTGCCCACTACACACCTAATGCTGGTGATACAACTGTCCTTGGATATGATGATGTTTGTAAAATTGACTTTGGAACCCACATAAATGGTATTCATTTTTATTGTAGATCATTTAATTGAAGCTCATTTCTGTTAATGTGTCTGATAGTTTTATTTTTTAAAATGTAGACATCATTGTTATCTATTTATGGCATGATTAGTCATCTGTTCAAAATTATTTTCATAAACCAAACTATATGCTAGAGTTGTAAATTAGTATGTTTATGCTTGTCTTTTTTATGTCTAGCTGCCTGTAAAACTTATACAATTTATCTTTGTAAAAAAAAAATGATTAGGTCATCTTGTGGATTGTGCCTTTACTTTGACATTCAACCCAAAATATGATCAGCTACTATTGGCCGTGAAAGATGCAACCAACACAGGTGTGCGTGCTGCAGGTATTGATGTGAGGCTGTGTGATGTTGGTGAGCAGATACAGGAAGTCATGGAATCATATGAGGTGGAGCTTGATGGTAAAACATATCAAGGTAGGCAATAATGCATTCATCGATACATACATTTATATGCAGTAACATTAAATTAATGCATGAATTTTTTTACAGTTACAGTTTTTTAATTTTTGTACAGTAGAAGACTCTTAATAAATAAATTTTAAAAACAATTACAGATTCATTATTTAATAAAAACTTTGATTTATTTTATAATTTTCCAGTGTTTTTTTTTATCTACAATGCTGTAATTAAAATTTTCTAATCTGTATTTTTAGTTAAGCCAATTAGAAACTTGAATGGTCACTCTATTGGTCAGTACAGAATACATGGTGGAAAAACTGTGCCAATTGTCAAAGGGGGTGAAGCAACCAGGATGGAGGTAATTCAGTAACTTCTGTTTGGTTCATATAGTACTGCTATCTTTATAAATAATAGTGTTGAAAATTAGTAAACATTATGTCTCCCATTAATTGTAGATTTTAGATTGCAGCCTCCTAAAATTCCAGTAGGTCCTGGAAAACTCATAAAACTTTTAAAATTGTAAAAATGTTCTGGAAATCTCCCAAATTCTCAAAATTGTATGATTCTCAAAAATCTGCCAAATTGTTTTTTGTTCCATTGATGGCAAGTTATACTTAGTTCTGTAGGAAACAAACATTGTCACCCAGATGATCTCCGCTCGCATTTTCTTGTTAGCTGAAGAAAAAAATCCCATGATCAAAGGTTCACTGTGAGTTCACATTAGTTAAGATAGCAGCAGCCCTATACCATACGTCATAGCATAAACAATTGCTATTTGAGATATTTGGTGACGTCCCTTTATTTTTCCACAAACCAAGCAATTTGAAAAACGTACTTGAGGTAAATGTGAGTGCACAAAGTTTGTAGGCCTAGTACTAGTACCACGTGCGGCATTAAAGAAACTATGATTAAGTGAACATAACAGAAAAAGTAGGCTTTTATCGTTGGAAATGCTGTATATCTATTTTAATTATAGATCTCGCTTGACCTAGTTAACAGATTAACATGAGCGCTGCACTCAATGTAAATGCAACTATACAATACAAATTTCTTAATTTTAAAAATGTCCTGAAATGTATACAATACTCGTGAAAAGCTCCTGGAATTTGTTTTAAATTTTGGTGCATGAACACTGGTTATAGCCTATAACTGACATTGAAAAAAAATTTCAATGTCAGTTATAGGCTTTGAAAAATCAACTTGTACCCTTATTGTACAATTCATTCACAGGAAGGTGAAGTCTATGCTATTGAAACCTTTGGCAGTACTGGCAAAGGCCATGTACATGATGATATGGAAGTCTCTCATTACATGAAAAACTTTGAAGTTGGTCATGTTCCGCTCAGGTAAAAGCTGAATGAATTATTTTTAGTTATTTTCTATAAGGACTTTGAAGATTTGAAGTAAAAAAAATTTCTCATTTCCTCTTTTTTAGGCTTGCCAAGTCTAAACAGTTGTTGAATGTCATCAACCAGAACTTTGGGACCCTGGCTTTCTGTCGTCGCTGGCTGGATAGGCTGGGCCAAAGCAAATACTTAATGGCGCTGAAAAACTTGTGTGATGCTGGAATTGTGGATCCTTACCCTCCTCTCTGTGATCAAAAAGGCTCATATACCGCTCAGTTTGAGCACACTATCATTTTGAGACCCACCTGCAAGGAGGTGGTATCAAGAGGCGAAGACTATTAAAAAGCTGTACTGGAAAACTACAGAAAGAATTGTCAGTTTTACATTGTCCTTTCTTTATAGAACTCAGTCAAATAGATATTAAAGGATGTAAAATAGTTAAGTAAAACGGTGAAGAATTGAAGGTTTCATATTTTTTCATTATCATTTTAAAAGTTGCTTTATTTAAGTTAAACATCCAATAATTTTGATAACATAGTCTTTGCGGAACGAGAAAGAAATGTTGAGTTAAAGCCTATCAGATTTTTTAAAAAGATTTATAATGTAAAATATACCTGGTAGAAAAACTGATGCTTCATTCAAATAATTTCCAGGCTTTGATTACAAATAAATTGTTTTTTACCTAATTTATACTAAATGTTTAAAAGGCATTTTCACAATAGAAATCCAATTGAATTTCTAAATTTCTTTAGTAAACTTAAAAAATTTTCTTTTTGGAATGGATGTTAAATGATGATAATTTTAGGACTAGTGGAGGCAAATACTCATGGTAGTTAAAATTGTCAATGTGAGCATTCAGTTGCTTATTACAAAGTCAAATAAAAGGGCTTAGGTTGTTTTTTTTTTATTCTCTACCTGGTGTCAGTGTACAGAAATGTAAATTATTTTGAAATTTCAAAACTGAAGTGCACTGTATTTATTTGAAAAAGTAAATAAATCTTCAGACAACTGCAGTGTGATGTGTTTTTTTTTCTTCACCGAAAAGTAATCAAAAGTTGAAAGAAGGCAGACAATTAGATTTTTACATGTATGTGAAATTTCGTCTATATATATGAAACTGTACTCAAGTTAAAGGCTTTTGAAAAACCAAAAGTCGAATAAGTTTCACATTCGTTTATATAGAATCACACAATTAATGTAATACTTGTATGAAATTTCATCAACCTAGCAAACTGCATTCAAGTTATTGTGTTCACAGGCATATAAGACTTTTTTCGACTCAAGGGAGTTGTAAAACGTCAAGATTTGTGAAAAATTCAATTTTTTGCTCTATTACAATTTCGTCTATCTTGAAGTAGAATTCATCTGATTTATTGACCTCGGCATTGGAAGGGATAGTGTTTTTAACACTATGCCCAACCTAAGTTAGGTATCCATCAGAGCTGGGTGGACTCAGACACCTTCCACTGATTTGAACTCGACACTCTTGGGTTAGCAGTCTAGCTCTCTACCGCTAGGCCACACAGTCCCTGTAAAAAAGGTTTGATCTGCTTAGGTTCAGGATTAGGTCAACATCCGCTTGCTTGGCTTTATTTTTCCTTGCACCGCACTGGGCTATCGGCTACAAAAATGAAGAGGTTTGGGCGAAGATAGCTTAGCTGAACAGTGAAAGGTCTGACTCGACCCTCTTATATTGCGAGTGTATAGTGTTTGGATGTGTTCCATGTCACATAGGTCGCCCCCTGGCGGTCAGTCATGAGGCATTGGGAAACAGCAGCGTTCGGGATTGATCTAATGACACTAGGTTTCCGTACTGAACCTCATGGCGTCCGGTTCGAACCTACCCCCCTCTATCTCCTGGTTTACTTGTTGCCCATATTGACCTTGATTGTGTCTTCCAGTGGGGTGGCGTTTAAACATTCAGTCGCCTTGTATATGTCTATAGAAGTCTAGCACATTAGGCACACATCGCCTAGAGTTAGTGACGTCAGCACATTGCCTAGAGTTTATGACGTCAGCACATTGCCTAGAGTTTATGACGTCAGCACATTGGGCACACATCGCCTAGAGTTAGTGACGTCACTAGGTCGGGTGGCGCCCGGTTTATAACCCAGGTAAGCTTTCGAATACAAATCCTTGTTTTAACCGCAAAAACCACAGTTCAGTTTAAGCCAACTTTAGACAATAAAATCATGTTTTAACCACAACCACATTTCAACTTGGGCAAGCTTTCGACAATACACCGGTTGCATAATTATAATAGTTTAGTTACGTTTCGAATGGCTGCTTCTGAAAATAGGCATAATAGAATTATGTTGAATTTTGTAATTGAAAACAGATTCGGTTGAAAAGCACAGCCAGTTAACCTTTGAACCACGAACTATAAATTAGCAGAAATGCTTTAAGAAATGACATTTGTTTTCTAGCAGTGCGATGTTATAGTGTTCTAAGTGCCACTGGATTAATTTTATGATTCAATTAGCTTGGATAAAGGTAGACATGTTACCTGTTGGGAATATGAGATTTTTTTTTAAATATCAAAAGCTTTTTTCCCCTATAAAATCATGTAGGTGTTAATATAATTAACGGGTGGGGGGGGGGGGGTTAGGTGTAGTAAGCTTACAGTAGGGAGTAGGGTGAGTAGGCTCATATGTTACGAGAATACATCCATAACGGGCTAATGTCATTAAAAATAAGTCATGTGACTCATTTCTACAGCTGGTTTCTTTTCAACTTTGCGTGTAAGTGTATTTCTGGCGACAAAGCAATAGTATATAGAATCTAATTAAATATTAAACAGTCGTTAAAATTTATCACAAGACTATTATACCGAAGAGGGACAACTAGGATGTGAGAGTTACGGTTATTTCATTGAGGGCGGGGTGGAACTATATTTATTTTCATTAAAGACCAATCTATATATGAAATAATTATGTTGAATTCACAACTAAACTAAAATTGTCATTTAAGAAAAAAAATGTGTGTAAAAAAACTAATGTTGGTCATTTGTTATTTTTCAGATAAAAATCAAAAATGAGTTTTCGAGAAGAATTTAGTTTTAGGAAATTTGGCTTTCAGGATATTGCCATTGAAAGGTTTTGCATTTTTCAGGTAATCGTATGTATGTTTCTGTACAACATTGCACAGCTACATATATAATGTAACATGATTACCTACGTTTACACACATTTTAAAACAAGAGAACTAGTAGTTTAAAAGAAAAGTCTTGAAATTAAAAAAAAAAAATTAAATGATATTTCGAACTTTTGACTCTTTTTTTTCTTATGGCTAAGCTATATTTAAAAAGACAACTAAGTTTTGTAATAAAACGTATAGTAATTAAATGTGTTTAAATATACTTCCAGTGGCGTGCCCCAGGCGCAATCTATGTGTTTTATCGGCTGGTTCTTGCTGTATACACTAACGTGTGGCTGACTTTAAAAGCCATCAACCCCAATGTCGACACATATTTTCCATTAGTAAGTTAACATTTCAGAATTATTCAAGAATTATTACATACAATATTTTTTTGACATACTCACAAAGTAAATTATAATAATCATGATTGTTTTCTGCCTATAACTGACCTATGTTAGTGAATGTTTTCCTTGAGTATGTCCAGTGGCGTAGCGAGGTCGGGTGTCACCCGGTGCGGAATTTAATGGTGTCACCCCCCCCCCCAGAGGCGTAGCGACCCTTACCGGGGACAACCTTTCAAATTTTCGATTTGCACCCCCCCTCAAGTTTTCGATTTGCACCCCCCCCCTCAAGTTTTCGATTTGCACCCCCCTCAAGTTTTCGATTTGCACCCCCCTTCAAGTTTTTCTCGATATATTCTGCTATTTTTTACCTAGGTGTCACCCCCCTAAATGGTGTCACCCGGTGCGGTCCGCACCCCCCGCTCCCCCCCCCCCTCGCTACGCCCCTGAGTATGTCCATAACTGACATACAGTGGCGTCGCTAGGTCGGGTGTCACCCCCCCCCCCGGAATATATATATATCACTCCCCCCGTGATAGCTTTAAACTGTGCACAGATAATAGTAACGATCTTTATGTTTAGTAGGTTATGTATGATGTGGCATTGTTTTCTATATCACTAGAAGTTTTCGTCATGGGGTCGGGTTAAATTCATCTTTTTATTTTATTCTACACTTTTTAATACTATTTTCTTATATTATTTTTACAATTAAAAACTAAAACTGTTTTAAATTTCTTTTAGCCATGGGGCGCGTACCTGACCAACTGGACATACATCTTGTTGACAATATACTTCACCGTCCACGCCATTGTGACAATAGTTGTATACGCAATTTGTCGTGGCTCAGGACTCCCATTTTTGCATAGAAGATGCTCAGTAGATCACTGGCGTTTGTTTCATGAAGTGAATCAGTCAGCTGGGTATGAAATCATCAGTGGACAGGAGGAACAAAGAGAAAGTGTTTATACAATTAGGTACAACATCTACTTAACATTCCTATACAATCGTATTAATAGAAAGAACATATTATATATATATATATATATATATATATATATATATATATATATATATATATATATATATATATGTGTGTGTGTGTGTGTGTGTATGTATGCTTGTATGTATGTATGTATGTATGTATGTATGTATGTATGTATGTATGTATGTATGTATGTATGTATGTATGTATGTATGTATGTATGTATGTATGTATGTATGTATGTATGTATGTATGTATGTATGTATGTATGTATGTATGTATGTATGTATGTATGTATGTATGTATGTATGTATGTATGTATGTATATATAATCAACATTAATATTATACTTTGTATTCTGATGTGTTCAGGAACTCAATACCCTGGTATATGGGTCTTGTGTGGCTACTGTTCAGCGCTGCAAGTGTGGCCACAATCAATGACACATTTGTTTTTTGGGCTATCTTAGTGCCTGGCTCAAAGTTCGGAACACTCAACACAGACAATGAACAAATGCACCTGGTGAACTGTGTCTTGGTAGCGCTGGAGCACGCTGTTACTGCCATACCCATTCGTCTACTGCATGTCATCTATCCCATTATGTATGGATTTGTTTATGTCTTTTTCTCAATCTTTTACTGGGTGGACAATCACGACCATGTTATGTATCCTATTCTTGAGTGGGGGAACCTTGGTCCAACCATTGGTTATGTGTTTCTCATTGGTTTTGTTATAATACCAGTGGTACACATTTGTTTTTATATACTTTATAGACTAAAGATAGCATTGTTTCGTTGTTGTTGTCAAGAATCAGCATAAACTTTTAAGCTAATTGTGGTAGAATATGTGTATTATTTAATACACTTGAAATAATATTTTAAAACGCAAGTAAAAATTATAAAAGCTATGCATTGAAATAAAAACAACATCAATATTTTAAAAAGGATGATTTTTTTTGTCAGTTATTTTTTAATATAGGGGGGAATTGTCCACACATGACTTTGGACTTGGAGACGATTTGTGACGAGATGGAGGGGAGCGAACTAGGGGCGGGGCGGACACTTTTAAAAGTATATATTTTCTATATAAAATTCATTTCCTTCGGGGGAGGGTGGGGGTGGTAGACTTCCCCCCGAAGAGATGCCTGGAAAAAACTCTGACTAAATGTGTTTTCATTAAACAAGATAAATTATACATAGAAATCAACTTTTTTGTTCAAAAACAACATTAATTAATATTGTTCTTTTCGGCTAAACTAAATGGGAAGTAAAAAATTAGTTTTTAAACACAAAATAAAGTGGGGAATATTCAGCCAAAGATATTTTAGTCTTTCTTCCTTAGACGGACTGTTTAAAAGATCTTTGGAAACCCAACGCTTGAATGATTGTGGTTTCTATTGTGCATTACGAGTACATGTTTTTTTTTTTTTTTCACAAGACCATCCAATAGAATCATAGCTACTCTACAAAGCAAGGCAAAACTTGTTAAGTTGAATACAGCAGGAAATAGATTGTTGCCTTCCGTGTTTCAATCACATGCTGCGGTAACTGAGTGACGTAGCTGCATTGGACGACGTCTGAGTGCAGAGTTTCTTCCAAGGGCATCTCTTCGGTGGGGCTCAGCCCCCCCCCTTCACCCCGAATAAAGTCTACCGCTCCCCCCCCCCCCGAACGAAATGGAATTTATATAGAAAACATACTTTTACCAGTGTCCGCCCCCCACCCGAAAATATCAAGTGTCCCCCCCCCCCCCCCCCCCCCCGGAGAAAAAAGTCTGGAAAAAACACTGCTTGAGTGACTGGCCATAAGTGACCAACGCTTTGAACATACTATTGCTGAAGTTCGTGCCAGACCATTCAACAGCTACATAAGGGGTCATCCATAAATGACGTCACACTCGTAGGGGGGAGGGGGGGTCCGTAATTTTGTGACGATGTGTGATGAGGGGGAGGGGGGGGGGGGGTCAGATGTTGCGACGTCACATTTTTGCATTATAAAAAAGCAATGTTAGAAAACGAATTCTAGACGTTATTTCGCGTTTTAGATAACTGTTTTAATAAATTGTAATGTTTAGACAAGATTTTGAAAAAATATCGATGTTTTAAAAAAAATTCAACTGCAATTTTGAGGGGGGTTGTAGGTTGAGGTGTGACGTCATTTTAGTGGGGGGGGGGTCTGGCTTTTTGTGACGAGGTGTGACGGAGGGGAGGGGGGGAGGTAAAAATCGTCCAAAAAAGCGTGACGTCATTTATGGATGACCCCTAACCAGTTTCTTTCAGGCATCTCTTCGAGGAGGCACCCCCCCCAAGCAAATCTACCGCCCCTCCATAAATATAGAAAAAAATATGTAATTTATCCATTTATATAGAAAATATATACTTTTACCAGTGCCCCCCCCCCCCCGGAGAAAAATGTCTAAAAGAAACAATGTACATAACATCAGAAGAATTTAAACATATAGTAAGATTATATGAGAACAGCGACTTAGCCGATATGGGTGTAGTGTGTGTCCGAACCGTAGGATCAATAGGACAGAAAAAGTTGAGTTCATCTATGACTATAGCATTTGAAGGGTTGACTCAGGGTGGACCGCCTTGCAGACCCAAACGGACGTAACTTTATATGAGGTTTTTATCAACGTGTTACAAGACGGCATTTTTAGACGTGTGACATTTTCTTCTAGAGCTGAATTATGTCAATGTAAACTAGTACATTTTTTGGACCATAAATTTTTGGGGCGCTGTTTCATACTCTACCGCCCATACGATCTGCTTGAAAACCTTCATAGTAGGCCTACTAGTAGGCTATGTTGATCCTGCTCCACAATGGTGAAGTAGAAAACACCTCGGCGACCGCCTAGGTATTAGGGGCGGCAACTCGCGGGGCACCACCTGTCATACTAACACAGTGGCACCGGGTGCGAAGACTGGTTTGTTTATCACCAAGAGTACTGGCCCATTGTATTCCTAGTGTAGGGTGCTCTTTTAAACGATTTTAGTAGGTGCCATGGTGCAGCTTGCTCATAGGGGAGTCCGGGAACACCAGGTCACACGACCGCCGGAGGATGCGCCTGGTGCAGTTTGACAGTTGAATCAAGTAGTACCCTGATACCGTATGCAGGAATAAGGATGTCCAATAAGCAGATCTCAGGTGCTAAGATAGCTGCCGGGACACACGGGGGTTCAACCGCACAAAACCACCGAGACACCGCCCTTCCTATGTTTACAATTATTTACATTCTCTAATGACCGAAACCTACGATGAAATGAACTCAAGAACCTCCCCCCCAACGTTTAATGACGATAAAGTATTGTATAACAGACAGCACATACACAAACTTTGATTTTTATATATTTAGATTGATTTTGAATTATTAATATTATTTCCCGATCCGAAATTAATGAAAAAAAGGGTAGGCTACTTTCATATGCTATTAGCCATTTATAGTGAAAAAAAAAACTAATACAAACTCAAACTAAAACAAACTCATACAATACAATATTAATATATGATAGCAACTCCCCAACCCTTCAGGTATTATAATATTTACTAATTAAACCTTTTAATCGCTTATGTCGTGGAGAGATTTTTAGTATCATTAAATGACAAACTAGGCATTAGTGATTCGTCTACACCAGGGGTACCCAACCTTTTTTTTTACTCTAGAGCACATTCTAAAATATCGGTAGGGTGGCGGGCACCACCTATTTTAAATCAACAAACTCCTTCCAGAGGCGTAGCGACCCTTCCCGTCACCCGGGGGTACAAAACTTTCGATGTGCACCCCCCCCCTCAAACTTTCGATTTGCACCCCCCCCCCCCCTCAAATTTTCGATTTCCATCCCTTTCAACCTTTCAATAATGTTAATGAAAAAAATTCTGTCTCTGTCCAATAGTGAGAGGCGGGCACATACGAATCGTTGGGCGGGCGCCATGGCGCCCGCGGGCACGGGGTTGGGAACCCCTGGTCTACACATTACAATGACCCATTTTCTTTTACTTTTATGCTCTCCCGGATGTTTAAAATGCGCCTAACTCTAGATTTTTAGGAGCAAAATGCCTGAACAAAACACTGTCACTATAAGGGGTGTGGTCTATGGAAATAACGTTTATTTTTTTCTAGGGTATTTGACGGATGTGTGCTTGTGTTGGGGGAAGGGGGGGGGGGTGTTACACCAGGCTAACATCAATTGGGACATTTTTTAACAAATGATTTTTAAAACATTCAGTTTAGGTGATGTAATCTAAATACAACTTTAGTTTCAGTATTTTTAAAAATAATTACATTATCAATTAGGGTCTAATAAAAAAATAATTAGTTTGATTTACATTACATCATATAATAAAGACAGTTTGAGGGGGGGGGGGGGAAGCACTGCTTGTTTTAAAATAGAAAAAAAATATATGCCTAGGGCCCTATATATTATTTTTAAAGGAAAAAAAACTCATTAAAAATAACAACATTGTATAAAATACGGATAACTTTTCAAGTAGCAAGTATTCGTTGTCACCTTAATATTTGAAGTTCTATGTGTAGTCTTGGCCCTTGATAAGTGTCACGTGAAGATGAATTATTAATGACTTGTTTAATTTTTACATCATAACTATACCGCAACTTATCGTTAATGGCTATTGTATTCATTTTGATATTTATTGATTTTAAACTCTGTAAGTATGACTATAGTGATGACAATTAGCCTAAATGGACCTACTTTTACGATCATGTGCTGCCGATGACCTTTAACCTTTATACTTTGAACTAAAACAATTGTAAACAACTTCACACAACAACAAAAAACAACCAACCAGCTGTTTTTGGTCCTATTCTGTGATCAGAAGTGTGCGTGAAATAACTGCGACAATTTAATAAAACTTAATTCATTGATTATATATTATCTAGATTCTAGATCTAGGCCTAAGTATTGTAAGTAAAAGTAATTTTAAAGTAAGTTTATTTTATAAGTTTTCATTTTTCATATAGGCCCTATTAAAATAATTAAATATAGGGCAATATATCAATATAGGCCTAATTTAATAATTATTAGGCATTTTAGGCTTATATACTATATACTTATACTACTATATAGATAGTATAGAGTATAGTATAGAGTATAGTACTATAATATATAGTATATAGTAGTATATACTTAGTATTACTTAGTTATACTATATTTAATATAGAATAGTGAATATATATAGTATATCTAATAATTAGTAATTATTAGGCCTAATTACTAATTAATAAGGCCTAATAATAATGCTAATATTCATATATTTTTATATTTAGAATATATATATATTTATATATATATTATTTAGGGTACTATCTCTGATATACTGTGATATACTAGTATATTCTAAGTACTAAGTATAGTTAGTATATAATGGGGTCATCCATAAATGACGTCACTCTTTTTTGGACGATTTTTACCTCCCCCCCCCTCCCCTCTCACACGTCATCACAAAAAGCCAGACCCCGCCCCTAAAATGACATCACACCTCAGCCTACAACCCCCCCCCCTCAAAATTGCAGTTGAATTTTTTTTTAAACATCAATATTTTTCTAAAATCTTGACTGAACTCTGTCAAAATAGAGTATTTTAATCAATTCCTATTACAATTTATTGTAAACAGTTTTCTAAAATGCAAAATAACGTCTAAAATTCGTTTTCTGACTGCGTTTTTATAATGCAAAAGTGTGACGTCACACCATCTGAACCCCCCCCTTCCCCCTCATCACACACCGTCACATAATTACCAACCCCCCCCCCCCCACCCACGACGAGTGTGACATAATTTATGGAGACCCCAATATACTATATACATACTATAATAATAGTATTATTATCATATTATTCATAATTAATACTATTATTATTATAACATATGTAAAGATTCTTTCTGTTATTACTATTAACTTAATTTAATAGTAATAGTTTTAATCAGTGGCGTAGCGAGGTCGGGTGTCACCCGGTGCGGCATTTAATGGTGTCACCCCCCCAGAGGCATAGAGACCCTTCCCAGGGACAAACTTTCAAATTTTCGATTTGCACCCCCCCTCAAACTTTCGATTTGCACCCCCCCTCGAGTTTTCGATTTGCATTGCACCCCCCCCCCCCCTCGAGTTTTCGATTTGCACCCCCCCTCGAGTTTTTCTCTATATATTTTGCTATTTTTTGCCTTGGTGTCACCCCCCTAAATGGTGTCACCCGGTGCGGTCCGCACCCCCCGCCCCCCCCCCTCGCTACGCCCCTGGTTTTAATCACACCTGAATCAGAGAGGGTATTTATTTGCATGCTAATATCAGAGGGAGTTTTCACTCTAATGTCCTATAAGTTCCATGTGACTTCACGTTTTGTGTTTTCTCTATATTGTTCCTGAGTGACGGACAGAGTGACAGAATAGTGAAACTATTATTATAGATATATATATTTATTATTTACCGGCTAAACCCTTTTAAACCTTTAATAAATATTAAAGAGAAAGCAATAATTTAAAAATTGCTTTTAAAAAAAATACAACTGATTGTTTGCAGTGGCGTAGCGAGATCGGATGTCACCTGGTGCGGCACCTGATGGTGTCACCCCCTTCCATAAGAAAAAAAAGTATATAAATACACACACATATATATATATATATATATATATATATATATATATATATATATATATATATATATATATATATATATACACATATATATTTATATACACACATATATATTTATATACACACACATATATATATACACACACACATAAATATATATATGCACACACATATATATATATACACACACACATGTGTATATATATATATATATATATATATATATATATATATATATATATATATATATATATATATACACATATATATATATAAATATATATTCCTTTTTTATATATATATATATATATAAATATACAGAGGCGTAGCGAGGGGGGGGGGGGCGGGCGGGGGTGCGGACCTCACCGGGTGACACCATTTAGGGGGGGTGACACCAAGGCAAAAAATAGCAAAATATATAGAGAAAAACTTGAGCAAGGGGGTGCAAATCGAAAGTTTGAGGGGGGGGTGCAAAATCAAAAACTTGAGGTAGGGGCAGCCCGACCTCGCTACGCCACTGTAAATATATATATATTTATATATATATATATATATTCCATATACACTTGTAAGTATGTGTATACGCATGTGTTTATGTATTTAAATTTTTTTTTTCTGCTGGATGTATTTAATTTTTTTACCCCCCCCCCCCCTTGATTGCTTTAAACTGTGTTCTGATAATACTAACGATTTGTATCTATATTCGGTTTTAAATTCAGCTTGATGTTACATGTTTTCTTTATCATTAGCAGGTTTATGTCATGGTGTTACCCCCCCCCCCCCCATGTCGGGATTTGTCCACTTTGCTCTTAAAAGACTATTTAATTCACTCTAATTAATAATTTAATTAAGTGAAATTATCATTTTTATATATATATATATATATATATATATATATATATATATATATATATATATATATATATATATATATATATATATATATATATATACTAGCCGTCCCGGCCAGGCCCTGCTCTGGCTTCTGTAAAAAACCTTTCTGTTAAAGACCATTACGTGTATGCTTAGTTATCATCATAAACCCGGCATTGCCGACCCAAACTAAAACCAACCAAAACCAAATTAACAAAACGCAAAAAAAAGCTAACACAATTACAAATACAAACGAAAACAAAAACCTAACAACAAACCAACCACAAACACCAATACGAACACAAAGAAAAAAACAAACAAAAAAGCAAATGAAAACAAACCAAATCCAAACGCAAAACCAACCACAAACACAAACCCAACGAAAAAAAAAAAACAAACGAAAAAGCAAACGAAAACAACCCAAATCCAAACGCAATACCAACCACAAACACAAAAGCAAACGAAAACAAACCAAATCCAAACGCAAAACCAACCACAAACACAAACCCAAAGAAAAAAACACAAACGAAAAAGCAAACGAAAACAAACCAAATCCAAACGCAAAACCAACCACAAACCCAAAGAAAAAAACACAAAAGAAAAAACAAACGAAAACAAACCAAATCCAAACGCAAAACCAACCTCAAACACAAACACAAACGCAAACCCAATGAAAATAAAACACAAACGAAAACAAATAAACCGGGAGTAATCTCCCCTAAACTTTCTCGAATATTCTTATATAAAACAACAGGGGATGGGAACTCGGGCTATAGACATGATTTTTAATCCATTTTAAATACTTAAAGTTTTAAAAATAGAATAAAATCTCGTAGACAAAAGAATTGCACACCAAGTGAACGCCAAATAAAAAAGTGCAGAATAGTGCGCAATATTATTAGTACTTTAAAAATTTACATTAGTTTTTTGAGAAATCGGAAGTAGTGTAGATTACTACTTCCGGTCAATGGAAATTACTCAAAATTTAACAGAAGGTAGAGAATTAGATCTTTTACTTACATGTGAAATTTTATTTATCTATCTGAAATAGTACGCAAGTTATAGGCTTTTGAAAAATGCAAAGTAGAAAAAGTACCACTTCCGGTTATCGGAAATCGCTCAAAAGTTGATACGGATCTACGATTTTGATAAAATACTTATATATGAAATTTCATCAACCTAGCTGTAACGGTACTCAAGTTATCGTGTTTACACACGGACAGACAGACACACAGACATACGGACAGAATTGCAAAGCCCAGTTTTTCAGACTGGATTACGCAAAAAACCTCTTAATTTTGATAAATCTGGATTGATCATTTTTGCTCGATTAAAATAAGTCCTCTATACTTCGGATGTGATGAAGGACTGAGGTGTAATACGGTGAAAATTGTTAAAATTTCAAGTGATTTTTGTGCACGATTACAATACTTTCTCTATACTTCGTATATACGAGAAAGTAAAAAAGAAAGAACAAAAACGAACCAAATCAAAACGCAACCACTAACGCAAACCCAACCTAAAGACAAAGAAAACACTAACGCGAACATAAACGCACAGTGCTCACGGGGCTGAATCGCCTGCTTCAGCTTAATAAACGACTATAGTACCGCAACTTATTCATAGTCTTTTGCACTCACTTTAATGAACGTAGGCGCGAAACCGAACACGGGAGGCCCGGGACCCCTAATAGCACCCTGTCTGGGCGCCAGAGGACGCACCATGACGTCACCGCCTGATTGAACTTGGTAAACGACTATAGTACATAACTTATTCATAGTCTTTTGAACTCACGCGAACGTAGATACCCTAGCGTACACCGGAAGGCCCGGGGCGCCAAATAGCACCCTGTCGGGGTGCCGGAGGACGCCCGGATTTGATTCACTTAAAGACTATAGTAACCTTTCTTATCCATAGTCTATCGCAATGTTCAAAACAAAATTATGCAGCATAGCGCTCACATGATAGCCCAGGGTGCCAAATCGAACCGTGCAGGGGCGCCGGCGGACGCGCCTGTTTCAATTTAGTGAACAAAAATGATAACACTCCAAGCTTATCCGTAAATGGAAAGAAAGAAACATATAGGATTTGTAGGACCATGGCTTATTAAATGTTATTGATTTAAAAAAAAAAAAATTATTGAACAGTATGTTCAGTGTATAGAATAAATAAAAGGCAGTGTTAAAAATACCTAACGACATTGCACTTAATCAATCCCCGCTGATTATGTAATTATTTTTTTTTTCTTAACACCAAAACAAAGTAATAATAAAAAGTAAATTCTTTCTTCTTAATGATTTTTTTTTTTAAAGGGAAGTAACTGTGCAGTCAATACATCTCCGACACAATTTTAGAAATTTTATAAACGTCGATACACTTTTTAAAAATTTTATGTCGTGTTCATAATTGAAAATTATTCTTTTAAGTAAATAGAATGAAAATTGTTTTTAAAGACTTTCAATGGTAATTTTTTGACTCGTAAATTTAGACGACTGCGCACGATAATTGATCTAACACTTGAATCCGTAGAAATGCCAACGATGCACATTTTTGTCTGCCACATACAGAACTGAGCTTTATATATTAGATATATATAGCTATTTTTGGCCTTGGTGTCACCCCCCTACATGGCGTCACCCGGTGCGGTCTGCACCCCCAAATCCGCTTCACTACGCCTCTGGTTGTTTGTGGTTATAGGAAGGGCAGTAAAAATTTGACAACCTCTAATGACTGACTCTGATCATTGCGTAACCAGGGATTAAAATAGTTATCATGGTGCAAACAATTGTCTTCTACAAAAATGTTCTTTGTTGATAAAATCTTTATCTTCTTTTGTTGTTGACATTATTGTACAACAGAATTATGTAGGCTATTGATGACCAAACCTATTGCATTGTTTAACTAATAATACTATTATGAGACTATGCTATTAATAGTTGTTGATAAGCTTGATAAACTAGCTTATCAATTGCTTAGATAAACAAAAACTGGTATAAAATGTGCTAATTTAGATGTCAAGAAGCAGAAGTGCTCTTTAATATGCTACCATCTGTAAACTGTAACTTTATTTTGAAATAAACAAGTGGATATTTTTTGGTATTTGGTGTGCTTTTTTGTGGTTAGTTATTCTTTTTAAGAAAAGAAAATATTGGTACTTTACAATTAGTCAGAGACAATGCTGCTGGGGGTTAGGTGGTGTGGTTAGAGATGGCTTCTAAATTTCAGACTACATTAATCTTTTCTCAAATTCTTGCATTCTATAGTACCGTAATGTACTCTTTATAATATTTATATGTTCAAATAAATTTGATATTTATTCTTGTTTCACATGAAGAAAAAAACTTTAAATGCCAACATTTGATTTTCTGCAGATAAAAATTAACAATGAGTTTTCGAGAAGAATTTCGATTTAGGAAATTTGGCTTCCAAGATGTTTCCACTGAAAGGTTCTGTGTTTTTCAGGTACAGTTATTTCACAAATTTTGTAACTGTAATAGTGCTAGACTTATAATTTAAGAAGTTGCATTTAAGTCAAATTCATTTTGAGTTTTTAAAAATAACAATTTGCTATGTGGTGAGAAAAGTAAATTTACTAAATAAAAGATCCATATACCTCTTCAAATAAGCAAAGTTGGAACAGCGTATTTTTTAAACATTTTGTTCGTGCACTTTAAAAACAATAATAATATATATTTAGTGGTGCTTCTAAAAAAACAAATCCTAAATCTAAATGAAACAGTGCAGTACAATGTTGCCAAGCTGACTTTAAATTAAAAAAAAATTTCTATGCAAAAGTCTAAATTGCACAAAACTCAAAGTGTTGGTAATGGATTAAATCATTGATTCATTTGATTAGCCAACTGCAGCTTCTGAACCCCATGCTTGAGTAAATGTTATTTTAAAAAAAATTATACATATAATGTACAGTAAATTTGGTTTAATATAGATTTTTGGGACCTAAAATATAACTTATTGCGACTTCCATAGTATTTATATACGCAGAACTAATGTATAAATTTTCTGTTTACTCACAAAATGTTGCTAATTAAGCTCTTTATCAGTAAACATATTTATTTAAAATAAAAAAATGTATTAATACCACCTTAAGTTGTTACATTTTGCATTTCCAGTGGCGTACTCCTGGTGCACTTTATGTGCTATATCGGCTGGTACTAGCAGTGTACACTATTGTGTGGTTAAGTATAACAGCTAGCCACTCTCGCATCAGTGACAGTTTTTCAATGGTAAGTTGGCGCTAAAATAATATTAGTCAATTAAAAATGCTTTTTTACTTTCTCATATATGAAGTATATGAGAAAGGGACGTAGAGGCCTAGCGGTACAGAACTGGACTGCTAACCCGTTAGTCTCGAGTTCGAATCCGGGTTCAAGTCAGTAGACCATCCTTTAGTCCATCCAGCTCTGATAGGTACCTAACTCGTGTTAGGGTAAGTAAAGGTGGCTGGGCATAGTACTGACCACACTATCCCTTCATATGCCGAGGTCACAGAAACAGGTGAACTCTACTTCACTTGACCCGTAGAGCGTCAGATTTGGAAGAGAACTTTATTTCACTGCTACTAAAAATGCTTTTATGCAACAAAACGTTAATATTCTTATGCAATTTATTTTATAAACAACTTTAAAATGTCTGCATCTAATTCAATATAAAAAAAATTGTTACAATTGTAGAATAAAAAATGCAGTTCTCTTGATAAAAAGTTCATTATTTTTACATTCTAGTCATGGGGTTCGTACCTGACCAACTGGACATATGTCTTGTTGACAATATACTTCACCCTTCACGCCATTGTGGCGGTTGTTGCGTACACAATTTGTTGTGGTGCAGGGCTTAGCTTTTTGCACAGAAAACGCTCAGTAGATCACTGGCGCTTGTTTCATGAAGTGAATCAGTCAGCTGGGTATGAAATCATCAGTGGACAGGAGGAACAAAGAGAAAGTGTTTATGTTATGAGGTTAGTCTAAGAACATAATCAGTGGGTATTAAAACACTATGTTATGTTTGTATGTTTGTATCTATATCCATATCTATCTATCTATATTATCTATCTATCTCTCTCTTTCTATATATATATATATATATATATATATATATATATATATATATATATATATATATATATATATATATATATATATATATATACACACAAATATTTTTTTGCAATTTATTTGTAGGAACTCTGTACCCTGGTATATGGGTCTTGTATGGATTTTGTTCAATGCTGCAAGTGTAGGTGCAGTCATGGTGACTCTTGTTTTTTGGGCTATCTTAGTTCCTGGAACTCAATTGGGAACACTCACAGTTGACAATTTACAATTACATTTGGTGAACAGCATCTTGATAATTCTGGAACACGCTGTAACAGCCTTGCCTGTCCGCCTTTTCCATGTCATTTACCCAATATTTTATGGATTAATTTATGTATTTTTCTCAATATTTTATTGGGTGGATGATCACTCACATGTTATTTATTCTATTCTTGATTGGGGTAATGTAGGCCCAACTATTGGTTATGTGTTACTCATTGGTTTAGTTATTATACCAGTTATACACTTATGTTTTTATGGGTTTTATCGACTAAAGATTATTTTGTTTCGTCATTGCTGTCAAGAGTAATAAAATAACAGATAATTTTTGTATAAATTGTGGACAGAAGTAAATGCCTGTTTATTAATATTTTAAATTAGTGGTCTTTACTTTTTAAATATCTTATATTTTAAGGCGTGCTTATAAAAACAACCTCAACATTTTAATACATTTTTCATAGTTTTACATAATATTTTTATATAATACTAATACCTTTTAGAATTTGAATGGATATTTCGAAGCTTATGGAGATATTAATATGATAATTAAGTGATTTCTCTCCTAAAATTAATAATTTTTAAATTGATATTCGAGATTAAAAAAAATAATATACCATTATTGTATTTTAATCATGATAATAAAAATAATTGTTACTATTTGTGTATTATTACTATACTTTTCTGAACAATTTGCTGCTGCATTATATTATTCAACCTGTTACTAAAGTATTGTATTTACTGTTCTATTTATAAAATCCAGTAATTGCATTTTATCTTTGCCTTACATATGTTGTTTTATATCATCCTATTGATGGGAAAATAGATGCATTCCTGATATATTGTGAAAGTTGTACACATTCAATGTTTTCTAGCTTGTTGAAAAATATCTCTACTCTTTACACATTTATGATTTTTAACATTTTTTTTATTATATAATTATTGTATAGCAAAATATTTATAAAATTGGAATCCATATATATTGAATATTAAATTATTATTATAATTATATGGGATAGTAGTTTTAAAATTTAAGATAATACAAAAAATTGGTTAAAATAAGAGACATTCCAGTCATATACAGCTATATAGAATCATGCGTGTAGAGAGCCCATGTAGTGAGAACAAAACCAACAACAAACCAGATTTCTGTTCACAAATTCTTGCAAGTAGAACTAATTGTTTTAGCGGCTTCTAAATACTTTGATTTTTACAAATTAAATTTAAGAAAAAACTTGCTGAAAGTATGTACATTGTATGTTGATCCACATACAACATTAAACAAAGCTTATTTGTCAATGATTAAGTGTTGAATTACATTGTTCTCTACCCACGATCACTTGGTAAAACCTTACCATCAAATCTACCACATTTTAAGTCTACAATATGTGCATTTTGGTCAGCAGAATGTAAGTTGCCTTTGTGGCAATATTCTAAATAAACTCTCTCTGGCTCTTTTTACCAACAGCCAATATTCTTTCAGACCTTATACACCAGCTATATTTTTACTCTGATATTATAACCAAACATGACGAACTCTTGGATGTTCAGGCTGGATTTTATGCCTAGCTTGTCATTTTTCTTATAAATGTAAGAGTTTTATGGTGTGTATAGATCCTGTCATGACTGACATTTGAGATGCAATATTCCTTTAACTTTCAATATTATAATAATATTTTAACTTTTGTGATGTTGCCACTTGCTTAATATTATTAATAATCATGCTTTTTATTTTCATTTACAATACAAAATTCAGATTTTTTAAGATTTTTATTCCATTTATTTGTTTTTACACATTCCTGATTTTCTTTTTAACACATTTTTTTTATACAAGAACCTGTGAAATAAAATATTTTCCTGGGTTAGCCTAATTCCTTTTAAAGGACAAGAATGAAAGAATTTTACCTTAAGGGAGAATGGACCTTCAATTTTTCTTCCTGAATTCAACTTTGAACTATGCTTAAATTTAAATAAAGAAACTTCTATGTGTGGCACATTGTTTTTTAAACAGTCTTCCATTTCCTTTTTTCAATGTTATTTTATCTGAAACTAGTTTAAAAATATTTGCACCATGAATCTCGTTAAGTACTTAAATATTAATCACTCAAAAGCTTCAACTATTATTTTAGCAAATGCTGTATTTTTTTATCATTAGAATAGATTAGTATGTTTTTGTTTTCTATAATTTGTTTTATTTAAATTCTTAAATGTTATTAGTTAATAGAATAGCATGATAGAATATATGTTTTTCAAAATAAAAAAATTGTAAATTAAAATCTTCATTAATACTATTAATTTAAAGAAATAAAATTATTTCAAATGAATAAATTTTGTGTCTGTTTTTTTCTGGCGTTGCTCCCATTTGGTCGTTTCCAGTGGTATTAAAAATATAAACACAATGATCATAAATTAAAATTGTAGATTAAATTAAAATTGTATTTTTAAAATTAAAAACAAATAAGCTCCCCCCCCCCACACACACACTATCTTGGACAAAGCTGGTAAGCGGGTTTTAACGTTTCTTTTTTTAAACTGTTACACAATCTTAATATACGCTTTAACACAATTGGTTTCTTTTATAAGTGATAGAGATTATCTACTCAGTGTAAATCCTTCCTATTTAAGGTGGCAAAAAAAGCCCCCCCCCCATCTAGGAAAAGCTGGAAAGCGTTTTTTGCCGGTCACTTTTTCTTAAGGGTATTTGTTAAGCAGTTTCACAATCAATGCAGAAAACAGTAAAATCAGTATGTAAAGGTTCGAAGAAGTTACATTTCGCAATATCGACTGTTTATAATCCAAAACAGCAGCTAAAATGATCTTTTAAATATTTTTCCCACCCTTTTTGGCGCTCCCGGGGCCGGCGCCCGGTGACACGTGTACCCCCCTCGCTACGCCTCTGCTTTCAGGTATTTCTCCGGTGAGGGAGAAAGGGGGCGGATATCTTCAACCCCCCGACGAATTAGAAAGATATAGATCTACTTTGTATAGAAAATATATCCTTTTACCATTGTCACCACCTAATTCCGGGATACAAATAGTTAAGTTAAAAATACGTGAGGCATTTTAAGTTGCTTTCTCTAAAACACATCAACAAAACTGAATAAGTTAAGGTAATGTATGAAAAGTTGCACACCGTTTGTGTAACCTACATCGATGTAGAAGAAGTGTAACTTCCTTTCACCAACGAGGTGCGGACGTCATTACACAATAAACAAAGATTCCCGGCAGCAATCATGTATCCTTCCCGGGCGTTTAGTATAACAGAATTCCGGAGAAAATGTTTACAAGGATTAGTGTTTTTGACATCAACATCCATCTACATAATACATCTGACAAAACTATACAGTGGATTAATACGGTTAGCCTAAAACGAATCGGGAAAGATAAATTCATAAGCTACATTAGATTTTAAAATTCAGGCTTACCATGCTGCCTGAAAATAATAACAGCGGTTTGGATTCAAGAAATACGCGCTACGTGTTCATTGATGAACTCGACTTTACTTGTAAATTGCTGGTAGCTGGATATGGGAGGTAATAAGAACAACCACGAAACAACTTCAAAATCAACTTTCAAAAGGCTGGTGGCCAACCGTAAGAAAAAGAAACCAGAGAGTCACGGGGAGGCGGACGTTCAGGAAAACAAACCGTTCATGGAGGCCATCACTGACCAGACGAAAGAACTTTTCAAGCGACAGAGCTATTCGTTGTCTGCGTTGAAGAACGAGATCGTCGACTTGTCCAGCACTTGCACGTCGGGAAACGGCGGGGCAGACACGAACGCCAACGCTGTGTCAAAAGATAACGCGGTCTACTCGAAGCCGATCAGCTCCCCGCTGTTCAGGGCGATCAAAGTCCAGCAGGAGAACCAGATGGGGAAGGACAGCCCCAGGTCGACGCCGAGCCAACGCGTGGCTAAGAACAGCCCAGGGAAAGTTGTGATTGCGTGGGAGGAGCCTAGGAGAAAATTAGTTCGATCACTCACGTCCAGACAGGTGAGTACAGAGTTTCTTCCAGGCATCTCTTCGGGGGAGGGGGGGGGAGTCTACCCCCACGAACGTACTTTTACCAGTGACCTCCCCTCCCCCCTGAAAATACCAAGCCCCCTCCCCGGAGAACAAAGTCTGAAAGTAAACAAACGATGGATGAGTAGGTATTACATGTCAGTAGGCTACTTACATTCAGAAAAATGAGCTAGCAATGCATGTCAGTCTAGTCAATAGGCTACATCCCATCAGTGTTCTCCCCTCCCTCCCCCATTTAATAGTTATTCACGTTGAAAAAAAAGCTACCCTTTCCAAAAAAAAGTCGAGTGGCGCTTTTTACCAGCCACTGTCCCTTAACAGTTTTTAGTGTCACACAACTGATGTACTAAAAAAAAAAAAAAAAAAAAAAAAACAAAACAAAACAGCAAATAATTTTGTAAAGCCATATTTCAGTTTATTTTCTTAACTTCGACTGTATTGCATTATTGATGCAGCTCAGACTGAGCATATATTTTTTTCTATCCGTTTTGCGCCCCACTAGAGTCAGCGCTGGGAGCGGCCGCATCACCCGCTCTCCCTTAGCTACGCCTCTGGATCATATGCTTTGTTATTAAATGAGCGTGGTAAATGTGGGCAGTAAAAGTGGTTGAACTATTATTGTTGCGACGCGTTTAGATTAGAATTTCACGCTAACTCAAAGCTAGTGCTAAAAAACAACAACAAAGCACAGTTAGGTTGGACCATTCTATGAAATCCTACTTGATTCCATGGTTATATGTATAACGGAATTAAAACCTACATACTTCAGCTGTAGAACCCACTACATGATTTTGTGTCTGTTATAAATATTACCATACTAATACAAAGTATTAAAAAAATTCCATGCAAATACACATTTGTGACTTTTTTCATGTGATTTATTTTCTCCTGGACTTTTTTACTTTCTCGTATACAAAGTATAGAGAAAGTATTGTACTCGTGCAAAAAAATAAAATAATCGAAAACAAGATTTTCACAAATCTGGACGTTATACACCTCCCGGAGTCGGAAAAAACATAGTTTTGCAATTTTTCCGTATGTCTGTGTGCGCGTCTGTGTGAATGTGTGTCTGTGAACACGATAACTTGAGTACCGTTACAGCCAAGTTGATGAAATTTCATATACAAGTATTATATTAAATTTTTAGTTTTGTGTCAACTCTTCAGCGATTTCCGGTGACCGGAAGTGGAAATTATTCTAGTTTTGTTTTTGTAAAGGCCTATAACTTGTTTCAGATAGATAGACAAAATTTCACATATAAATAAAAGATCTAATTCTCTGCCTTATGTCAATCGCATATTCGAGAATGTTTAGGGGAGATCACTTCCACTTTATTTATTGCGAGATTTCTTTTTTTCCTGTGACTTTTCTCCTGCAAACATGGTACAAAGACTGCATTTTGAATAACGGTAAAAACAAAAACGAGTCTAGCGACAACTCTCTTAGCAATGCAGGGCAGACGAAAATGAAGCAGGCTCAAGACAAATGGAAAGACAACATCAGGGATTTGGCGTGTTTGATATTAATTATGTCGGAATACAGGGTGAAATGGGGGAATACAATTAGGACACTAGTGGCTACCAACGTAAATTATGAATGCATCCACTCATATGTGACCTCCAGCGCAACAACACTGTTTCTTTATTTGTATCAGAATATCACAAATGACAGATTAGGAATTTAAGAATTCTATGACGCACCTAGGATTTTTTAAATGTATCACAGCAAACATTACTTACGTTTACCAACTAATAAAGACTTTAACGTTGCCACTAGCCGATACAACAAAATGGTACAACTTTTATTTTCGGGGTCCACTGAAGGGGTGGGGGGTGGGGGGGGGGGGCGTCTAACCCCTCTTCAAAACACCTTCTGCATAATTCCTGACCTAATTAGGTGTTTCCTTTTTTGCGTGGTTCAATATTAAACACTTATCGACGATTTTTGGAATCTCGTGGACTCACTATCTCCAACCAAGGCCCATCAGAATGATTTAAAAAAAACACGTCAAACAATGCCAAGAAAATGTATGATTATTCACATTTCCTCGTGTTTAGTGGTCATCATTACACGAGTACATGTTATTTAACCGATCAAAGCCCAACCACTTTCACCCGCTCGCCTACTTTTAGTTTTGAGTCTGTATTTTCTACATCTGCCTTTCTAATAGCTATTTCATATATTCAAGGTTTGAACTCAAAACATTATGCATGGATTAGCAATCGACACAAACCATTTTGTTGAAAACGTTAATTATTGAATAATTTATTTGTGCGGTGAAAATAATGATCCGTTTCTAATCAATTAACTAGATCTAGATCTATTTATAGTCTAATATTAAATTATTTTTTAAAAATTAGGTCAAACTTTTTGTTGAGATAACATGACATGATATTGTAACGAGATTTTGGACGAGATTTTGGACTAAAAAATATGGCGTTTTCCATGACGACGAGACGCCATTAAAACTAGTAAAGAACTAGCTGGTTTTACCTCCAGTAAATTTGTCTCGTCCTGTCAGCCAGAATGCTACTCAGCTGGCTTAACGAAAAATCTTCATTAGATGATATTTTCTAATAAGTTTGGTGCTAATGGACTGGAGGCAAAACTCACGTACGATTCTAGGATACCTTTTCTTGTTTTTCGAATGAAAATCAATCTTAGTGCAAGGGAAATAATTTTACGACAAGAAACAATTAATTATTCATTAGATCTCTAGATTTAAGTAGATTTGGTTTATGGATTCAATATTCAGTAATTTAATACCGATCTGCATTTAGTTAAAGTAGGCTATTTTTAAAATGTAGGCCTACTTTGAAAATTTCAGCTGTTTAAGTTGTAGTTCTTGTCAAGCCAGTGAGTTTTTTTTCACATGACATGTTTTGGTTTTAGAAGTCCATGAAATACAAAAAAACCTAGATCTAGATCTAGACTCTAGAACTACTACTGTGTTTATTTAAAATTAATAATAAAAATAGTCGTAATGATTAATTTAGGCCAAATTAGACCTGATATTATAAAAAAAAAAAAGTTTATTTGTAGGGTATAGGCCCGATCTAATAATTGATTAATAAACTTTGGCCATTCATTTTGAAATTTAATTTAAGGTTATGACAGACAACATATCCAGCTTTCATCACTATACTTTATTTTTAAATTCTAAAGGGAAAGTCCCCTCTATTCATGGTCTCGAAGAAAAGAAAAGCTAGAAGTTTTTAGCTTGAAAAACATTCAGAAACGTAAAAGACTTAGGCCTGCTTTATTGTCTTTATGAATTAATGTTCAAAAACTTACAGCAAGTCTTGCTTATGCAGGGAAAAGGAAAATATAGGCCCTATTTTTGCCTTTATGGAAAAATTTTCATTTATTTATATTCTGACACTTAAACTTAAAAGTTTCACTTTATTATGACAAACTTTAAATCACAATATTAAAAAAATAAGAGATTTCAAGTCTGTAACCCCATTTCTTATTTTAACTTTAGTTCGTTAATGCCTTACACTAGTACATTGAAAAAAATTAAAAACCAATTCTTTGCATGTATTTTCTGAAATGCAGATAATAACTGTTTTAGTTATATTAAACATAGTTAAAATCAAGATCAAAATCTAAGTGCTGTTTCTTAATTTTAACTTAGAGCAGTAGACAAATGATCATGATATACAGTTTTAGAAATTTACACACATAATCATTTACAAATAAATCTTGTACTGCATTCATTATAATAGTTTCAAAAATGTTATCTAAGACAATTTAATTAAAATGCTTAAGTCTTTCTACAATAAGTTTTGTTTTACCCATATAAAATATGGTTATGTCGCTACGATTCTTTGGCAAAATAGTTTGATATAGGGAACCCAATTAGTGATGAGTGTTACTTATTTTAAAATAATAGCCTTATCAATTTATGTTTTATTAGAAATAAAGGCTTCTAGCAAAAAGTAACCGACAGATACATCATCACTGATCAAAATTGTCTTTCTTTCTAGTCTGGTGCTGTGGTTAGGATTAACATTACCATATAATATCCATTTAGTCGTATGGAAAAGCAGCAAAGTCATGTACTAGCATTGAAATGAGTGAGATTACAGCTTCTTTGAATGAATCTGTTTTCACCTTTCATCCTAAAGTAAGCACAGCTAGTATTAAGATTGTTGAAAGTTTGGGAACAGACTTCATGAGCAGACAGCAAAAACATATTGAGCATCAAAAAGAAATAGTAAGTAGAATAGCACACCAGTCTTTTTTTTTTAACTGCGCCTAACTTTCATTAAGTTTCTTATGTAACTATTTTTTTATTTGAAAATTATTTATCTTTCCACTCTTTTTGTAGTGAAATAACTAATTTAAACTGCAATTTTACAAAATACAGCAGACCAAACATGGACTAGTTAGATTGATTCCATTACATGACTAAATTATTCTACTAGACCGAAATATCTCAGATGGGTTAGTGTTGGTGATGTTTAAGTCTAAGAAAATCAGCATGGATGTGCAGCTGTGATCTTGAAATAACAGTATGTTTCAATGTTATTTATATCTTTATTACCATTGGAGAACTGATAATTTCAAACAGAAGATTTTTTAAAATTTGGCCAGTCCTTATGTCTTCACTTTTTTTTTTTTTATTCAGTAACACTATAGGTATCAACAGTTCCTATGAGTCACCACTGGTGTTTATGTTTTACTAGTCTCTTCTTAGTCCTTTCTGAAAACAGATTTAATACACAATTTTTTTCTGGCGACCTACTGTTTTTCACCATTGTTGGTTGTCATTTATTTGAACAGTACAAGCTTGCTCTAGCTGTAGATATAACTGTTCTGTGTAAAGGTAATAGTGCACTATGCTGTTATATTTGTACACTGCATTGCACATTGAAAAATCAATACTCTTCTGCAACCCTTAAAAGCTGTTCTATTTAATGTATTCTTAAAGAAGTGTCTCCACTTCTCATACTACTTATAAATGGCATAGAATGTTTTTCTTTGAGTGGCTCCAAATCAATTTCCATTCCCAGATATGCCCAATCCAGTTACTATTTATTAATTTTTAAAAATGAATAATGAATTAAAATTTGTTTGATTATAATAAATTTGTTATGTCAAATAGATAAGAATAGATATAAAAATCTTGTATTGTAAAGCTTCTGACAGTCAGATTGAATAATAGACATGAAGCAGAGGATTTGTGCTAGTGAACTATGGCATAGATAAAAGCCAAGTGTGTGAATCAATGCTTGTTAAAGGTTTATGAAAAGGGCTGCTCCATTAGCAACAGCTCTGGTTCTGTGTTAGCTACAGTAGACCATGCATGAACAGACTGATTGATTCACTACGTATCTGTAACATTTTATGTCACTGACATAGTTTTGATAGATATGTGCTGGATTCTAAGAAGTTGTATCTATGCTAATTAAATAACATTTGATTATTACTTAACTATTTTATCTAAACTAACTTTTGAATATAGTAGTATACAAATAGTAAGTGTTTGAATTGTGAGTGTGGAAATATTAAAAGTGAACAGAGAAATTAATTAAAAAAAATTATAGTATATCTAATTTGTTCAAAGAACAATAAGTTATCTTAAGTCTGTGATTGCTAATTGAAACAGTTTGAGTTCAAGCCTGTACAACAAGCCTGAGTTCTCTCTGACTTGTGCTGGGGTTTGTGAGGGTGGCTTAGTGTGGTACAGACCACACAATCCACTTTCAAACCTTGGTTGTAGAGACAGATACATTCTATTTCATCTACCTTATGGGTTTCCATGGCTTTACATTGTTTTCTTTCTATAGTTCTTTAACACGTTTAAAAACATTTAGTTTTTTTAAAAGTCAGCAAAAGACAATATGGTATATTATAACTGATGAAAAACTGTTCATATCATACATAAGTATATTACTAAATGTTTGAAAAATTCATCGCTCTTCACTTAAAAATTGAAAACATGATTTTTTTAGAAAAATTTTTTTTTTGGATCAGCTTATGTCTGTAACTAAAGAATTCATTTTTACTTAGTGTGAGGGTGGGGGTGATGAGGATGAAACCCCGGGTTGTAAAATTTTTGTGAAATCATCACACACAAGTCCAATTCAATATATGATGTTCTTTATTTACACAAATCAATTATTCTACTTTTACCTAACTAGTCTAAACTATATACTGTCTGCTAACACTAACTACAACTTCTATCTAACTGCACCCTCCCATGACCATCCCTAACACACTATCTACCTCTAACTTTTACATCTTTACCCTAGCGCTACCTATCACTGTCTGCCGACCCATGCTCCTGTCTTTCCATTGGTCTGTTTAACTAACTAAGCTATAGTCTGTTTCTACCATCTACTTGAATTCTAACTCAAACTAGCGCCATCACACTCAGGTATGTAATAAGCAAAAATACAAAATTGGAATACACATGTACTTTTAGTGTGCAATAAATGCTATTATTTCTAATGATAGCTTGAAAGATCAGGCCAACATCATAGATTTTCTGATCACAATGGGTCAACGGCTGACAGCAGAAAAGAAGTGAGTTGTTTGATCTCCATCTTATAGCCATAATTTACATTATGTCAAAGAGGATTAAAAGCAGAATAATTCATGTTTTCAAATACCAACTGACACAATTTACATAAGTTAGCACATCACACCAGATTTCAATCACTGACAATGAGCACATTATCCCAAATACCAATTACTAACAATGATCACATTACCCCAAATACCAATAACTGACAATGAGTAAATGAGTATATCACTCCAGACAACAGTTACTGCAGTAGGTTAGTTTCTGATATGAATGTTTTTTTCCATGAAATAAAAGATGCAGTAGGTTAAGTTTCTGACATGAATGTTTTTTTAATCCAGGAAACAAAAGATGCAGCAGGTTTAGTTTCTGAAAAAGAAAAGCTAGTGGCAGAGAAGATGAGTCCATCCAACAACAGCAATTTTAACCGTACCAAGCCTAGTGGACTGGACAAGGTCTACAATGGTCAGTTACACAACCTTTTTTCATTTACCAACCTTTTTTGTTTTTAAATTTTGATACTTTTGATGGTGTGAGATATTCCACTCATGTCACCTATTTTGTAGTGGGCCTCTGAGGAAAAACTTCACTTTGATTACTGTTGATCTTTTTCTATCTTCACCACAGAAACTTCTAGTTTTTATAGTATTTGAATGCTTACTTTTCATTTCAAAACATTATGATCATACAAAAACTTCCAAAAAAAAAACCTACCAAAAGAAAAGTACATTTTAAATAATGTAAAAAGTGAAATTAGGAACATCTATTCCAGTATTAATAACAGCTATTCTTCTGTTGTTGTACAGAAGATTAACATTTTAAACATGAACAACTCTATTGGGACTAAAAATAAATTACAAATAAACAGTGTTATCTTGCATAAGTTTACTTGTGGTCAAAATATTGTGTAAGACAAACTGCTAATATGTATTACATACTAATTATGGATATACTAATTTTTATTTGCTTATTAAATACTTTACTTTTGATTTTTAAATCAACTAGTTGGAGATAAATTATGATACAACTTTGAAAGACTATGATACTATTTTGTACAGTAATAATTGGATAGTCCAAATCTGAATTGGCCAGATTTAATGTCTTACAAAAAGTATAAATTTGTCTCATGAGTTTACATTGAACAAGTTTTATGTTCCTAGCACCCTTGGCCCAGGACAAAGTGGAACAAAAGTTCCACCAATCAGGAGCTGAGGGCCAGGGGAGAGAAGATAACTCTGGTAACCAAGCAAAAGATGCTGAAGAAACAAATGATCAGAGTGATTCTGGTAATTGAGTGTGTAGGGCAGCCACTAAATGTCCTAGTACATATAGCCTACTAACATTTGTGTATAGCTTTTGATGTTTGACCTAACAGTAAAGACTGAAATATTATCTTCATTAAAAAAAAAACATTTGCATAATTGGTTATAAATGTGTAAAATTACTGATAGCAAAACTTCAGATATTTTCAGTCTACATTTCAACATTGGTTTTTAGAAACATTTAATATCTAACTGCAAATGATATTTCCTAAAAATATTAACTGAAAATGTAATGGTTAACAAGAACAAAGATGTTAAAGATAGAATACATTTTTGTATACTGTTACTTACTAAATATTAATTGTGTTATAAGTTGCTTTTATCTCTTATTCTAAACTGAGGAAGAAAAAAAAGGTTTTTGAAAAATTTGACTAGCACTTCATGTCCTATCAAGGTTTATTTTTTAAACCATCATGACCTAACCCAGGAAAGTAACTATCAATACTTAGACATAAAAGAGTAAAGAATATTTGAATGAGTTTTTGTTTGATTCACAGTGTTGATATAGTCACTAGTTGACAAACTACCATCATGGTTGCATGCTGTGTTACTTTGTCACTTGTGTGTTAGATGTGCTGCATTATTTCAAAATTTATTATCTTGTTTGCAAAGCCTTATCATGTGCTAACTGGTATTACCAAATGTCCTTCACTGTTTTTAGAATATTAAACAACGTAGGATGCTGGATCATCCACTATCTTTGAAAATAAGATATTGTTAAACTTACAGAAATACTGTTTTGGATAACTGATTTGCCTAATCTTGTTGACCCATATAATAGAGCCAATTAATTAATCAACTTCTAAACCTTTCAAATAAAATTCAAATCAACATATATTTACAGAGGACATCTTCTTTAAAAATCTAAAAAAAAAATTTTAGAATTGTATGTTAAAATATTTTTGCAGAATCTAATTCCATTGAAAATACAGAACTCCAATGTGTATGTCAGTTTATATGTAAATGTTTGTGATTACAGATAGACAGAATAAAGCAGGAAATGGTACTTTGATGTTTATTGTGGTTATCATCATTCATAATTTTATTTTGTTATCCATTGTTTTTTTAAAACTATGTTATAATTTATTATTGATTTTATGACATTATGTAGAATTTAAAAGTGTTTTAACAGTAATTTAAAAAAAAATAGCTACTAATTTTCAATGACACTGAGTAATTTCTAACAGTTATACAAATAACTAATTTACAGTATTTTTTAAAAAATTCCATTTTTTTAAAATTAAAAGTATATGATACACAAAAACAGGCTCTGATTATTCCATTTTTTAAGCACACTTGAGATAAAAATAATTTTAAAATAATTTTTTAAAGGGAATAGATAATGTTTTTTTATACATTTTTATTGATTTGAGGGGCTTGAAATTTCTGCATTCTTAAACACAAAATAATGAAGATTGTTTTTATTTCCACAGAAAATGAAATGTCAGATGCGTTTTTAATTGCTCGTAGTAAGACCATGCCCACTCTGAATCGTGTAAAACTGCCTCAACAAAAGATAGGCATATGTCTGAATGAAGGAGATAGATTGAGACAAGCTAAGGATATGGCTGAAAGAGCAATTAAGGTGAGAATCAAAACAAGTTTGTGATTATGTAACAATTATACTTTATTATTTATTTTTTTATTAATTATAACACAGTTATACATAGTTATGCATGTTCTACCCATTTTTCTTCTATTCTCTTAGTAACTATTACATGTTATCATGAATGTGGGTTTGAACTCGGGACTTTCGGTTTAGCAACCATGAGATTTACTGACCCCACCATGGCAACTCCTTACTATCTATTAATTATTGTTATTAATCCTAGAAAAAGCATGAGCGTCATATGATTTTATGAAATGTGTGTAACTTCTTTTTTCAGTACAAGAAAATTTTCACAATACAGGGAGGCTACTCCACAATCCGTCAGAGTTTAAGGAAGAGGGGCTGGGTGGAGAAATTTTATAAAATACCACCACCAATAAAGAAATCACAGCAGGCAAAAAAGAACTCAGATGATGACGATAATAATGACGACGATGATGATGTTGTTGATGATGATGATGATGACATTGATGATATGGACAGTAAGTGCAACCTTCTGACAGCTCTACATAAGTTACTTGTGTTCCCTAAAAATGAATCTCATTTTAATGAGCTCTATCGTCAGGTCCTAAAGGGGAACTTGATTTATGTAATAAGAACTGAGTTTAATAGTTTATAAGAAACAAGAAACCTTATAGAATTCTTATAACTGCATCTTTAAAAACTCAGTCTTAGGACTTCCCTCATAAGGTTTTCACAAAATATTTTTTCATATATCACAACTTCCTCTGTAGTTGGTTTGTAATATAGTAACTACATTTACAGCAAAGGACAAAGTAGGTAATAAATATCTTTGATGAGTTGTTTTGTTTTATTCATAGTAAGTTGAATTTTTATTTTAAGATTTAGTTTTCCTTTACTGTGAAATACTTTATCAATTTAATGTTTTCATTAAACTTATCAAATTGTTTTTACTTTTTTTTGGTGTATTATTATCACAGAGGTTTAATTGTTTTTGACAGAAAACTTATAATCAGCATTTATGTTACTCTTAGATAAAAAATGCATTTCTTTTAGGGAAAAAACCTCATCTGTATTGAACATTTAAAAATTATTGATTTGATCCATAAAGTCCTGTAATAATTAACATTTAGGAACACATTTTGCTTTAAGAATAATATTTTTCAAATGTATTCTTACGTTTTTTTTTGTAAAAAATGACTTGGTTGATTCTCTTTCAGATGACCAACCCAAAGTTCCACCGTGGGAAGAGGATGATGGGATTTATGGAATAATGGTGAGGACTTGCGTTCTGATTTCTCAAACCAAATTAATAACCACAAATTTGAGTTCTTCAATAATTAATATAATAATTAAAATCTGAAGTACTCATTATAATGAAAGTAGTTTTTATTTCTTTGTCTTGACAGTCGCGATTGGTACGCAATGTAAACCCATCATTGTTCTGGGTGCTGAAGCGAGATGCCATTGATTATCGCTTCCTGTCAAAAGACCAAATGGTCAACCACTATTGCAAAGCTGGCTCCTTTACTACCAAGGTAACTATTGCACTTCAAGTATAGTCAGCAAACACATAGGCCCACATACATGGTACTTTCATAACAAATGCTCAGTTTACTAACAATGGAATCACAAAATACCATAGTTGTAAGATTTTGTTTGTTCGTCAAAGCATCAAGTGTTAATTTTTGTATCAACACTGAAGATACCCTAAAATATTTTCTGTTTTAATTTTCAGTTTGGTATAACTGAGTTATAATGTGATGTTTGTTTAATATCTTTTAGGTGGGCTTATGCGTTAACATGAAAAATGTTGTTTGGTTTGACAACACTGACCATGATACCTTCTTCCCCCGATGCTATCGTCTTAGTCATGATGAGGATAAAGAAGCCTTCATAGGTCAGCTTTTAGATTTCAGACTTTCTTTACATTGTCTGAAAATTTTGATTGTTATTAATGTTATTAGAAACACAAGGATAAAATAACCAGGAAAATATAGATTAACCACCACAACTCATTAACTAAATAAAATGCTCATAAAATGATTTAATATAGTATTTTTTCATTTATTAAAGTCATATATTATTATTTTAATGTCAGATAATCTCACGCATATGTTATAATAACTATTAGAGAAAAATATGCTTTTTTACAGCAATTTCTTAGTGTTTTTAAATCACAAGTCAAACCTTAAAAATAGTATCAAATTTCTGTTTTCACATGCTTAGAATTGTGTTATCAAAATATGAAATACACATTTATATTTAGAAACTCATATATAATTTTTAGATTTTTTTTTGGGTAAATGGGCTTTGGGCAAGAGAGTTTCACAATATGTTTGAAATCTGGCAAGCATCAGTTTGGGCAAGTGGCTTTCACACTAATGTTTTGGCAAAGCTTTTTAGGCAAATGTTTTTTTGGTAAATAGTTTTTAGGTAAATGTCTGGCACCCCATTCTTTTCACAAATCTATAGTTCAATGATCATATACCATTCTTTATACAACTCTTTGACTAAGGAGAAAAATCTGAATGAATTGTAATGGATTATTTAAAAAGATGTTACTTAACTTAATCAGAATTTCACCCCTTTCTTTACCTATCATCATGCATAATTACAAAAAGTTAAACCCTCAGCCCCCATAAAATGACATCACATAGTTACATGCCCTCTCTACCTCCCCCCCCCTACTCTGTGTCAAACCAACCACTCCCCCATGTATGTCACCATCACCTGAGCCACCCCCTTCAGTGTGTGATGTCGTATATGGACAAGACCTAACGTATATTTCCACTCCTACAGATGACTACAGATTGACTGCATGTATGAGCATTGTTAAAGTGGCTGTAAGGCAAAATATTCTTCCAGAAAAAAAATCTAAAGAAGACAAAGATCTTATTGATCAAAATGAGGTCATTAATTAATTTACTTGTTTTAAAACTGCACTTGAATTAATTCACTTAATAAAAAATGGATAATGTTATCCCCATGAAAGATTGGTCAGTCAGGGATGTATTTGTTCGTAATGTTTTGATATCATCTTGTGCAGGTGATTGTGAATGGCAGCACTGTGGATTCAAGCAGTGCTAAGAAACAAGCGGAGGCGGATAAAAAAGGTGCGGATGCTTGTGGATCAGAGGAAGATGAAGATAGTAAGTTGGGGCTCTGTCAGGGGCTAGCACCTTTCTCATAGGGGGACACCAAGTTGGAACTTGAGAACCATTGGGTTGCTAATTTTAAGTTTTAACCATCCTTGTTTGTCTGTTATCTTGAGAACTATTTGGGTACATATTTTAAGTTTTAACCATCCTTGTTTGTCTATTAACTTGAGAACTATTTGGGTACATATTTTAATGTTTTAACCATCCTTGTTTGTCTATTAACTTGAGAACTATTTGGGTACATATTTTAATGTTTTAACCATCCTTGTTTGTCTATTAACTTGAGAACCATTGGGTTGCTAATTTTAAGTTTTAACCATCCTTGTTTGTCTGTTATCTTGAGAACTATTTGGGTACATATTTTAAGTTTTAACCATCCTTGTTTGTCTATTAACTTGAGAACTATTTGGGTACATATTTTAATGTTTTAACCATCCTTGTTTGTCTATTAACTTGAGAACTATTTGGGTACATATTTTAATGTTTTAACCATCCTTGTTTGTCTATTAACTTGAGAACTATTTGGGTACATATTTTAAGTTTTAACCATCCTTGTTTGTCTATTAACTTGAGAACTATTTGGGTACATATTTTAAGTTTTAATCATCCTTGTTTGTTTATTAACTTGAGAACTATTTGGGTACATATTTTAAGTTTTAACCATCCTTGTTTGTCTATTAACTTGAGAACTATTTGGGTACATATTTTAAGTTTTAATCATCCTAGTTTGTTTGTTAACTTGAGAACTATTTGGGTACATATTTTAATGTTTTAATCATCCTTGTTTGTTTGTTAACTTGAGAACTATTTGGGTACATATTTTAAGTTTTAATCATCCTAGTTTGTTTGTTAACTTGAGAACTATTTGGGTACATATTTTAATGTTTTAATCATCCTTGTTTGTTTGTTAACTTGAGAACTATTTGGGTACAAATTTTAAGTTTTAATCATCCTTGTTTGTCTGTTAACTTGAGAACTATTTGGGTACAAATTTTAAGTTTTAATCATCCTTGTTTGTCTGTTAACTTGAGAACTATTTGGGTACATATTTTAAGTTTTAATCATCCTAGTTTGTCTGTTAACTTGAGAACTATTTGGGTACATAATTTAAGTTTTAATCATCCTAGTTTGTTTGTTAACTTGAGAACTATTTGGGTACATATTTTAACGTTTTAATCATCCTTGTTTGTTTGTTAACTTGAGAACTATTTGGGTACATATTTTAAGTTTTAATCATCCTAGTTTGTTTGTTAACTTGAGAACTATTTGGGTACATATTTTAACGTTTTAATCATCCTTGTTTGTTTGTTAACTTGAGAACTATTTGGGTACAAATTTTAAGTTTTAATCATCCTTGTTTGTTTGTTAACTAAAGAATTATTGAGGTACATATTTTAAATTTTAATCATCCTTTATCAAATTTTCAACTATTTATTTTAAAAAATATTGATGTTACAGTTTATTTTTCTGTATACCAAAACCTTGTATAAGTTGACATTGAAGCAATGGAAGGTGTTCTACTGCTAGTCCATTGAGGGACGGATGAGTTACCACATGCTTGTTTTTCTTTTCTCTGCAGCTCAAACTTTGCAAGGAAGTGTTTTTAAAAAGAAGAAGAAAACAAGGGCCAAGATACCTGTCAGAGTCTTGGAGACAGCTGTGTACCAGTGTGAAAAGTTTTTAGCATCCAAAGATCATGAAGATATAGATATGCCAAGTCAGGTTAGAGCAGATGTATATGTGGTGTGTGTGTGGTGTGGTGCTGTGTAGTGTGTGCTGTGTGGTCTTTTTTAGTATGATGGTATGTGTTGTATTGAATAACAAATTATGAGCATTATTTGAATTAATAACTTGGAGCAGAGGGGGGGGGGGGGTCATAACTTAAATAGTAACAGTGCTGAACACTGAAAAAGTGTTGTAAATAAATCTGTTTCTATCTTTCAGATTGGACAACTAACTGATCAACAGTGGGATGATCTTATTCAGTGGTATTATCAATTAGTCCAGTAAGTGTTAAGTCTACTTGCTCCTAGGACCTAGATAATATTCTACTTTATAGACAATAGGGTAAAAAGATATACCAATATGAAGCTTAAAATTTTAGATTCTACATCTTTAAAAAAATATACCCCTTTTCTATTTCACTAGCTTACATGATCCCACAATTTTGTGTTTATTTGATAAAATATTGTCCAGTAGGTACTTGACAAGCTTAGGGATTGATAAAAAAATGCCCCTCCTTTCTTGTAGGGCCCACACAAACATCCCCTCCATGACCACTCTCCTGCACACCAAAGATATTTAAAGTAGCATCAATTAGTTTATGTATTTCTAGCTCAGAAATGTAGTCCTGCCATTTTCTCTTCTCTCCAGTGAAGAAGGATCATTCACCCATGTACCATTGAATCTCGTGAATCAATGTGACAGCCTCACACGTCGCTTGGCCCAGCACTGTCCTCAATTTGAAATGGACGGCATTCGAAATGTTTGGATTGTCAAACCTGGTGCTAAGTCTCGCGGCCGAGGTAACCGCAAAATGTTTACTTGAAACATATTTAGTAACAAACATACTGTAGGGAACAGAAAGTCAAAAATGTCAGATTACCTATGTTGAAATAAATTTTAACCTTGAGATTGTCTTACATTGACAACTACATTTTACATGTGCTCATTTTTTTCTCTGCAGCATGCAAGGAAAGTTTATAAAATATTTTATTTCAATATACTATAGAACAATTATTTTTTAGTTTATTTAATTTTTTAAAAAGTTTTTTGTTTTGTTTCGTTACTTAGACTGTATAAAAGGAATCTCTATAGTCTCTTGAAAAGTAATCAATAGATGTTTTTTTAATAAAAATGTGCCTGTTTTAATTTTTTTAGGCATCATATGCTATGAAAAACTTGAAGATATGCTAAAACTTGTGGCTAGTCAGATTGTGAAGAAAGATGGCAAATATGTGGTGCAAAAGTACATAGGTGAGTACACTGGAGTATTCTCTTTGTAATTTTCTGTGTAATATTTATTCTTCAAACATGTTTCAATTGGTAGTTCAGTAACAGCAGGAAAACCAACTATGAGATATAAAATTATCAGAAAGGACAAAATAGCTTTGAAAAGTAAATCTGTGTAGTACTTTTAGAATAGAATAATTTTAAATAGAATTTGTCATAATTACTTTTAAGCTTGGATGAGGTTTGAATTCTTTTTTCAAAATTTAACAGCTTTAGTGGGATATTTTTCCCCTCTCTTTTAAATGCTGTTAATAAAACAGCCAATTCAAACACTCATTTTTTATGAACTGTTACAAATTATTTCTATATATAAAGTTTGTTGTTAATGTTTTAAAAATAATTGTTCTCTTTTTGTTATGTGAGATATTTTTGTTCAATATTATTATCAGTTAGTCCAGTTTTAGTAATTAATTTCCCCATTTATTGCTGGTGCCTTTTGCTGATAAAAAAAAAATGTAAATGATTAATTTCGTTTGTTATTTCCAGAGCGCCCTTTGCTGATCTATAATACCAAGTTTGATATCCGTCAGTGGTTTCTTGTAACAGACTGGAATCCTCTGACCCTGTGGTTTTATCGGGACTCATACTTGCGTTTCTGTTCCCAACAATTCACCTTGGAAGACTTTGATCAGAGCATCCATCTCTCCAACAATGCCATCCAGAAACATTACAAAAATGGGCCAAGGTCACCTCGGCTACCAGATGAGAATATGTGGACACATCAGGAGTTTATAGAGTATTTGAAGAAAGTATTTTTTTAATTCGTTTACTCATACCATTTTATTAATTTATTGAATATTTGATGGAAGTGTTTGTTCTAATTAGTTCATTCAAACCATTTTTAATTAATTAAATATTTGAAGAAAGTATTTTTAAATCAGTTCATTCAAACCATTTTATTAATTAATTAAATATTTGAAGAAAGTATATTTTTAATCAGTTGAATCAGACTATTTTATTAATTTATTGAATATTTGAAGAAAGTGTTTGTTTTAATTAGTCGAGTCAAACCATTTTATTTATTAATTGAATATTTGAAGAAAGTAATTTTCTAATTAGTTGAATCAAATCATTTATCAAATATTTGAAGAAAGAACTTTTTTAATTTGTTGAATCAAACCATTTGATTAATGTATAGCATATTAGAAGAAATTTTCCTAGGTTGATTCGGTTTTATCATTTTATAAAATATTTAAAGGAAATATCTATTAAATTTATCAAACTATATTTATTTGAATAAAATATTTCATGAAATTATAGTGAGCCAATATTTGTTTTTTTAAACAAAAATTGTGACATTTTTTGTGTATATAAGATGATCCAAGAAAATCTTGTAATAAGTCAGGTTTGGTATTATATTCAAAGCTATCAATTTCAACCAGAAAAGTTGGGGGTATTCTTTTAATCTCAAGATATTATCAATGTATGGAGTAGTTAGATTAATCCCAGGGCTTAGTCAATTTTTTAAAACTTTGTTAATTAATTTGTTCTTATTGGCATAGTTTTTATAGATTTTTCTTAGGAATTTATATATCAGCAGAATTTGATCTAATTGTTTAAGAAAGTTTCTATTAATCTAACCTATGTTGTTGGTGATAAACATGATTGTGTGAATTGTACAGGGGTAAAAGGCAACCAACAGCATGGGATGACATAATTTATCCAAGCATGAAAAAGGCAATCATCTGCTCACTATTGGTTACCCAAGATTTAGTGGAGTACAGAAAGGTACTGTGGTAAATTTATGTTTGCTTTGTTCTGTAGGATAGTGCAGCAGGGTAGGATAAGATGTAGGATAGTAAAAGTTTGTTTTATATGTATGGGATAGGATAAGGTTGATTAGCTAACAGGGTTTTTGATTAAGAAATCAGCTCACGTTTGGTATGTGGTTTTTAAATGTACCAGCCAACTCTTTAAACTTTAGTGACAGTTCCATTCACAATAAAGGATAAGAGATTTTGTGTCAGAACTTGTCTGTTAGAAGTAAATTGTAGTGTTTCTTTACATTCAACAGAATTATGAATTAATGTTTTTGTTTAGTACTTTTCTTTATATTTTTCAGTCGTCTTTTGAACTTTATGGTGCTGACTTCATGTTAACAGAAGATTTGACACCGTGGCTAATTGAAATTAACTCAAGCCCGAGTATGGAATCAAGTACGGCTGTCACAGCAAAACTCTGCACAGCTGTTTTAGATGACACTATTAAAGGTTACAATTTACACCTGTTTTAGAAGATTACATCAAAAACAAAGATGGCCATTTTTTAAATTGTGATTTTGTCTGTTCCAGTTGTCATTGACCGCAAACTTGACAGGAGTTGTGACATTGGTGCGTTTGAGTTAGCATACAAGCAACCCCTTGTCACAGTCCCGCCATACATTGGTATCAATCTGTGTGTTGAGGGCCAGTCAGTCAAGCGGCCCCCATGGGCAGTCAAGCCACAGGCCAAACCATCTGATGCCAACATCACTAACGATATGCTCTTCACCCCACGGGCTGTTACCATGAGGCAAACCACTGTGGACCGCAGTTTGGAGATTAAGAAAATAGAATCAAGTCCAAGCAAGAAAGACCCAGCTAGAACTGACACCAGCGGCAACAAAAACCTGAACGGCCAGTCATCAGCTCCCAGCAAAGATGTCATCTCTAAAGTGGGCACTTTTAGACCGGCGGCAGAGACTGAACGCTTTAAATCCAACAACAAGGGAGGCATCGGGCTGGTCAATATTTCAAACCTTGAAACAAAAGTGAACTCCGGCGGTGACAACTCACCCTTGTCAGGCTCTGCTCTAGCAGCACAAGTTTCAAAACAAATGAGAACAGTAGAAAGCGGCAAAAGTGAAAGTCTGACTTCAATGATCCCCTCGGAGAACCATTCAGCTGGGGCAAGGCTTGGGGAGTTACAGAGCGGACCTCCAGCCTCCTTGCCCAATACCCAGTATCTCGCCGGGTTAAACCAACGAAGATTCATCTCAAAGAAATCAGTCTCCAATAATTACACTATACCATCGTCCTCCGACAGAGCCGCTGCGTCCAAAAGTTTAGCCATCAGCAATGTCGAGGCCACGGATCTGAAGAATTACAAATCCAGTAAAGGTAACGACAACAGTTTTGTGTCTTTCCCACTGGGAAATAAGCTTAAACATAGAGACCGCTTGTTGGTAAAGAGATCTCAGGTCTCCTCATCTATTAATCAGCTACCAGCAAAACCCCCGGAGGCTGTTCATCTTCCTAAAGTTCCTTATGCTAGCTTAAGCAATGAGCAGCTCAGGAATGTTCATGTTCCCAGCATTCCCAGTAAACTGAGATACTTTAGACATTCAGAGGAGGTTCAGTATAACCTGAGCATGTCAATAGTTGGGGCACTAGGGAAGTAGACCAAACTTTTGTGGACCCAAACTTTACACTTGTGTCCTGTTGTCATAGATATTAAAATAAAACCTTGGAGTTTGTCCCTAGAACTTACTTAACCACCCAGTATTAATCACGGAATATTTTAAAGCAGTAAACATACAAGTAAAAAAAATAATTGGGGTAGCCAAGTTCAAATAATTCAGTGCTCACTTTATGATTACACAGGTTACAAAAAATGAAATGTGTTAGCAAATCCCATCAGTTGTAGATTGTTTCAGTACTCTACTTATCGCAGTGGTCTAAAATCTTACTGCCGATCACGACTTGACCATTCTGAAAGATTCCATTCAGTAGCTTACATCCCTACTAACATTAGCTCCTAACTTTTAGCAAGCTTCTCTATTTACTGCACCATAGACACAAACTAGATGAACATTTTTATTTTGTTATCAGATAGTGTGTTACATTATGGCTTCCATGATACTCAAGACATTTTACTTATGAAATATACTTTGTTTTTTCCCCTTTTGTTGAACCTACCTTTAAAGAGGGTAAAAAACTGTAAAGGTATGCCATTATCAAGCATGAGTTAAGCATGGTTTTTAATCAAGCTGCATGTTACTTATTCTGGTGCTGCCTACAAATGTATGTCTAGATCTAATTGTTTTTTTTTCTGCTCTTGTTAGGATATAGAGGGTTTTGAGGGTTCTTATATTCTGATGGTGTCAAGGTTATTACACTATGTCAGGGTCCTTAAACTGTGCTAGTGGTGTCAGGGTCCTGACACTACTGATGGTATCAAGGTCCTTACACTTGTCTAGTGGTGTCAGGGTTTCACACTGTCAGGGTCCTCACACCAGTTGAGAACTAAAAATATCAGTATTATTTGAAATACATATTTTAAAATATCTATTTAATTTTATGTCATTTTCTAAACCAAAATAGAATAGTGTAAGAATTTTTCTATAGAAAAAACATCTGTAGGATGAAGTAACTGAGTTGTTTTAACAAAATGTGCCGCACAATGTATTGTATGTTTGTCCTGCCTGCTTGCTGTTTACTCTCTTCTTAACTTCTACTGCTGCAAATTTGTTCGCTAATGTCAGCACCATGAATTTTTTTTCCTGCTAAGGATTAAAAAAGAAAAAGTTGAGAAAGGGACGCTTGTCATTGTCTCTGCCAAGATCGGTAACTATGGAGGTCCACGAGGCTTTAAAAGGCTCCCCCTACCTGGCAAAACTGCCACCTATCCCACTGAGTCTTATCCAGCCCCAAGGCCCAGCCCTCAAAGGGGCGGTGCCTTTATAGGCTAGCTGCATGGTACAGCTGTACCACTTTAGGGGTAACCACTGGCTGTTTCTTGCTTGCTGTTGTATCTAGTGCTCTAGTGCTAATCGCAGAGTGAAACAAACTAACCAAATATGTTGTGAGCCAGGTCATTAACCAGATTCATTTGTTTTTCTTTCTGCTTTTTAAAACAGCTTTATGCAACTTTCACTAATTTAACTACTCATTCCAAAATTTATTCATCTATAACAAAGGTTAAAGGTTGACCGTTAATGTAATTTCAAACATTTTTGACCTATCTCATTACACTGGTGTATCAGTAGTATAGCCATTACTTACTGGTTTCAAGTGTCACTTTGTACTCTAAGAATTCTATTGATGTATTTCACTTTTGTTTCATGTCACTTTGTACTCTAAGAATTCTATTGATGTATTTCACTTTTGTTTAATGTCACTTTGTACTCTAAGAATTCTATTGATGTATTTCACTTTTGTTTAATGTCACTTTGTACTCTGCATTCTATTTAATATATATCACTTGTGTTTCACGTTTTTTAAATATTATCTGTCAGCTTTTTGTGTTTTCTAAATTGGTAAGGGTATGTTCTCTGTAATATTGTTTATACGTGTCACAGTATAGAGCATGTGAGGGCTGGCGATACACATACACATACAACTTAAAGTAGTTGTTTTTGTACGACAGTTCCTTTATTAAACCACCTGGTAATTTACCAATATTTATTCAATGCTAGATAGTTTATCTTATTCTACATCTATCACTGTAGACAAGTAATTAAGTTGATTGAAAAAATTCTCAGTTGAAAACTTTCATCTCACAAGAAGTATCTTTATGAAATCACAGGTTTAATAGCCTGTGGAGTGAGTGTTTCAAATTATGCGATTTCATTATTTTACATTTTCTGCGCACAGATGATAGTTTTCCATTTTCTGAACAATCTTTGATCAAAAAATCTATCTAGGCTTCATTAATTTATATCCTAGCCTAGTCTATATTTGCTTGGTAAATTTGACGGGCTGATCTTCTTTTGCTTTCATCGATCACACTGTCAGTTGTGACCACTGCCTGTTTCAACCATGATGTATTGTGGGACTTTTAACATAATTTTTCTTTCATTAACACTGCAGAAATCACATCTAATAATCATTGAGCTTACACTGACATATTTTGTAAAGCTTTTTTCTATGTATATTAGGATGCACACTATTTCTCTTTGTTGCTCATTCATTTTTTTTAATGTGAGGGGACTTTTTTTTTTCTTTATACATTATATAATTTAAAAAGAAATAACAAATTATTAAAAATTCTAAGTAATTATGGAATTTTTCAAATTAAATTACTGACACACTGTTAAAGATAAATCATATTCTACATTTTTTAAATTTTTATTTTTAATAAATTTTAATTTTTGTTCCTATATATCCATTTATTTTCCTTTGTATTTTTTTTATTATACATAAATTATAATTAAATCTTAATATTATTATCAAAGTAACATTAGGAATTTATTGAATTAAGAAACAGCTTTTAAATTAATATTGTAGTTTTATGTTAAAAAAAAACTAGACCAACATAAATAAGAAAAATGTATTAAAGATTACCATAGGCAGTAGATCTAATGTACTGATTGATAGTAAAGCTATATTTGTATTAACCCATAGCTATGCTTTGTTGTCACAGTTTGCTGTGTGAACTAACTTGAAACGTCTGGCTTGTGTCACAGGTGCCACAGCCGCAGGGACCACATGGAACCGCACGTGCCAGCTGTGTGGGAGGGGAGGCAGCCTGCAGCTGGATTCTGCTGACCCAAACTGCAGATGCCAGCAGGATTCAGTGCTGGTGACCTCTTGCCCAACAAACAATACCGAATCATTGATAGCCACAGGCAACAAAATCCAGAGCAGCCGAACCAGAGCTCAGTTAAGAACAGCCGTGAAGAGTGCCAGACAGCCCTCCGCAGCGCTGCATATAAGCGCTGTTGTAGCTGACTTAGGAAATGTTGCCAAGGTGGACATGTCCCCTGAGAAGGCCATCAAGCCTGTCAGACCCATCTCAGCTTACACTGAAATTACCTCCCCTAGAAAGGCACACACGCCAAGGGGGAGAACTCACAAGAAAAGAAAATCTTCAAGCTTCCAACAAGACTCTGCAGGACTTTTTAACCAGCCGTTTCATTACAAAGTTCAGACCAGCAGCGCCAACTCCCAGGAAGTTTATCAAGGCAGTGGTTTCAGCTACACCAGTGGGAACTGGCATAATGTTCTCTTTGACAAGCCGCAACCTTTCTATCCTACCAGCCCCAAACTTCAAAACCCATATGTTCAGAGGACCTTTCATGGCAGCAGTATGCCTTACTCAGGAGTGGTGGGGCTCCGAGGGGTGGTGGGACTGAGGGCCAATGCGTCTCAGTCTATGCTGAAAGTATGGCCCCAGCTGTCCTACAACACCAGCCACTACATTGGTCCACTGGCCATCATGGCACAGAGGAAACTACAACTGAAGCAACCCAGGGGTGGCGTCTCATAGAGCAACCCAGGGGGTAGCATCTTATAGAACAATCCAGGGGTGGTTGTTTCAAAGAACAACCCAGGGGTGGCGTCTCGCAGAACAAACCCAAGGGCGGTGTCTCAGAGGTCAGCTCAACTGTGACCACTTGACCAGATGATGTTGCTGTCGTCAGCTGTACTTAATTGTGATGCCAGATAAGATTATTGTGCTCAAAGTTCTTGTTGCTTGATCTGAAGAAAAACAGAAAAGTGAACAAACTCTTCCCCACTATAGATGTATACAGTTTGAAATCTTTTATCTTTTATTACATCATACCTTCCAAAATAATATATACACAATTATATATATAGATTTATATATACTTTATTATATCTATATATATATGTACTATCTCTAACAGTGAAAATAGTATCTCCCTCGACTGGTCTGTTTTCTAACTATTCTTAAACCTGCATTTGATAAGAGTATAGAAAAATAAAATCACTATCATCAGTGAATAGAACCATGAATGACTGAAATTTGTTGAAAACACACAAAAAATTAAAATCAATCTAACACCTGAACATTGATTGCTATGTCTTACTTATGTTGCTGTGTTGCTTTTGCTGACATTTTAGTTCTGTTATTTATAATATTTTCATGGCTTTCTTAACAAAGTGGCTTTATTTTTAAAAAAAATTATTTTTCAAAACTTTGTTAAAAAAAATATTTTCATTTTTCTTCCTATGAATATTTTACCAGTGAAGTGTAGAAATAATTTTAGTTCCCCTCTTTTCTGTTTAACATTTTGGGATGGATAAGATGGCAGTTTTGTCAAACAGCCATCTGGCTTATATTTAGTGGTTTTTACTTTTTTTTAATCCAGTTAAAAATTAATGAAAAGTTGACTCATTGTTACTGTTGACTTGATTTCACCTGAGTTGGTAAGTTTGAAATGTACTTGTTGTATTCTGCTCATTACTTGAGATATGCAAATCTGTGTTTAACTTCCTATAAAATTTCTTTCTTAAAAACTTCAATGGCCTTCTCATATATATGGTAGTGGAATATGGATAAAAGGGTCTTACATTAAAAAAAAAACATAATTCTTGAATTCAGTGGTACTTGTGCCTCCAGTTTGTTTTAACTTGAGTATTAATGGAGCAACAAACTGTTACTTGTGCTTTCTTGTTCTGCCAAGCTCCAATGAAAGATGCTTACTTTCTTATGCTATGCATGTATAATTATTGTCAATTGTAGTTTTTTTATATGTTGAAACTTTTGCTCCTTCAATCTGAATAGCATTTGCTTCAAACGTTATGCCATATTTGATATGACTTACCCCATTTGAAAAAAAAAAGTATTTAATTGTTGAACTTACTTAACATTAGTACACTTCCTTAATGTATAAAAAAATCTTTGCCAAATTTTTAAATTTTCTAACCTAAAAAATACTTGCAATTTAAATGTGCTCTTTCTGGGACAATACATACAATTTAAACATTGCAACTATTTTTTGTTTCAATTCAGTTTGACAGAACTTTTGTGTTTTACTTTATGTGGATTTAATTGAATTTTTTTCTATAATTTGTTAATTAGTTTTATATTGCAGTTTGTGAAAACTTCACTTGAAGTCAGTTTATTTTAGGTTATCATTAATAGAATTAATAACAAATCAGTTTTTTTTATATTGATGGTAATTTTCAAGAAGCTTTGGACTTTCAGTACATCATCTGTTCAAACTTGTGACTTAATTAAGCCATCTTATTTAAATAGCTTTGTTAATGCAGAACAGTTTTGTAAATTATCTTTTATATACAAATTTTATTTTAGTAACCATTTTCAGAGATTCTTGTAGTGTCTTCCATATCATTTATATGAAATGATCTCTACTGTTTCTTTTAATGACAAATATAAATATGAACAGCTAGCAAATATTCAGTGGATGCCAGTTTGTTTTAAATTAGATCTACTTTTATTGTATAAACCAGTATGGCTATGGGATGTTGTTTTTTAAAAATGCTCTAAGCTTTGCCAGACTTGTATGACTTTTCTAACTTTAACCATTAAATGTATTTCTCTCTATAGCTCTAAAAAGCAATTCATATATTTACACTTCTTTCATTGTTATATAAATAAATTAAACATTGCTCATTGCATTCTGCTGATACTAAACTATCTGTATGCATTCTGCCTTCTCTTTTTCATATTCATATTTCAAAAGTATAATATTCCTCTGGTAGATTCAGTACCATTTAATACCCAGTTAAGCAATCCTAGCACTTGTATTGTAATCTACCATACACACCATTTTAGTTATAGGACTTGACTCGACTTTTTTTTAATACAACTTAAACTCAACTGAATAGCCTAAATCTGTATTTTGTTTGAATTTATGATAAATATTTGTGATGTTTTAAATAGATTATAGAAAATGTATTTGTAATGTGCAATTGACCAGCCAAATCTACAGTATTTCAATTTTGTTAAAATTAATTATTTATATAATTGTTTTTGAAGAGATTGTTGAGTTTTATGAAAGTGATTGTTGTTAGAAAGAAATTCAAGAATTTTGTTTAGTTTTTGAATGTTTGTGGTTTGAAATTGAGCACTGTTTAGATTATAACACTAACTGAATTATTTATTTACCAAATGAGATACTTTGTTATTGAAGGATGTTGTGTTGCTTTAGTTGATTAACGGTTCAATGTTTTACTCATCTCAATACATGATTTTACTTTATTACCATCAGTAAATGTGTGCTAGCTCACAAGCTCCGTTGTTATTTTCATACACATATTTGATTTTCTTTTTATTTTCTTCTAGCTGTTGAATGTTCAAATGTACCAAAATTGAAAATTGTTTCATCTTTTTTTTAATTCATGTAAAATATAAAGTCAATTACTGATCCATGTTTTTAATTTTTTTGGATGTAAAAGAAAATATATCCCTTGACCAATCAGTCATATTCCATTGCTATGACCGAAATCAACTAGGCCTAATTAATATTGGTTTTGTTATTATACATTAATTAATGGGGAAAAATGTATGAAACATACATTTGTCTAAATTGTTTTATTGTTTATTATCTACTTTTAAAAGCATTAAAATGTTAAGCAATATGCATACTGCTAGCATTTGTAACAATTATTATTGTAATATCATAATAAAATGTGCATGTGTTAATGCGGGCAGAATTTTAAAATGTTGCTTATTTTTAGTACTAAACTGATTATTGTCAGCATTTATTTTGCTTCCCCCCCCCCCCTCTCCTGTGGGCTCTAAAAAGTAACCTGTGATATTATTAAAGGCTGTGCTCATATTTTTTCTATACCTGTTAAGATCATGCCCTTTTGTTAAGGAATCAGTGTATTTTGTGTGTATGTGCATGCATTGAGTGTGCTTATTGCTGATTATATGTGTATGGGATGGGAACATTAGATCAATAAATTTCTTTTTGCCAACCTTGTGTTGATTCTTTTGTTATTTTTTTACCAGCTTTTCACATGTTTACAAAACTTGAAGTTTGTAATACAGTCATCCCTAAGTTGTTACAAAACTTGCAGTTTGTAAACAGTCATCCCTAAGTTGTTACAAAACTTGCAGTTTGTAAACAGTCATCCCTCAGTTATTACAAAACTTGCAGTTTGTAAACAGTCATCCCTAAGTTGTTACAAAACTTGCGGTTTGTAAACAGTCATCCCTCAGTTTTTGAGGTTAATAGGGGCCAGAACTGGTGGCAAACAGTGAAAAACAGCGAAGTAGTGTTACCCTTACATTTTTAATATACGTACATTTTTGTGTGTACATATAATATCAGTAAGTGTAAATGAAACCATTTTAAGTGCATAATAATACGTTGATTTTTTGTTGAATATTTTTTAGTAATGTACTGAGGGTGCAATAAATGAGACGCATGTGTCAGGTCCTAGAGGTGTGTCACCCTGGAGGTGTGTCAGGTCCTGGAGGTGTGTCACCCTGGAGGTGTGTCAGGTCCTGGAGGTGTGTCACCCTGGAGGTGTGTCACCCTGGAGGTGTGTCACCCTGGAGGTGTGTCAGGTCCTGGAGGTGTGTCACCCTGGAGGTGTGTCACCCTGGAGGTGTGTCAGGTTCTGTAGGTGTGTCACCCTGGAGGTGTGTCACCCTGGAGGTGTGTCAGGTCCTGGAGGTGTGTCACCCTGGAGGTGTGTCACCCTGGAGGTGTGTCAGGTCCTGGAGGTGTGTCACCCTGGAGGTGTGTCACCCTGGAGGTGTGTCACCCTGGAGGTGTGTCAGGTTCTGTAGGTGTGTCAGGTCCTGGAGGCGTGTCACCCTGGAGGTGTGTCACCCTGGAGGTGTGTCAGGTCCTGGAGGCGTGTCAGATCCTGGAGGCGTGTCAGATCCTGAAGGTGTGCCAGATCCTGAAGGTGTGTCAGGTCCTGGAGGCGTGTCAGATCCTGAAGGTGTGCCAGATCCTGAAGGTGTGTCAGGTCCTGGAGGTGTGTCAGGTCCTGGAGGTGTGTCAGGTTTTAGAGGTGTGTCAGGTCCTGGAGGTGTGTCAGGTCCTGGAGGTGTGTCAGGTTTTAGAGGTGTGTCAGGTCCTGGAAGTGTGTCAGGTCCTGGAGGTGTGTCAGGTCCTGGAGGTGTCACCCTGGAGGTGTGTCAGGTCCTGGAGGTGTGTCAGGTCCTGGAGGTGTCACCCTGGAGGTGTGTCACCCTGGAGGTGTGTCACCCTGGAGGTGTGTCAGGTCCTGGAGGTGTGTCACCCTGGAGGTGTGTCACCCTGGAGGTGTGTCAGGTCCTGGAGGTGTGTCACCCTGGAGGTGTGTCACCCTGGAGGTGTGTCAGGTTCTGTAGGTGTGTCACCCTGGAGGTGTGTCACCCTGGAGGTGTGTCACCCTGGAGGTGTGTCAGGTCCTGGAGGTGTGTCACCCTGGAGGTGTGTCACCCTGGAGGTGTGTCACCCTGGAGGTGTGTCAGGTCCTGGAGGTGTGTCACCCTGGAGGTGTGTCACCCTGGAGGTGTGTCAGGTTCTGTAGGTGTGTCAGGTCCTGGAGGCGTGTCACCCTGGAGGTGTGTCACCCTGGAGGTGTGTCAGGTCCTGGAGGCGTGTCAGATCCTGGAGGCGTGTCAGATCCTGAAGGTGTGCCAGATCCTGAAGGTGTGTCAGGTCCTGGAGGCGTGTCAGATCCTGAAGGTGTGCCAGATCCTGAAGGTGTGTCAGGTCCTGGAGGTGTGTCAGGTCCTGGAGGTGTGTCAGGTTTTAGAGGTGTGTCAGGTCCTGGAGGTGTGTCAGGTCCTGGAGGTGTGTCAGGTTTTAGAGGTGTGTCAGGTCCTGGAGGTGTGTCAGGTTTTAGAGGTGTGTCAGGTCCTGGAGGTGTGTCAGGTTTTAGAGGTGTGTCAGGTCCTGGAAGTGTGTCAGGTCCTGGAGGTATGTCAGGTCCTGGAGGTGTCACCCTGGAGGTGTGTCAGGTCCTGGAGGTGTGTCAGGTCCTGGAGGTGTCACCCTGGAGGTGTGTTAGATCCTGGAGGTGTGTCAGGTTCTGTAGGTGTGTCAGGTCCTGATGGAAAGCTTCATCTGTGTCACAAGTCCCGTTTCGGTAAGTGTTTCAAGGTTATGGTGTATGAGTCAGTGTCATCGTGTGTGTCACAAGGTCATCGTATATGAGCCACAAGGTCATCGAAGGTGAGTCACAAGGCCACCAAAATGTTACAAGGTTATCGTGGATGTATGTCACGTGTTTTGCTTGCAGAACTTGTATCATACAACTATCTTTATTTGAGACATTAACATATGAATAACACAGATACTTTCACCTTGGGTGAAAGAATGTAACGGTCAAATATGTGTGTTATATGGAGGAGTTTGGATGGTATATACAAGCGATGTATTATATTATATAGCGACATCGGAGAGTGCCGATAAAGTGTTTTTCAGTCAAAGCTTCAGAGGGGGGTCGGGGTGGTCGAGAGGTAAATCCAAAAAGAAAAGCGGGCTTAAAGCGGAGTTAATGGCCTTAATGGCGCATAACCAGTTGACACGTATACAGAGTTTCTTCCACGCCCCCCGAAAATTTTTTACCGCCCCCCCCCCCCCGAACGAAATGAAATTTAGATAATTTATATCGAAAATATATACTTTTAACAGTGTCCGCCCCCCCCCCCCGAAGAAAGTCTACCCCCCCCCCCCCGAAAATTTCAAGTGCCCCCCCCCCCCCCCCCCGGAGAAAAAAGTCTGGAAGAAACACTGCACGTATACTTAATTGTGTCGGAGGGGATCCCTTCCAACACTAAAATTAAGAACGAAGAAAAGGGGGCTTTAGAAAGTGTTGATATATTATATAAGCCACGATAATACATTATATATTATAAGGGCATCAAAGAAACGTTAAGTAAGGGCCTTGATTCGCGATATATCTAAGAAAAAACTGCAAAGCAGCAGTTGTCTGATATTGGGTTTTGCCATCTCCTAGATGGCTTGTCGTCCTTAGCAATCGAACCTCATCTGCTCGGGGGTTCCAACTAGGGACTTTTCGGCTTAGCAACCTTGGCATGAGCTTTACCGGTCCGACCACGTCGATTTGTTTTCCCCAAATGTTTCCCCACCGTTAGGAGTGGGCCCCATCTTGGAAAACACTGGTCTAAGTATGGGGCCCGTAAGTCTAAACGAAATGACGCGTCTTTGGCATGAGGGGGGGGGGGTGACTTATGTAGCGGTTAGCCTCTGGTTATACATACATATTGTATTGCAATGAAACTTGATGTAAAACATTAAAAAAAAAAACACTGACTCATCGAGATAGTCGTAGGCAAATCAAACTATCATATGATACGGCATTCTTATTTGATGATAGCCAACAAGAGAAGCCAACCGCCAACGCAGTTTCAAACCTCGTTAGAGAAAATAATATTATTGAGCGAATCTGATGGTTTAGATAATTTTTATGTTGGTGCTTAAATTAAATAAGAAAACAAACGTAAAAACCCACGTAGGCCTTATAGGCCTTCAAGCCTTAAGGTTTTGGCAGAGGCGTAGCGATGGGGGGGGGCGACGACAGGGGGGACATGTCCCCGGGAGCCGACCTTAGGGGGGCGCCAAAATGGGTTGGAAAAAGTAATCGAAAGTTTGGGGGGTGGGTGGGTGCAATTCGAAAGTTTGAGGGGGGGGGGTGCAAATCGAAAGTTTGTCCCCGGGCGCCGGGAAGGGTCACTACGCCTCTGGGTTTCGGTCGTATTGTTTGTTAGTTTAATAGGCATGTACCTTAATTTGTTTTCTGTCAACGATGACTTTGACTAAGATAAGTAAATATTTTAAAAAGAAATCAACGCTTTGGAAAATTGAAACCTCAACTTTGAGGGGCTGGTATGATGTGTAACATCATTTGGGTGGTGGGGGTTCGGCTTTTTTTGTGATATTGTGTGAAGATTGGGGAGGAGTTAAAAATCGCATTTTAAAAAGCCCGACGGCGTTTATGGATTACCCCAATACCCATTTTGAGAAATGCTACTGTGGTCGTTTATTAGGCGAATTTGGGGCCTATAGTCTAACTAAAGATAATCGTAAGTTTGTCTAAATTCTAACGGCGTTTTTCTGAACAAGCATAATACTAACTACTGTAACTAGACTGTGGCTTCGGTCGGAGTCCCACTTTAAATTATTTTATGTCAATAAATATGTAATAATGGGCCTGCATTGCGAAAGTGAATTAAAAAAAAAAAGATTAAAAAAAATTAAAAATCATATTCCTAGTTAACTAATATGGGGGAGTTTTTATACCAGTGTCCGATAATAATATCATAATAGTATCTTCTTTAAAAGAGGGGTGTTATTAACCCATATTCTGCTAGCGTCCCACTTATGGGACGCTTGTAAAAAAAATTGCTAAAATTTATTAAAAACTAGTTAAAACACAAATTATGTTTCATTGTATTTGAAAATGGTTAGACTATTGAATTTTTGTGTGTTTTGTGAAAAAAATTAACTTAGAAAAATGTTATAGGGCCGGATTTGCAGGACTTGTCAAAATGGCGGATAAAAGAAAACATGCGCACAGGAAAATGCATATCTTCTAAAATATTAACATTTTAAGTGCAAAATACATTTGAAACTTGTAGCAGTACCATATTTCCATCTGATAAAAATTTAAGAATAACAATTTGTTTTTACTACTTCGTTATATCAAGTGTACAACAAGCGTCCCATAAGTGGGACGCTAGCAACGAATGGCCCCATGTAGATTGTTACACAAACGTCACATTTATTTGACACTAGCGAGAAACATAGATGCAAATGTTTATGTTAAATGGTTATTTATGGTGAAACAATGGTTGACTATGTTAACTGCTGAATTTGGGGTGTTAAGTAGTATTTATAAATATTTAATTATGACCTTGACCTATATTTATGCAGATTGTTACACAAACTACACATTTATTGGACACTAGCGAGAAACACAGATGCAAATAATTATGTTAAATGGTTAATTATGGTGAAACAATTGTTGGCTTTGTTAATTGTTGACTTTAGGGTGTTAAGTAGTATTAATAGTTATTCAATTATGACCTTGAGCTATATTTTCTTATTTATTATTGTATTAAAAAATTAAAAATATTGAAAAACTTACATTTTATTTTTAAGTTTTCAGAATTACACTTACTGAAGTATTTAATACCATTGAATACAAACTAATTTAGTACTGCTGTAAATTTACTAGCGCGTGATATTAAAATTATAACAAACCAGAATAATAACGATGGCCACGATTGAGGTGCAATGATTCAGTCAAGGGGGTTGGTTAACTCTCTTCATATAAGAGAGCTCAAGCTACATATAGCAGAAAGGTGAATTAGCTGTGTACTGTTGTCATGCCCCAATAATATTCCCCTCCAAAGGTTCCCGATACCAGTTTTACTTTGTTAACTTTTTAAGGAGATTCCTGGTGTTAGATTGGGAGCTGTTCGCATAGTGAGGTGCATACATGGATGAGAGCCATGAACACTCAATACAAGCCCCCAGAGACATATCCGTGCCCTAGAAATAAGATGACTGATGTCCTAATGTACGCCTGTGAGGGGGGGGGGGGGGGGGAATAGCGAGGGTAACAAAAGAGAAGATGGCTGGAAGACATCTGGGACTGGACCGGATCGTCTTTTGAAAAATTCACTGACAGCAGAGTTTCTTTCATGCATCATTTCAGAGAGGGGGGGGGGGGCAGAACAAAATGGAAATTATATGCAAAACATACTTTTACCAATGTCCAACCTTCACGTGAAATTTGAGTCCCCCCCCCCCCCTGAAAATTTCAAGTACGCCCACCAAAAAATCAATTATTTATATTTAATTATATTACAATTTAGATGAATAATAACAATATTTGTGATCATGTGTGTATAATTAGATGTACTAGTCACAGCTTTACTTATTTCCAAGTGTTATTCACTTTGATGGATGGTAGATTGAAAGAAAAATAGACTTTTGAACAAAATTTCTGCATTTTAGACCATGGTATGGCTAACCCAATTGATCATTATCATTATTTTTAGCTGTCCTAAACAATGTAATCATTGGTCTAACAATACAAAATCAGTATACAGCTTAATTTTCGCGTGATTAGCCATATTTCGTGATAAATGATTATATTTTTCAATAAATGTACATGGGGCCGTTCGTTGCTAGCGTCCCATTTATGGGACGTTTTTTTAAAAATCGATATTTAAAAAAGTGTTGATTTTAAAATAAAATCCATAGTCATTCCTTCATTCAGTGCCCAAAAGCTAAACCATATCAAAAAATTATAAAAATTTGAGACCTTGGGATAATATGGGTTAATAGGCATATTTCAATGAATTTATACTTTACTAATAATTTCAATAGATAAACATTTAAAAACACGAATGAACATTGTGTGGAATAAGTTAGGCTAGAACTCTTAAACAGTTTTTAAAAAATGCATAATAATGTATAGAGCCTACTTTATAATTATTGCCCAGGCCTACTACATTTTCTAAATCTAGTCTAGGCTTACGGTAGGTCTACGCAAACGGTAAGCCTAGGCTAGCTCTGCTATTTTACCGACACTTAAAATCAAACGAACCGCACAGATTTAGCGTCATGAAACTCAGGAAAGGAGGTTCATTCGTATCAAAACTGATTGCTGCCAAATCATCTAAATTTAGGTTAGCCTTGCTAAACTAGATTGCAGACCAAATAGCAGGTATTGTTCGCAACATAAGATTTAATGCATACGGCTTTGGTGTAATTTTAAAATATTTTACATGTAGACTAGATCTTGTGTAAAATCAGAAAGACGCGCAATATTAAGAAATTATTCATGTTAAAAAGTTTTCCTCTCCAAGGTAAAGGAAATAAAAAACAAAATGGCGGCGTGGTAGAAAAATGAAAAAGAAATAAGAATATGAATATGCCAAACAACCCTTAGATTTAGATTTAGAATCTAAATCTCTAGATATCTAATCTAGATCTTGATTTTACATCAGTATCTATAAATTAATACATTATTGGGATTTAGGCCTAGATCTAAATACTACAATACTTTTATTTGCGATAAAATTCAGTCTTTTTTACAGTTGTGAGTTAGGCCTACAGCAGTGTGTATTGAGTGTATTTTCATTATTTTCAATTTTCTAACCATTGCCATTTGATTTCAGACATTGTAGTGAAAATGAGTGCAGAGTTTCTTCCAGGAATTTCGCCCCCCACCCCTCGAAAAAATTCTACCGCCCCCCCCCCCCCCCCCCCCCCCCCCCGAACGAAATGAAATTTATATAATTTTTAATTTTTAGGCCTAGGCCTAGGCCTATAGAAAATATATACTTTTAACAGTGTCGTCCCGTCCCGTCCCCCTGAAAATTTCAAGTGACTCCCCCAGAGAAAAAAGTCTGGAAGAAACACTGAATGAGTGATTGTGGGCGACAGCTAATACCGTAACAAACAAATAATACACAACACAGTCACTGAATAGTGAATAGTACTGAATAGATAGCCTACCTAATAAAATTAAATTAAAAATTAGGGGGAATTTTTATACCAGTGAGTGTCCGATAATAGTATTTTCTTTAAAAGAGGGGTGTTAGGTAACTGGTAGTTAACTAATATGGGGGAATTTTTATACCAGTGTTCAATACTATCATAATAGTATCTTCTTTAAAAAAGGGGTGTTAGGTAACTGGTAGTTAACTAATAACTAAATTATTAGTAACACACATTGCTGGCTAATCTCAATGCTAACCCGTATTAAACCTGTCCCTAAGGCCTAACCCCAACCCTAGTCCTACCATATGCCTAACCCTAATTTCTAACCATAAAATAGTCGCGATTACAATACTACTAACAACTAAACACACCTATTTTATAGAAGAGTCTATTATCGGACATCAGTATCTAAAATCATCCAAATCACAAAATGTGTGTTTCCAATCATAGAGTTTGTTGATAGTATTTATTACTTAAAAGTATCAACTTGATACAATAGTCCCTAATTATTATAGCTAAAATATATCAGCCTAGGCCTTAAAAGATCTCTAAGAGTAGTAAGAGCCACCAAAGCTTTTAAGAAAGAAAGCATATTAGTATTATTAAATTCATTTTCTTATTTTCAGTGCTTATCAAAGCTTATTAGAAATAACATTTTTAATAGCCTATTTGTTTTATTGATAATTTTTCTTTGACTTTTTACTAAAAAGTGTAAAGACTAAGTATTACTATGTATTTGTAAAATAAAATAGACTATTAGATTTACTACTTAGTATCTACTCTCAGCCCACAAGTGTAATAAAGCAGACTGAGCAGGAAGGCTTTCAAGATTAGATCTAGACTTAAAATTAAAGGGTGAAACGTGGTTGATGTTGTTACTAACTAGAAAACAAATGAGATATGTCAACATAACACATTAGCCCGAAGTAATTCTGACATTTCATGCTGAATTTTAAAAAGTTTCTTCTTTGCTAAATGAATAACCAGGCAAGCTAGTATTTAGTATGTATATTAGACTACTGGATGCCATGCATACTTCATAAAATGTAAAAATTATTAAACTTTCCCCCCAGATGTTGACCATGAATTCTTGATACTGTTAAATATTAGAGGCAAGACAGGGACACTCTTCACAAGCTTTCATAATTTCCCAAGTGCAAAACTGCAGCATCAAGGAATGGAATTCAGTTTACCTCTTCCACCTCAGCTTGATAAAGGTGGTGTCATTTTCAAGCAGTGGAACAATTTTTTACAACGATATCATTACCACAGAAACACTTATCAAGATGCAGGTTTGGATTCACCATCAGTCTTGTTGTTTGCTGCTCGGCTTCAGATGAGTAATATTTATGAGTCAATGAAAATGATAGACATTGACTTACCAAAATTAAATAGTATATTAGAAGTAATTGAACAAATTTGCCTTCCACAGTTCATTCTTCTGTTTGAAAGGTATCGCTATTTCACTCTGGAACAAGAAACATCTGAGACGTTAAACGACTTTATTCACGTTTTGCGCAAACAAGTTGAGCTTTGTGAATTTGGTGATCTAAAATTAAAAGACAGCATAATGACCAATGCCTTGGTTAATGGTGTCATAGATGAGAATTTTAAACAAAATTTACAAAACACTGGTGGGCTTTGTTTCGATGATGCAGTAACAATTTGCAGTGGGGTGGCTGGATCAAGTAAAACTATGAGCGTGGAAGATATAAACACTCTGGTAGCTAAAAGTAAAAGGGGCAGGGGAAGACTGAGGTCCTCTGTGGTATCCACATATAAAAAAAGCATGTACATGATGCCTGTTTATGATAGCATGAATGAAGATGGAGATGCGGAGGACCATATAGTGGAAACTGTCCTTGATGAGGGTGAAAGGAAATCCAAAGTCAAGGCAAAGCGGAATGTTGCATCAGCCCACAAAAAAAGCAACACCAAACAGTTCCTTTGTTACACTTGTGATAACGAGTATGCCACGAGGAAATCATTTAGACGCCATATTGCAAACAAACATGGGGATCACAAATCTTTTTACTGTAAGCACTGTAAAATTACTTTTAATAATAGGACAGAATGTATAACCCACTGTAAAGGGCACTCCACTACTCCTTCATCAACCGGGCAGCCTGGCTCTTGGAAAAAGACAGATGGCACAGACTACCTGTGCTGGTACTGTGATGAGACATTCACTAACCTACCTGATTACAAGACTCACTGTGCTACTCATCTAGCTGTCAGAGTCTTTCACTGTGACCTGTGTCAAAAGAAAAATCACAACATTACCAGAATGGTGGGGCATCTCAAAGGGCATTTGGTGCCCAGGCACAAGTGTGAGATTTGTGGCAATTGTTTTGGTAGAGATGAACTGCTTGCTGCTCACCTCCAAACACACGCTGAGAAGCCAGTTCATCAGTGTGAGATCTGTGCCAAGAGTTTCGTCAGCGCCGACCGTCTTCACTGTCACATGAGGACCCACTCGGGTGAGAAGCGCTTCACGTGTGAGCTCTGTGGCAAGTCTTTCTCACAGAAGATGAGTTTCGACTACCACAAGCGTTGGCATGCAGGAGAGAAACCTTACGAGTGTGACATTTGTGGTCGACGCACAATCTCTTTTGGTGACTTGAGGAAACACAAACGCATGCACAGTGACAGGAGACCTTACGTCTGTGAAGTCTGTGGCAAGAGCTTTCGCTTTATTTCCAATCTGAACAGACATCGCCAAGGCCACACTGGCAAGAGATCACATGTATGCACTGTTTGCGGCAGGACGTTTATCTATGGGGAGGGACTCCGAGATCACATCAAAGCGGGACGTTGCCCTGGAAGTAAGAAAGATGGGATGGGTAAAACGCCCCGCGGCCCCAGACGTGGCCCATCAGTCCCTAATCCCCAGATGATGCCTATGATGGACAATGTTAATCCTCCAGGTTTTCAAGTCACTCACCAGCCACCTGAAAATTTACAAAACGACTTTGCTCCTTGGCAGTATATGATCCGAAATAATGAGGCAGAAGGTACAAGTGGGTTTGTTCTAGTACCGCCATTTTATTAAAGTATACTTTTTTCTATTTCACAATTTGATGATTGACTGTAATTTAATAGCTCTTAATAATTTAAGAGTGTGTACATGTAGCTCGGTTTTTTTTTTAGCCTATTGAGAAAATGCAAGATTTAAAACAAATTTTTTTAAAGGATACATTAATTTATTTTCTTTGAATTTGAAGGGTAGAAAATTACAATTTTTCTACCTTAAATGTTCCAATTTAACCAAGATTTTGAGTTTGAAATGTTCAAATAAGTACACTATAGTCACTGTGCCTGTTTTTTTCATAATTTTCTTGTGATATTAGAGTGTGAGAATTTTCTGTCTAGTGCAAATGAGAATGATCCATTCATAATAAATCATCCCTAAATTAGGAAGTTTGAGCCAGCTTTTTATATGGCTGCAGCTATGTTCATATAGCTTAGATGTACATGATTCTTTTACCTGTGATACAGACAATTATACTTTGGCCGTATTGATTTGTTGTAGACTCAGATAAAACCATTGCTAGAGATGATGTACGCTACCATATATTTGCTATTACAGCATAACTTTTATTTATACATGTATTTTAACCAAAAGTACTTGTTTAATATTATATAAGTACTTAATCATATGTAGTGTTGTTAGCAGTATAGTTGCATTTGTAGAGCTGCACATTACCCCAGGTATTGTAGTTTTTAATTGTACTGGTTTAATTTGCATTTGGTAAATGTCAAAACAAGAATCAATTGTGTTTAAAAACTTGTAGTGATGAAGCCAGGGATTGTATTATTAAATAATTCACTTAGATATTGCTTGGTATAGCATGTGAATACCTCTCTTTTTAAAAGTATGTTTTCTGTTGCAAAAATCTTTCTCTGATGTAGGTCTTAGAGAATAGTTTTTGTGTCAAACTTTTTCAATGTTTTAGTTATTGTGGTACTGTATCTACACTTAGAGCTGTAGTGTTAAGATGTTGTTTTAAATTACTTCTGTTGATCTTAAAATTTCTGAGGTCACATCATAATTTATTTTACTGTCCTCTGAACCACATAAAAAAAAATTTGCTATTATTTTATGTCTACTTTTTAATACATAAAATGATTAGAGTTTACGCGTCTAAGACTCACATTCTTCTGATTTCTATTTCAATGAAAACTGTAACCATTGTGTCAAGATGTTTTATGTGAACTGTTTACTGTGATGATTGAGCTCATGGGGAAAGTCAAATTCACCTTGTTGTCTTGACAGTGTGCTTCACCAGGCATCATTGCAATCCTTTTTATGCTTTCATTCATTTTTTTAATTTTCCACTTAATGTTTATCCTGTAATGAAATATGGAAAGATGTGCTTGATACTTCATTTAAGAAGTGAAGGAATATAAATGTAAATCACATATATATTACTGCTTCCATGTTAAAATACTTTGGTTTTTTTTTTTTTTTTTGCTTATTTATTTTTCATTGCTGTTAATTTTCATTACTATTTATTGCTTATTTAAAACTGAACAATTTATATAGTTATAAAAAAAAAGTTATATTTTAGAAATACTCTTACAAAAGTGTAAGTTATATGTTGTAGTAGTTGGAATATGATTGAAATAGTTTTATTTACATAAGATTTGTTATGGCCCTGTTACCTTCAAACTGTTTGTTTTGTCAAGATTCTTCTCATCATCAGAAGAATTATTCAATTTAAATAATTAAAATGTGTTTACATATTTTGTAGAGTTGCCGAACTCTTGGATCTGATAAATTGGACCAATTAGTTTCTCAAGTTTTAGTTGTGTGTGTTCACAAAGTAGCCTTTAATCCTACTTTTAGTGGATTAATCAACATGCATTTTCTTATTTATAGCACTCAACTAAACCAGTTATCAATATAAAAAAGTAATGTAAATATTACACAAACAGAACATTTATTATGTAAGATTTTTATTTTTCTTATATTAAATATAATTTTTATTTTTTGTGTATATCTGCAATATATTTTGTTGATGTAGAGATGCTCCTATTTATATACAAACAACTTATGAATCATAACATAATAATAACTACATTAATATATTTGTAAACTATATCATTTGGAAGATACGTTTGCAGGTGGCAAATTCTCTACTTTTTTTGCAAACAATTCTAACAACATAATAAATTTTTTAAAACCAAATTATGGGTTGGTGAATGTTGGCCTATGCTTAAGGTTCATTTGGTTGAAGTTTTATATGTTGGCTGGTTTCAAGGCATGGGAGTTAACTTGTGATAGTTCTTCTAGTGATAAGACTTTGTCATTGTATGTGCTTTGATGGCACCAGGGGTGTTGTGTCTGTGTTACCACAGGTATCGTTCTGGACAATTCTGTTTATTTTTTGTTTGTAAATAACAGAGAGAACCTTAGGGAGTATCACACACTTAAACAGATTTCTGCTAGGGTTTAAGTTTACTGTCAGTACTGTGGTTGTCTTCAGTTTAGCTTGCTTGTTCTTGCACTGCTTGGGGAGTGTCTGTCTTCCTGCTCTAGCTGGTATTTATTGAATGACTTAAATTAACATTCAGCTTATGTGAAACTAAGGTACAGTGTAGTTTTATGTTGGGATGGCGCTCATGTGTGACTTGTGTACAAGTGGTTGGGATATGTTGTACACTTTTGTGTGTGGTTTTAAGGGTTGATTGTTCTGTTTATAGAGAATTAGATGGATTTGTGTTATGTGCATCTTGTGGAGGGTGGGAAAGATTAGTATGTTGTCCATCTTGTGGAGAGTGGGTTGGATTAGTGGGATGTTCATCTTGTGGAGAGTGGAATGGATTAGTGTGATGTCCATCTTGTGGAGAGTGGAATGGATTAGTGTGATGTCCATCTTGTGGAGAGTGGAATGGATTAGTGTGATGTCCATCTTGTGGAGAATGGAATGGATTAGTGTGATGTCCATCTTGTGGAGAGGAATGGATTAGTGTGATGTCCATCTAGTGATTTAACATGTATGAAATAACTCTCTGATCAATGAAATCTTTCTTTTATTTCTATAATCTAATAAAGCATAATCACCCACTTTTGTTTTTTTTAATCAATTCTCACCTTGATGTATCAAATCGTGTGGTATGCAGGTAGTTGTTTATGTTCAGTGGAAGTGGTGTGTGTGGGTATCTAAGAGCATGACAACACCAACATATCTGTATTTCAATACAGCTCCTGTAAGTAGTGTAAGGACACACTGTTGACTGTAAATAGTGTAAGGACACAACTAAAACTTTACATGTAGTTGGTAGGGAGGTTATCTGATCGAGTAGTGATATGCAAATGGTCATTCTCTTGCTGGATGGTTTGTACTGAGATGTCTTCACCTAATATATAATATTAGTAATATGTGTTGTCCATTTTTATTGTATACTTCCTGTGAGGTCATGGATCCCCCCCTCTCTCTCTCCACGTATGCCACCATTAGGGGTTAGGGTTAGCTGGCTGAAAGAAACAGCTAACACGTAGAAAATAAAAAAAAAATATAAAAACTTTTATAACTAGTTTTTGCATGTACTAAAAATAAGCAAAATCAAACATTAAAAAAAAAAGTAAAAACGTAAGTAGCTAAAAAAGATTTAAAATGTAGTAATGACAATGAAAGAAGAGAAACTTTTCTATGAACATGTTATATAGTTTTTTTTTTACAATTTTAGTTCATTTAAAAGCTGTTGTTATGAGTGTTTTTAAATGTTCGTTTTGTTTTATTGCATAGCATTTAAAAGCTTGTGACCATAATTTTAAAAACGTTTAATTTTATTGGTGATAAAGTTCAGGTCAAGTCACTACAACAACCCTCAATGGCCTCTTGCTGTTTGTTGTGTCACGTGATCCAACTACTCTCTTCACTTGCCAGTTTGACACATTCAAATCTAGGTTAAGCATACAATTACACACGTACGTCTCACAAGAGAATATCGATTTGTTCCCCTCGGTATCTGATGGTACGATTTTATGAAGAGGCTATGTATTTTATCGATTTTGTCAGTGGGTCTCAAACTATTTGCGTGAGACTTGGTTAGAACTTCCACCATTTACAGTTATCCCTGGGTCCATACGGAACGTCACTACTACTCTACGTACATAAACATAAATAATAGACAAAACGAATGCTTTTATTCTTTATTTTAATTAAGTCCTAATGTCCTTTTGTTTGATGGGCTGGAGCCAGAAATCTAAAAAGCATAAACCGGTATAATAAAAACCTTTGTAAAAACATTAAGTTAAATGCGCTAAAATAAAATGTAAGTTTTTTTTAGCCATGCATTTCTATTTTCTTATTCTTAATGCCGTTAGAAATTCTTAAATGTTTTTATACCTGTTTTTGTTTAGCCCTGTTTTCCGACACTTTTAGTCTATAAAGTGAATGATATCTTTAGAAATAAATAAAAAATGACGCTATAAACATGTTATTACGATCAAAGTTGCGCAACTTGCACCTATTTTACAGTGAGTTATAAAAAATGGGTACAGTTGAACATAATCTGTTTAATGTTTTCATTTACAATTGGGTACCGTGCTATACTACAAGCATCAATTTTGGGGGACTGCATACCTCCATCAGGTTAAAAATCGAGGACTCTATGATGTATCAGAAATAATTTAATAATCACCAATCACTGCCCGTCACCCCTGCTTGTGAATGGGCCACCAAGCAAAGATCTCCTCTGTCCTGTGCCATTTTCTCAATTTATATCACTTATGATTGTACACCAATCGATCTTATCTATTATGATTTATCAGCGAATTTTTGGCACTACCCGCCATGAAACTGGTCTCCATAGAAACCCACCCAAACTCTACCCTAAACCCGTATAATGTGACCGAGCCAATTATTAGGTCGGCCATCACTCAGTTTCTATAAATAAACTCTGACGTGCACATTCCACGGAGGTGAGTCACCAGGTGCTCACGAGATGGCGCGGTAAAAATCGATGTCACCGCTCACCTCTTTTTGTTCAGGTGTGTCACGTGAGTCACGCCCCGTTGACAGCCCCTCCCCCCCCCACACACACCAGCCAGCAGACCGAAGTGGTTCAACAATCTCCAGTCGTGTGACTTGTTGCCTGATGGTCCAGTTGTTGTGTGACCTGTTGCGGTGGTGCTGCAGTTGTGGTCGTGTCGTCTCTCCATGATAGTCCAGCATGTCCCACAAGACTCGGGGTAAGTCTTTCTTCTAAAAGCTTCTTCGTTCACGTTTACACACAGACTTTCCTCGTTTGGTGATCGACCTGGCTCTGGTACTTGCTAGATTAGGAACTTATCAATTGAACGTGGTAAAAAGTAAACAAAAGAATCCTCTTTAGACCTAGCTATGCATTGGGCAGATGAAGTAGAGTTCATATGTTTCCAAGGACCGTGGTACGCGTAGTGGATTTATAATGTGGATTTTATTGATTAATTGTACCCAATTTATTATTAATCTGTAATGAATTTAATGGTATCGACCCAATTTATTATTAGTCTGTACTGAATGTAATGGTATCGTCGATAAAGCAATAGATATAGGCTTATTAGAATTGGTGTAGGCCATAGGCCAACGGTTATTGGTATAACAGTGAAGTATGACTACGTTTTGTTGTCGATTACGAGGACGTAGTATTTAGTCATCACATTGTTGTTGTCTCCAATCCGAATCCCGTATTTTGTTGTCGAAAACGAGGACGTAGTATTTAGTCATCACATTGTTGTTGTCTCCAATCCGAATCCCGTATTTTGTTGTCGAAAACGAGGACGTAGTATTTAGTCATCACATTTTTGTTGTCTCCAATCCGAATCCCGTCTTTTGTTGTCCCGAGAGAAAATGTACAGGTCAGCGTAAAGTTGAAGTTTTGGTGTTACAATAACCGTTAGATTGTAACCTGTTATACTGTGTGGGTGGTTAAAGGTACGTCGACATACTTGACAATGTTATAACAATGGGCAGATTTAGCTTGAGCTTAGAGGAATCCTGACACAAAGACATATATATATACAGGGGCGTAGCGAGGGGGGGGGGGTGCGGACCGCACCGGGTGACACCATTTAGGGGGGTGACACTAAGGCAAAAAATAGCAAACTATATAGAGAAAAACTTGAGGGGGGGGGTGCAAATCGAAAGTTTGAGGGGGGGGGGGTGCAAATCGAAAACTTGAGGGGGGGGGGGGGGGGGTGCAAATCGAAAACTTGGAAGTTTGTCCCCGGGAAGGGTCGCAACGCCTCTGGGGGGGGGGGGTGACACCATTAAGTGCCGCACCGGGTGACACCCGACCTCGCTACGCCACTGTATATATATATATATATATATATATATATATATATATATATATATATATATATATATATATATATATATGCCTTATTTATTATTTATAAACATAAAAGTGGTATAAAGTGATATACAAATTAATACAATTGTGAACTCAGTGCAGTAGCAGTCTATACCCTATTTGTCTCGCTGCAATGAACATATTTTAGTAGAATAATAACTCAACATACTTTGACTCTCTGAGCATTAGCACGCCTCTATGTAGCACAGATTTCTCCTAATGAAATTTGTCTCGCTGCATGGAACATGTTTTAGTAGAATAATAACTTTTATAATACTTTTAATAATAATACTTTTGAAATGTACTTTCTTAATATTTAGTTTCTAATTTTGCGAAGCATAAACACCAACATAGAATATGTCGTATGCTACTTTACAGCTGGCGTCATGTGTCGACTTGTGGGTGTGTGTGTATGTGAGGGGGGGGGGGGGGCTTAAATATGTTAACGATTCCTAATCACCAATGAGCCCCGCTTTGTTAATCACGATCTACATAGATGACTTTCTTCATATAAAGCATTACCTAGAGGAAAGATTATCCACAGTTCACACATCAGCAGTAGATGTCATGTTCACGTTATATGGTTATACACAGGCGGTCATGTTTCGTCATTCCTCTCAACCATAACTCAAACCAACTTATGTATTAACCCTTGCCAGAAAACCCTAACTATTACACGTAGAAAACCTAATCTGTACTCAAATAATTAGGACTGTTAACAGCGTACTTTATTCGGTGTAATCTCTAATAGAACCCGAGTTTTGTGACGTTTGTGTTTGACTTTTACCAGTGGTGTAGGTCGAAGGGGTGTGTGTCGGGTGGGGGGTGGGGGGGGGGGGGGTGGTGGAGATGTGAATCTAGAGTCCAGTCTATGACAGTAAATATGATAACCCAACAACCCGTGTGGATCGGAGGCTGAGGGAACAAGGGTAAATATGGATCTAGGCAGTCTAAAACGGTTTAACAATAACTCAAACCAGATTTCTGAAATGATGTGTTAGAGCTAAAAATGTTTAACATACGATAGTGCATGATGACCTTTAATTCAATTCTCTACAATGATGTCCATATCTTTATAGTGCATTATTTTTTATTACATAAAAGTCTTGTTATTAAAACGTTTTTAATGTATATTTTAGAGGATTATTTTGTACAGTGTATCAAGGGAGGCTATGCGTAAAAAGTAAGCCTTTACTTTTATTTGAATGACCTCCCTTACTACCCCTCCCTTTTCAATAAAATCACTAGTGTTGTTATGATGAATGGATGGCCTAGACCTCGATCTAGCCTATGAGGAAGGTGCTTTGAATGTCCCGGAACTTTGTAGCTGACACAAATATTTCTCCTCAAAAACCCACCGAGCTTAGAAAAAAAAAAACTCGGGAGAAATTGTGTCAGTACACACTGATCTCGCTGGTTCTAGATATGACTTACCGCTAATAAACAATTCACCAAAGCAGATTAAATTTGTTTAGTTACGTTTACTGTGTTCTTAATTCATTGGATAAAGTGTTGAAAACTTGGAATATTTTCTACACAGACCTGTCGAACTGGATGTAATTAAACAGCCGAACGGGACAGGTGTGTCTTAGTGCGGTGGTGACCGTATAAGTTGAAGGATATGAACTTTACTGTTGTCTTAAGCCGTCTGCTGTTCAGTCGTCCACGCGTGGAGGTACTCGTGAGTTTTTAGGACAGTGTAGGGTATTTTATGGTGGATTTTTAAAACGTAATACATTAAATTAGCGTAACAATTCAGTGGGAGTGTATGTGGTGTAGTTTGTGTGGTGTCGTGTTTAGAGCAGTTAATACAATGTGAAATGGTGTTCGTGGTGGATGTTTTAGTTTTCTCTAATAAAAATGTTCATCTGATTATTACCAATAATTTATTACAGATCTATATCTACAGGCGTAATAAATTTATTATATAAACATCTGGCAACGTTCAGACAGTTATATGTCTTGTCGTTATTTTTAAACATAGTACACAAAAAAATAAAATAAAACAAAGGCAATTTATTATAATCGGCAGCGTGTAACACTTGTAATTTTCTGACTCTCGTTAGAATCTGATGTTCAATATTTGGTTTACTTGACGATGTCTGACCATAGAAATCTTGTGGAAAGTGGAAAGTAAAAATGTTTTGTTATGCTATTAATTTGGTGAACTTCAACTTCAGTTGTCGAAATACTAAGCTGTAGCGTCAAAGCAAGAACTTATCTTGCTGAAAATTTTGAGAAATTCACGGAGAAACCTGTCCAGCATTTTCGTTTTCAGTTACCTTTCGTAATGACTCATAGACAATGTCCTCTTGTCTGATTCATTGTCCTACATGACAGTTATCCTGTCCTCTAGCAGGGTCAGGACTATTTTTATTTTCCTATTTTGACGTCGCTTCTAGAAACATTTAAGAATTAAACTGTGACTGACCGCCTGATGGTCAGCTGTTCTTGTCCTCCCCCGTCCCCCATAGTTCATTCACCTTGCGTTGAATGCTATGACGTTTACATTTAAAAAATTAGAATTACTTACATCCCATGTTCATATCTAGGTAGTCTGTGTGACGTGATAGCAGATGAAAAATAGGACAGTTTTATGTATCCTTTACAAAGGAGTGTCCACATAAAGGCTTAGATCTGTCAGTGCTTATCTGCGGCGTAATTTTAGCCCCAGGGACGATCACTCCTAATTCTTTTACTAGCTTGTATTTTCTTACATATTGAAATCAAGAAATGTTACTTTCAGATTTTCAACAGTAGGCCCTATATGAAAACAATGAAATTATTTTATATTATTTTAAAAAAAACTATGAAGTTAGTTTTCTTTCGCCATGGAGGTTATTCATTAAGAACAATAAATAAATTAAAATGTGAATTCACAAGACAAATCCGCGTAATTAACCCTAAGAGGACTGGCAAAAATATGCAGACTTGTTAACCCTTAGAGGGACTTTGGAGACCCCCTAACTATGCTGTAGGAATCTAAACTCTTTGACAGGATGGAGTCTAGACCAGAGATAAACGATTTGGTTCTAGACGCCAGTGCCTTCCTGCTGTCCGAGGAGTTTGTCCAGCAACTGGCCACTGAACTCGAGCCTTATCGTCTGCAGGTGTCTCAGGAGCTTGGCCTGCCGTCTGTAAGTATCTCACTGTTTGATGTGTGCTTACATCTATATATAGTTGTCACGTGACTTTGGTCTCCCGTCTGTAAGTATCTCACTGTTTGATGTGTACTCACTCACATCTATATATAGTTGTCACGTGACTTTGATCTCCCGTCTGTAAGTATTTCACTGTTTGATGTGTGCACTCACATTTATGAATTATATAGCTGTCACGTGATTTTGAACTTCCGTCTATTAGCAACTGCATGCCGTCCATTCATTTCTCACTAGCTTTCGACCATGGATACTACCAATTACTGAGATGTTGTGTTTTTAGTATAAATATAATATTGAACGTTAATCTTACAGTTGGCGTTGACAGTAATTAATACTATTCCTTTATTTTATTAACCAAACACATTATCCCTATTTATTTGAAGCTGGCTAAAAATACCCCCACCCCCATCCCCCAACTTTCTTACCCTAAGCTACTTTCTTTTCTGCCCAAGCACGGGTAGAAACCAACTTGATGTTTGACTAGTTTTGTTCTTTTGTGTTTGAGTTGAAGGCCTACACAATGTTTCTACTCTGTCCGTTTAGCCTAGCTTGAATTGCACATCACAAACTTGTATTGCATAACACAAACTTGAACTGCACCCCACAAACTTGTATTGCATAACACAAACTTGAACTGCACACCACAAACTTGAATTGCATAACACAAACTTGAACTGTACACCACAAACTTGAATTGCACACCATAAACTTGAATTGTAGACCACAAACTTGAATTGTAGACCACAAACTTAAATTGTAGACCACAAACTTGAATTGTAGACCACAAACTTGAATTGTAGACCACAAACTTGAATTGTAGACCACAAACTTGAATTGTAGACCACAAACTTGAATTGTAGACCACAAACTTGAATTGTAGACCACAAACTTGAATTGCACACCACAAACTTGAATTGTAGACCACAAACTTGAATTGTAGACCACAAACTTGAATTGCACATCACAAACTTGAACTGCACACCACACAACCAACAGTCATATTATCCTTATCACTTACTTGTGACAACACAATATTGTGTCACATTCAAATCTTATCGTGCTAACAATATATGATGTGTCAAACAACTTTATTTCCAATCAGATCGTGACTATACAAGCGTTGTCTGTATCAGTAAGTCTCGAGCTTTAAATCTTTGCAGTATATTTCTCTCGCTAAAGCAGTTTCTTTCGGGTATCTCTACTGGTTGTCACTACACCCTTGCCGGATAAAGTAACCCCCCCCCCCCCACCAGAGTGGTCTAGCGGTAGAGAGCTGGACTGCTAACCCGTAAGTTTCGAGTTCGAATCCGGATTCAAGTCAGTAGACCGTCCCTGAGTCCGCCCAACTCTGATGGGTATCTAACTCACGTTAGGGAAAGTAAAGGCGGCTGGGCATAGTGCTGACCACAATATTTCTTCATATGCCGTAGAAACATGCCTAAAAAAAACCTGCGCCAACGAAAACATGAAAACATCCTTGGACTCCTAGTTCAAACAGTAAATTTAAGTAGTAGAGAAAAATATCTTCTAAAAATAGCTTTTAAAAATGGGACCATGTACTGCAGTTTTAAAAATAAAATGCACTTAGAGCCAAAAATATTGACTTTCACCGTTTCGGCTGCGTGCCAAAGTTCAGAGAGGGGTTTCACGTCGTAGCCAGATTTCAGTTCCTGTTCTGACTTGTCGCGTTTTCTCGAGAAATTTGTCGCCGATACTTATTTTAATTTCGTTTCGTTCACTTTCGTCAGGCTTTTTTTACTTAGCCTAACAACATTATTAACTGAGATCGTCATTATGTTTTAACAATGATTAGTGCACGTTTAGAACACGTTTTTATCATAAGGACTGAAAAACAAAATAGCTTTCATAACTAAATAAGTATACGCCATTCGGTTATGAATTATGGTTCTCGGTTTAACGTTTCAAAAAGAACGCTAATTTAGTTAGTTAAATTTTAAACAAAATAGACCAGCAATGTTTTGAGTTGCCCAAATACTAACATTCCTGTGTTCAGATGAAAAGTAAATAAGGTTCACTCAACCGTGAAAATATTCAACCATGATCAATGGACATGTCAGGTGATATGAACACAGGGGAGGGGGGGGGGGGGGGGGAGATCTAGGACAGGGTCGACAACCTTGTGAGACGGAAGAGCCAAAAGTTGACAAAATTTCCCAGTTTTTTTAAGTGCCACTGACATTTTTATTTCAATATTTGGTATTTAATTATGATTCGGTATATACATTTGATTTTTTATGTAAAATAAATAGCTTTAGATATGAAATAATATTTATTCATACAAAAACATACACATGTTTCGCTAAATAATATTAAAGTATTGTAGCTAGCTCTGCTAGAATGATAAAATTAGTAATAAAAAATATAACTATAATCATTGAATATTTACATTAGTTACATCAATGGGAGCATTGGCCTTGCATGCCGTTTGAAAGTTTGGTTAAATCTGGCTCGTAACTTGTTGTTTTCAGTTTCAAGCACGCCTCTAGATTTGTATTTGTTAGTTGCCCTCTAACTTAACTTTTTATTATATCCATGCAAGAGAACACTTGCTTGCCTGAATATGCAGGACCGAAGGTAGTCAGCGTTCTAAATGTTAACCTCTTAGGAGCAGAACATTTTCACAAATGGACAAATACCCGAATGGACATTCGTGCATTTGTCGCTTTCGGGCAAGTGTGCATTTGGGCAAGTGTCCATTCGGGCATTTGTCGCATTCGGCAAGTGTCGTTTAGGAAAAGGGCCTTCGGGCAAACTGCATTCAGACAAGCATCTTTCTGGAATTTGTCGTAGATTCCCAACTTCTTCATCTCACGGTAGCATTCTGGAATGTCTATTCCAATCGTTCAATGAAAGTACCTCAACTCTCGACATTTCTTTTAGAGCTGTCCAGTGTCCACTTGTGCAGCGTAACATGCATGTTTTATTGGCCCTCCAACTAACTTGCTCTTGAGTTCTGTGAACTTATCACGCTTCAAATATTTGGTTTTCAAATCCAATCCAGCTATTTAATTTGAAGCAAACCAGCATCAGTTTCAAATGGCTTAATGTTGATATCATTTGTATTTGTGTTGAGATTATTTACTATCAACGCCAGAGTACTTGCGTTTGTTTGGAATTGCTCAAATCTCTCACCGAATCCATCCTTCATATTGTTGTCGACACCTGATCTTGGAGAATGTAGGGTGGGGGTGGAAGGTGGAGGTGATATAACACTAGCTAGTTTGGGCAGAGTTAAATACTTTAAAATAACATATTATTTATTATGCTATGCAACTCGTACACACTGTTACGTCATAAACATAGTGTCGTGTCGTGCATAGTATATGTTAATTAACGGGTAAAAGCACAAGATGTAGAGACACGACACAAAAAACGAAACAAAACACAACTACAAACAGCAGCTACAATCACAACACCGTGAACACATCACAAACACATCATCACAAAGACAACATTACAAACAAACACAACATCACAAACACAACATTACAAACACATTACAAACACACCATTACAAACACAACACCACAAACACAACATTACAAACAAAACATTACAAACACCACCACAAACACAACACCACAAACAAAATACCACAAACACAACACCACACATACAACATCACAAACAAACACAACATCACGAACACAACATCACAAACACAACAGCTACAATCACAGCACAGTGAACACATCACAAACACAACATCACAAACAAAATACCACCAACACAACACCACACACACAACATCACAAACACAACACTACAAACACAACATCACAAAAAAACACAACATCACAAACACAACACAACATCACAAACACAACAGCTACAATCACAGCACAGTGAACACATCACAAACACAACACCACAAACAAACACAACATCACAAACACAACATCATAACGCAACTTCACAAACAAACATAACACCACAAACACAACATAACAAACAAACACAACATCACAAACACTACTATTTCAAACATAAACACAACCGCTACGTACACAACATGATAAACACCATAGTTCTTAATGCTTTTATTTATGTGTAGGCTTATAAATTATACGAAGTGTCACACACACAAAACTACACATAGATCTAACTTAATAAATATTTAAACAATAATTCAGGTATGTGTTAACATTTAGAATGAATCTTCATTTAGTTTAGACCTGAAGAGCTCGGTTATTTTTTTTTTTTTTTTGCATGTCGAACTGCCCCTAATCTGACCTACATATCGCTAGTTGGGGACAACCCGGTCATGTGACGTGTGTGAGATCACTGATGCGTGAACGCGCGAGTGGTGTGCTGGGATTGTTCCCCTTGGATCCGGTTTGGACGGGAATTTTAGGACATGGCGGGGGCGTTGTTGTGTTGTAGGGGGAGGGGTGGGGGTTGTGTACTGGGGATGGGGGAGTTGTTGTGTTGTAGGGGGTGGGGGTTGTGTACTGGGGATGGGGGAGTTGTTGTGTTGTAGGGGGTGGGGTTTGTGTACTGGGGATGCGGGAGTTGTTGTGTTGTAGGGGGTGGGGTTTGTGTACTGGGGATGCGGGAGTTGTTGTGTTATAGGGGGTGGGGGTTGTGTACTGGGGATGGGGGAGTTGTTGTGTTATAGGGGGTGGGGGTTGTGTACTGGGGATGCGGGAGTTGTTGTGTTGTAGGGGGTGGGGTTTGTGTACTGGGGATGGGGGAGTTGTTGTGTTGTAGGGGTGTTGTGTACTGGGGATGGGGGAGTTGTATTGTAGGGGAGGGGTGGGGGTTGTGTACTGGCGATTGGGGGAGTTGTAGTGTTGTAGGGGGTTGTGTACTGGGGATGGGGGAGTTGTTGTGTTGTAGGGAGGGAGGAGGTTGTGTACTGGGGATGCGGGAGTTGTTGTGTTGTAGGGGAAGGGTGGGGGTTTGTGTACTGGGGATGGGGGAGTTGTTGTGTTGTAGGGGTGGGGGTTTGTGTACTGGGGATGGGGGAGTTGTATTGTAGGGGAGGGGTGGGGGTTGTGTACTGGGGATGGGGGAGTTGTATTGTAGGGGAGGGGTGGGGGTTTGTGTACTGGGGATGGGGGAGTTGTATTGTAGGGAAGGGGTGGGGGTTGTGTACTGGGGATGGGGGAGTTGTTGTGTTGTAGGGGGTGGGGGGTTGTGTACTGGGGATGGGGGAGTTGTTGTGTTGTAGGGGGTTGTGTACTAGTTGTGGCTGTGTTGTGCGGGAGGGTGGGGTTTACCGCCCCTTCTTATACCCATCAGAAGCTGATTACCGCCCCTTACTGGTAGCTGATTACCGCCCAATCAAATACCCAGCAGAAATCTATTATCCCCCCCCCCCTTCTTATACCCAACAGGAGCTGATTACCGCCCCTTCTTATACCCAACAGGAGCTGATTACCGCCCCTTCTTATACCCAGCAGAAATCTATTACCGCCCCTTCTTATACCTAACAGGGGCTGAGCTGATTACACAAGCCAGTTTCATCTGATACCATCTAACTAAATATATCGGGGTAAATACACCATCGGCCTTCACGGTTCGATACGGTCTAGTGGCAATCCACCAGTCCTCCACCATTACCAGAACCCCCCCCCCCCCTCGCATCCTCGAGCTGGGACGAACGGTCAAAGGTCACTGGTTTACCCTACCTGCCCCTAATACAGCCACGTGACTGTGCCATTGACGTCAATGTTTTAGAATAATTGTAGCATATTTTAGTCATATCTCCACAAACACACACACACACACACACAAACACACAACAACAAGGTTACGACCCGGATGCTATGGCTATTTATACGGATCCCACAATACATCTGTAGATGTTAACAGCGGGGGGGGGGGGGGGGGCTACTTGTATGGTGACCCCGACTGAATGTGTCGCTAGCGCTGGTTCAAAGGTTAACCGGTAAGGGCAAGGGCGCTGGTTCAAAGGTTAACCGGTAAGGGCAAGGGGATTATCTGTGTTATCCTTGAACCAGCCACAGTGTGATCTTATGTAAGGCCCGCTTTGGTTTAACTGTTCATTTTGTTAATAAATTACTTATTCTTCGCAGCGAAGCTAAAGGGGTAATCCATTTATGATGGGTTTTCCGAAAAAAAATATGACTTTACCGGACGCGTGTGGACTTTTAAAAAGGGAATTAAGTGTACTTTTGTGGACGGGGGGTAGGGGGGGGGGGGTGGTAAGGGGTGGTAGGGGGGGGGTTCCAAAATCCAAAAAATGAGTGGACGTCATAAATGGATAACCCCAAATTCTAACCTTTTGTAGATCTAATTCAGTCATTGCGACTGAAACCTAACCTCTTCTAGAGTCTAGATCTAGTTACTGCCAATCTAGGACACATGACCCCCCCCCCCCCCTTAACAAGATATTCCCATGGGGCAATATACTCAACGTTGTAAACAAATAATAAATGATCCCCTCCCCCGGCACCAACGACACTGACCATTGGTCAGTACGGCCACTACCCCTGTGACAACTCTCCGTACATTGCGAGACTTGACGTACCATTTATCTTTCCAATCATGGGCTGAAAATTACATTTTTGTGTGCTCATGTTTGCATTTTGTTTCTTCTTCAACACCGTCTGACACCCATCCACAGAATCCTTACATGGGGTGGGGGGGGGGGGGGGGGGTGGGGGGGTATGGGGGGGATGGCAGACTTTTTACGGTTTATAACAAATTATATTAAGTCCGAAAGAAATGCTTGTTTATACTCATAAGTCACATATTATTATAACCTACCTACACGGTAAATGAGCCAAAAGAGCCATAAACCAAGGCCCAGTTTACTAGGCCCAACAATCAGCATGGGACAGAAAGTTAAAACTAAAAATAGGTAGGCTACACCCACGATGTACGGTCAAGTTTATGTATTACAACTTTAAACTGTTTTTAGGTTGGGCATTAGATTTTTTTTATTTAAACTTGGAACTGTAATAAAACAGACTTTTAAAAAAAAATTAACATTTAATAGAATAGAATGCTTAATTTGTCTCTAAACGCCACATTACTATTCTCACTGCCTAAAGCGTGGACTAATTAAAACTTCAACAGAGACCAAGTATTACATGAATTTCATAGTTCAGGCTTGAATGGTGACAATAGTCCCTGCTTACATTCCTCCAGTTGGTAAATGCTACTTTTCCCATTAGAATTTTGATACACTACATTCTACAAAAGATAAAAAAAACTACATTCTTCAACAACAACGAGTGTCAAATATCGTATGTTTCTCAACCAGCATAACCCATATTTCCAGTTCGAGGCTATGTTCTCTTTAAATAGGGACCTTGCACTTGTTATGTAACACCATTTTTTACCCCAGCTACCTCCCTTAGCATCCCCACACCCCCCACCACACTACCACACACGTCTCCTAACACACCGAAACCACGGTTTAAAAATAAATTATTGGATTCACGGTATGTTAAAGAAAGTAGCGTACTACATCTGCAGTTGTAGCGCCGTACTTTGTGTTGGCAAAGACAAACAATATGCAAGCCGGCATGTCACTTATTCACGGAACATTTACAGAGGACATTAAACAAATTAAGAATAGATTAAATTAAATGTTGTATCAACTGCTGTATACAATTGTCCTACCTCATAAAATACAATCCAATAAACCACACACTACCTCCTAAATATTTCTTGTAATATTTCTACTGTCAAAACATTACATATGAAACTTTCCCTATGTTTTTCATACTTTTTTTACCCCTTAATTAAACCCTTACGTATGTTTTCAGATATTTTGTGTTTAATTAATGAACCCCTCAATTAAACCCTTGACTAAAACCCTGCCCTCAGTTTTTCCTATAGACCTCTGACTTTAACACAACTCTCTTTCTCCCTTAATTAAAACTTAAACCCAACCCTCTGTTTTCCCATGAAACTTTAATTTAAACCCAACCCTCTATTTTCCCATCAAACTTTAAACCCAACCCTGTGCTTACCCTTCAAACTTTGAACCCAACCCTGTGTTTACTCTTCAAACTTTGAACCCAACCATGTGTTTACTCTTCAAACTTTGGACCCAACTCTCTGTTTTCCCTTCAAACTTTAAACCCAACCCTATGTTTTCCCATCAAACCTAAACCCAACCCTCTGTTTCCCCATCAAACTTTAAACCCAACCCTCTGTTTCCCCATCAAACCTAAACCCAACCCCCTGTTTCCCCTTCAAACTTTAAACCCAACCCTCTGTTTCCCCTTCAAACTTTAAACCCAACCCTCTGTTTCCCCTTCAAACTTTAAACCCAACCCTATGTTTTCCTTAAAACTTTAAACCCAACCCTCTGTTTCCCCTTCAAACTTTAAACCCAACCCCTGTTTCCCCATCAAACTTTAAACCCAACCCCTGTTTCCCCATCAAACTTTAAACCCAACCCTGTGTTTCCCCATCAAACATTGAACCCAACCCTCTGTTTTCCCCATCAAACCTAAACCCAACCCTGTGTTTCCCACAGAACGCGGCACTGCCTGAGGGGCTACTGACCTGGAAGAACCAATCTGGCGCCACACTCTTCGTGTTGATCGGCATCCTCAAGAAGATCAGGAGACCCAACTGTATTGACATGATCGCCGCTTACATGGGTGAGTACCCAGAACATAGACCCAACTGTATTGACATGATCGCTGCTTACATGGGTGAGTACTACTATACCCAGAACCAGTGGCGAAGCCAGGAATTGTTCATGGGAGGGGTTCAAATAGTTTTCCATATGCATAAAATCATATATATATATATATATATATATAGGAGTGTGAGTCCATGGGAGGGATTATACTCCCCCCCCCCTTTGCCTATGCCACTGCCCAGAACATTCCAAAACAGTCTATAGTATTCCAGAACAATCAGAGGCTGGAGAATCTAGAACATTCGATTATTGAAGGTTCCTGGGCATACAGCTGTGGGTGGTTCTAGAATATTCAACATTGAAGAATAGAAATTCAGCCTCCGATGAAGTTTGGTCATTTTTTTAAGAATCTAGAACATTTGGTTGTTTTATTAAATATTTATAGCAATATACGAGTGGTGTATTTGATGGTTTTAGTGTCATATATATAACTCCAATAATGTAGGCATCTAGCTGTGTCGTCAGATGGACTTCTTAAACTTTTAAAGTTAGATAAGTAAATATCTTCTTTTAAAAATTAATGTTTTCCACAAATGAGATCACATGATTTTAGTCCATTTCACCCCCCCCCCCCCCCACAAAGATCCTGTCCCATCACAATCCCCCCCCCCCCCCCACATACATTATTGCTTACATGGAATTCAACACCATTGACCAATTTTTAAAGTTACATTTTTCTTACTAGTGAAACATCAAAACTGGTCTAAATTAAAAAAAAATACAGTTCTGATGTTGTATTTTAGATCTTTACCTCACAGAACTCAGCAGACAATGAAGGATACACTTTAGACCCAACATACCAGCATATTTGTTGGGTTTTCCGAGCATACATTCAACCACAAACTGTTTTACACCTGCAGCAAATAATTTTTAACATCTGCAAGTTTGACGTACACCTCATGACATGACCCATAAATAATGCCTGGTGTCCATTACACAAAAAGTAATTTTATCCTGTTTCCGGTTCTCGGAAAGGATAAACGAAAACACAATATTTTTTTTTCTAAAATAGTTTGCAGCCTGCGCATGCGCTACCACTCCCTATTATTTTAGGCTAGCAAAACTTGCCCAGGTCCCCTAATTTATATGACGTAGCGGGGGCATTAATAAGAAGTTTAGTAGGCGCGGTGGGTGAAAGATGGTGGAGGTAGAAATGTTAAACCACATCCGGGAGAGACCAACCTAAGACTAGCAGACAATCGGGAAAACAAAACGTAACGAGAAGTGTTGTCGTCTGCACAAGGATACTTCCGTTTCTTACTCTTTTGTTTTATTGGTTAAAAAAGGAAGCATTGAAACTAAACTAAAAATAAACAACGGTTTTCGTAACACGGGCAATAGCGGTGAATATTCAGTTTTCGTAACACGGGCAATTAATAGAAGTGAATATTCGGTTCGTGTATGGAATACTTGAATGAAACATTTTTATTTCTCTAACGGCTAGGTAGTAGCTCATAGTTTTATGAGTTAACATAGCAGATGAGGACGAGAAAAAATGTATGTTTAAAAAAAAAACACGGAATAATCATCTAGTCTGCCTACATGTAAAATATTTAGCTTTAAAAAGTTTGCTGTAGTAACTAGAGACAAGTGGATTACTAGTGAGTTTAAGAACATAAGGATTATCACAGGATTAAACTATTTGTGTAGATAGAACATACGGATAAACTACTTGTGTAGATAGTACAAAAGGATTACGACAGGATTAAACTAATTGTGTAGATTACCGTCATGAAGATATCAGGGACTTTAGTTTTCTGGGACTCCAAAGTTTTCACACACACTCTTCAAGTAGGTAAGGTAGTGTTGGTTAGTTTAATTCTTTCATCTCTCATCAAACATATCAGTGTTTAAGAGATTTCATTCCTTCTTTCGATTACCTAATTTAATTTAAATAGTGATGAACGATGTCCAAATAACTGTCAGTATAACCCCCACCTTCCTTTAATTTTGATTTTAAACTTCATTTGTAGATCAGGCAACTAGATAAATGCAGGGGAAACTACCCCGTTTAGTATTTTTTACTGTGTTTAAACAGACAAATATGTCAATTTCATTACATTTTAAACTAATTTTTTAAAATTTATTTTTATTATTAGATATTTCTAGTACTAATTACAGAGGCGTAGCGACCCTTCCCGGCGCCCGGGGACAAACTTTTGATTTGCACTCCCCCCTAAAGATTTCGATTTGCATCCCCCCTCAAACTTTCGATTTGCACCCCCCCCCCTTCAAATTTTCGATTTGCAACCGCCCCCCCCTCAAGCTTTCAATTTATTTTTCCAAACCATTTTGGCGCCCCCTAAGGTCGGCGCCCGAGGACATATGTCGTCCCCCCGCCCCACCCCCCCCCCCTCGCTACAAATGCTACACTCACTGATAAGCTGATTTATAATAATATATAGACCTAACAAATCAGCGATCGAGTTAGTCAAGGGAAACAACTAAAGAACACGAAACAAGCAAAGAAAATTAATGGAAAAGGGAAACAATAATCGTTCGGATTTAATATATTTTTCTTTTATACGTATTTCAAGCGACAGGCTGCTCGTATTTTTATAATTTTTAAAAACTAAAAACCCAATTTCCACAAAAACTATCAACATTTGTTTTCGTTTGACATCGATATTGCTACTGCAATCAACAGCCTAACAGGGTTATCTTAAACCCAACATCAGCCTGCTTTAAGTTTTCACTTAATTGAAAAAAAAAATGTATGAAAATCATTACAACATGGGTCGACACGACACTGTCACTACAGATTTCTGACGTAATTTTTCAGCTGTAGTTCACACAAATGATTATAGAATATAGAACGAAACTATTCGTCTTTCTTAAATGAAAAGCACCCCTTTGGATGGTTTTTTAACAGCAGAAGTTTTTTTCTGACATGCTGGTTCGAATAAAATAACACTCGGCGTTATTTGACGAAACATTACATTCAATTAAAAACCTTGCAAGGTTTAGCCTAGGCTACACATACATTTTTTTACCTGGCTGAAGGCTAAAAGCGTTGACCTCATTTTATGTCTTGTTTATCTGGATCACATTCCTTTCTATTTAATGTCAACATAATCTAAGCTGGTTACCCGAGTCGCTTATGTACTATACATTTGGTGGCTAATTCAACTAGAATGTAATGTAACTCAGCTCTAAACTAAACTCAGCTATAAAATCTACCCCCCCCCGAACGAAATTGAATTTATATAGAAACTATATACTTTTAATTTTAACAGGGTTCACCCCCCCTCCTCCCGAAAATTTTAGTCCGCCCACCGGAAAATTTCAAGTGCCCCCCCCCCCCCCCGCCCTGGAGAAAAAAAGTCTGGAAGAAACACTGATTACAAGTTAAAAAAAAGTTTTAAAAGTAGGGAAGTGTGTGTGTGTGTGTTTATGTGTGAGTGTGTTTATGTGTGAGTGTGAGGGTTATTGCAGAAAATCGTGTAAATCAACTCTGGACAGCTCTAAAACTTGATTTGGGCATGTCTTACCTAAATACATTTATTGTGTACGGTTGTCCATTAATATCGGTTGTCCATTAATATCGGTTGTCCATTAATATCGGTTGTCCATTAATATCGGTTGTCCATTAATATCGGTTGTCCATTAATATCGGTTGTCCATTAATATCGGTTGTCCATTAATATCGGTTGTCCATTAATATCGGTTGTCCATTAATATCGGTTGTCCATTAATATCGGTTGTCCATTAATATCGGTTGTCCATTAATATCGTTACACTTTTAAAAAAAATAGTTTTTTTAACCCATCCCCACTGTCCAGAGTTTCTTCCAGGCATCTCTAGAGCCCCCCCCCCCCCCCCCCCCCCAAGAAAGTCTAACCCCCCCCCCCCCCCCCCGAACGAGATGGAATTTATATAGTAAACATACACTTTTACTAGTGTCCGTTTCCCGAAAAATGTTGACTGCCCCCCCCCCCCGAAAATAACAAGTGCCCCCCCCCCCCCCCCGGAGAATAAAGTCTGGAAGAAACACTGCCACACATCGTTACATATAGTCCCCGCCCCTTTTTAAAATATTTTTTTACGAAACTGCGATTTCTTGCTAAAATATTAATTGAGCTAAGTTAGCAGTAATTAAATTGATCAATTTTCATAAAAATTAACTAAACCGTCTTTTTAAGAAAACAAAATAACTGTACAAACGCGGCACAGTGTTTTGTAATACGTAGCCCCCCCCCCCCCCACTCGTCATAAATCATCACAAACTCGGCACATTCCCCTTGATTGTGACGTAATTCAGATGAATCAGTAATTAGTGTTTCTTCATTACAAATATATTTTGTCCTATACCTTTAAACACACGTCTGAACACAGTGTTCAACGTTTTAACAGATTCCCCCTCACCAGCTAAAAACACGATGCAACTAAACCTTTAAACACACGTCTGAACACAGTGTTCAACGTTTTAACACATTCTCCCTCACCAGCTAAAAACACGATGCAGCTAAACCTTTAAACACACGTCTTAACACAGTGTTCAACGTTTTAACACATTCTCCCTCACCAGCTAAAAACACGATGCAACTAAACCTTTAAACACACGTATGAACACAGTGTTCAACGTTTTAACACATTCTCCCTCGCCCAGCCAAAAACACGATGCAGCTAAACCTTTAAACACACGTCTAAACACAGTGTTCAATGTTTTAACACATTCCCCCTCACCAGCTAAAAACACGATGCAGCTAAACCTTTAAACACACGTCTAAACACAGTGCTCAACGTTTTAACACATTCTCCCTCACCAGCCAAAAAACACGATGCAGCTAAACCTTTAAACACACGTCTAAACACAGTGCTCAACGTTTTAACACATTCTCCCTCACCAGCTAAAAATACGATGCAGCTGTATGTGAAGGTGGACAGCGATGTTGAAGGTCGTCCTCACCTGTCCAACCGTCGCTTCCATGAGGTCACCACATGGCCAGACGTCACCCTGGAGGAGGCGCTGAAGAACATTCTCAGCGGAAGTCTGCGGAACTACGAGATAGCGGGCCCAGGACCGGATGTCACTTGGCAAACCAAGGCAAAGGACATTAAGGTAAACATTTGTTGAGTCTGCTGGATCTAAAGCTCTGTTTTTGGAAGTAATAGGACTATCATTATAAAAGATGATATGTACAAAAAATTGGGGATTGGCTAACTTTTAATAAAGTATATTCGGAAGAATCTTTACGTACTTTTGAGTAAAATTTAAACATTGAAGGAAAAGTAGAGTTAAAAGTTAACAAGTTGGGAACATTCGAGTAAAAAAAAAACTGAATGCAGCCTACTAGTAGATCTATGTTATATTATATACATGGTGGTTCGTCGATAAAACCTAAACACTGATTTGAGTTTTAAGAGACGATGTGCAAAGTCGGGACCTCCTGCAGGGGCTGGGGGAAGGGGAGGGGGGAATCAAGAAATGTGAGGTAGATTAAATATTGTATTTTCTAAAGACGAAAAAAAGTGGAAAAAAAAACGTTTATTTACATAAGCAGTGTGGTTATTTTAAAGGTGGAGAGAGGGGGAGTGATGATAGCTGACTGTTTATGGTAGTATGAGTGTTTTAAAAATCTGCCAAATTGACGTCACATATGGAGTTTTATTTTCGTTTATTTTTATCATTTTTTAATGTACCAGGGGAAACAACTGACATTATTGCATCATGACCAGCCCGCTCATGAAATATCGCTGAACACATACAGGATGATGGATGAAAATACTCACCCAAAAGCCTTCAATCACATGAACATTTCAGGCTACAACAGTGGGATGGTGAGTTTCATTTATCAGACTGTTTGAAACGTTAATCAATATACAGTTTTTTGTCTCATTTATCAGAAGTGTTAGAAATTTTATAAATGTAGTTTTTTTTTGTTTCATTTATAAAACTGTTAGAAATTTTAAAGAAATTGTAGCTAAACACGAAGTTAGTAAAACAAGTATGACATGGGCCAGCAGTTCACACTTGATATTATGTGCATATTATGTCAGCCGTTTTTTTTACACACACCACATATATGACGATCTGATAGATAAAATGTTATCATGCTTTATATTCCTTTATATTATAATAACTTCTTTATAATGGGTCACACTGAGCAGTGGCGTAGCCAGGATCGTCTCAAGGGGGGGGGGGGTTCCAATTTTTACCCGGGGACAAACTTTCGATTTGCACCCCCCCTCAAACTTTCGATTTGCACCCCACCTCAAACTTTCGATTTGCACCCCCCCCCCCTCAAGCTTTTGATTTGCACCCCCCTAACCCCCCCTGCCTACGCCACTGCCACTGAGTCCCATGGATAGGCCCCACTGTCCCATATGTGGGTCCCACTTACTCCTATGAATGGGCCCCACTGTCTAATGAATGGGTCCCACTTAGTCCTATGGATGGGTCCCACTGGCGCATGGATAGGTCCCACTGAGTCCCATAAAAGGGGTCCCACTTTGTCCATTGTATGGGTCCCACTGAGTCCCATGAATGGGTCCCACTGTCTCATGGATGGGGTCCCACTGTCCCATATGTAGGTACTTAGTAAAACGGATGGGTACCACTGAGTCCCATATATGGGTCCCACTGAGTCCCATGGATGGGTCCCAGTGTCCCATGGATGGGTCCCACTGAGTCTCATGTATGGTTTCCACTGAGTCCCATCAGCTTAAGTCTACCATTCACATGGTTATATCAGACTGAATATTGCAAGTGTTTCTAGGAAACACCTTCCTAACATAAAATAATTCCTTATTCCATATGCCTGGCTCAACATAGGTAGAAAACTGATGTTTTTAAGACAAACACACTGAAGATAAATTTTGAAATAATTATTTATTTTATTATTCCAGATCCCTGACCCAACAAAGATAGAAAACTTGAAGTATAAAGACACTCTATCTGTTGATTACATGGCAGTCAGTAATTCCAACAACATGATAGTGACCACCCCTGAGCCCCACAGCTCCATGTTGCCTGAGGGACGCTCTGACACCCTCACCCACTTCACTGATGACAACATGGAGTTTGAGTACACCCTACACTCCCAGACCCACGCCAAGATCCCCATGTTTAGAGAAGACCCCAACTTCGAGGCCTCGGGCAGCAAAAAGTTCCACAACAAAAAAGTTTTTGACAGCCCCGTAGATCAGCAGCCATCCAACCTGTTGTCTCAGCCTGCGGGGAATGTGCCCAACTTCAGCATCATCATCAACGAGGACAGCCATTCACAACTGTGTAAAAACTTGGAGCCAGAAAATGACATGAAACAAAGCAACATACACATCAACAGCCAATGTATGCCACACAATGCACCTCTCAACAGAATTATTCATCCATCTAGTCAAATACCTCAACAATTAGTTGATAAGACATTGAGTAATAATTTTCACATGATTGAAAATGTGAAAAGCTCTGATACCAATATGGAAACTGATGAGCTCTCAGAACACAGCATAGAATCATCTTTTTCCTCCAGTTTCTTGAAAAAGATCCCTGATTCCCATGTTGATGATTTAGATCAGCCGGAGTATGTTCCCTTAGAATTTCTAAAAAGTCAAAGTTTAAAAAGACATGAAAAGCAAAACTCCTTTGCCTGCTCAGACATGGAGGTCAAAGATTGCTCAGAAACAATGACAAACAAACTCTCAGATTCACAGAGAGATTTCTTGGATTCACAGAGGGTTTTCTCAGCTCCACACTGCCAGGAACCTCCCAAAAAGCCTCACCAGGAACCTCACCCTGAACATTTCCATCCTGTTAGTGACATCAGTCCAAGCAGGGAAGACGCTCCACAGCTAAATCAACAACATCTGTATCGCCACACACCTCCACCCCAACATTTGAACTTGCCAGACTTCATTAGCTCGCAACTTCATGGGGTGAGTGAGCGAAGAGTGGGCCATTACATGGACATGAACCAAAATTCATCAGTGTCCCAGATAGTTAACCCAACCCAGACTTTTTTAAGCGAGCAAGACATGAAAAATGGGTTTGTTCCTTTACAATCTCCCCAGTATGAGTTGCAGGAATCTTACCCAGATATGAGAACACTTCCACAGTACACAAATTTCCATAGACACAAAGTTGTTGTGTCCCACCCAGGCATGAGTCATCCAGCCCCCAACGATTTATTTAGACCCGCCGCCTTCCCAACATATACACCGAACCAGACCGTCAGTTCTGAAAATTCAAATGGGAAACGAGCAGGAAGCACCAGATCTGATAGCACCATATCAGACACCACGAGGGCAGACAGTACCAGGTCAGATGTCACCAGGTCAGATGTCACGAGGTCAGGATCTGACAGGGATCAGAGGTACAACTACATTGACAACAACCAAGTGACATCTGTTAAAGAGGACGACGCCATGAAGGAAGAACTTTCTAGACTGGAGGGGTGGTGTCCATGGGCACATGGACAGAACGTAAGTAAACATTTACGTATGTAGGCATAGTAAGTAAGTCTGGTTCTGGCGAAGTCATATTTATGTATAGTAAGGAAACATATATGTATATATATATATATGCATGTATCATACATAAACCTTTACATCTGTGTCTATAAGCTTGTATGTGTTTTTTTCTCTATAAATTCCAGCAAGCTTTTCCGAGTTATTACCTCTATTTATAAATAACTCAGCAAATGTAATAAAAGTTATCATTTTCTTACCTGAAGAAAGCTAAGAAAATGTATAATTTTCTCACCTATTAACAAATCAGCAAACATTAAAATATTTTACTCACCTATTAACAAATCAGCAAACATTAAAATATTTTTCTCACCTATTAACAAATCAACAAACATTAAAATATTTTTCTCACCTATTAATAAATCAGCAAACATTAAAATAATTTTCTCACATATTAACAAATCAGCAAACATTAAAATATTTTTCTCTCACATTTTTTGACAGATTATTCAGACCATGGAAAAATATAGAAAAAAAGATGGATGGTTTTGCGTGTGGAAGTCACGGCGTCAAAATCGTTATATACTCACTGTGAGGTATGTTCTAAAATATAATTAGAAACATTAAAAAACATTACTATACTACCCTACCTCCCTATACAAGGAAGTAGGACCAACTGAGAACAAGCTATTTAGGGACCCTGATAAAATGAATGCCAGAAATTGTTTCTACTTCCTATAGGTAAATAGCTAGCTTAAGAGATGGATATATAGTCGGTGTAACAAAACAATAGGTGTCATTCTAATTGTCATTCAATTGTTACTAAGCTACTTTTGATCAGCAAGAGCTTTTGACACATTTTTTTCTTTGGACAAACGTAATTTTTAAAAACATTTTTTTAAACTTAACATTTTTTTTTATCTACACTTACAGTGTTTGTACTAAATTCAAAACCTCTTCTTTACAAAATATAACTAAAGTAATTTTTTTTATAGTAACATGGATAAAATTGATTTGCTAATTATTAATTAATCAAAATATGTAGGCCTACACAATTTAACTAAAATTATTCTTATTTTGATTTTATAGCCACATGGAAAAATTGATTCATCTGGAAGTTCTGGAAAGGCGAGACAGCAACTCAGTCAAAATGTATTTCTTATTTGAACATGGTCACAGGTACAACAGTGTGAAAAGTTTGATAGACCACTACCGGCAGTCTGGAATACAAACAGCAGTCAAAGCAGACGCCTCAAAGAAAAAGTACAAAGAAACTATCCAACTGTTACATCCAGTAAAAAAATAGTGTTTGAAAAACCGTATAAAGTCCTACCACTAATGTGCTCTACATATGATTGCAATACCTTTTCTAAACATTACTGTCAATTTGTTTAAACAATATATTTATTGTCATTCTGTGAAATATGTGTTGTAAATAATGTAAAAAGGTATGAGTTACCAGAACGACAAAAATTCTGTGATAAAGTAATTGAGAGAAAAAAAAATTATTTACTGATAATATATTTGAAATTTAAAAATCCGGCTAAAATGGTTTTTGAATATTGATGACTTAAAAAAAAAAACAGCTAAAAAGAAGACAAAATTGTTTTTTTTAAAACACGGAACAATTTTCATTATTGTAACAATGTTGGAATGTTTTTGACAATAGTGTGTTGTTTTCTGTTGTATACCTACCAGTCTGCATTCTTGACCAACTTCTATGAAAGGACAGTATAGAAACTTTGATGCTGTCCTAAATGTCCTTTGTCTGCATTCCATGACCATCTTATAAATGACAGGCAATACAGAAAATTTAATGTTGTCTTTAATGTTACTTGCATTCCATGACCATCTTGTATGTGATCTTGCAATAGTGAATGTATCACTATACTGTCTTAGATAAGTTGCGTAGAATATTTATCCATGCTATTGACATAAGCCAATGTACTCCAGCAATGGCCCATAAACAACATAACATAGTCGTACCTGCATACCCAACCCTAGATATTGATGTAGTGAGAGATATTTTCCAAAACAGAAAAATATAATTTTAATTTAGGAAAAATCTTTAAAATAGGCTGGTCTTAGTCTTAACCAAATGATACAGACCGGCTGAAACACTAGAACGACCTTTATCGTTACAGTAAAACTGGTCTAATAGTCACACTGAATTCTTAATTAGTGATGCATATTGACAGATCTAATGTTGCTTATGGTTGCCACTTAATATTGTCTACTGGTATTTTATTCACTCTCTTTTCTATTGTAGTAATTTGTGTATTATGAAAACAAACACAAGCAGTTGCTTGTTTGTTTGTATGTAACCTGATATCTGGTGTGATTCTAGCTGGTCAGCGAATTATTAAATTAACAAACCTCATATTTTCTGGCTGTTTACCATTTAAAAAATGTTTTCAGCTTTTAGGAATTTATTGTTTTGAAAAGTACATTTTGTCCCTTGAGAGATTTTTTCCCCCTATAAATTAATTTTTCTTTACTTATTTAAATTGTTTAAAATATTTTGTATTCAATTCTATATTTATTTAAATTGTTTAAAATATTTTGTATTCAATTCTAGCAAGTTGTTGGTCTGAAGCTGATTCTAGTTTTGACACTGACTTACCTCTGCCTGTTGTAATAATAGTAAATTATTCTCTTATGTAGCAGGAAATAAAATTATATTGTTATATCCGAGTTCTTTTGCTTTGCATCACTTATTTCACAGAAAGATGGAGCCACTCATAATGTTAAAGAAATGTAACATGAATATTGTAAGGTAAGGTAAGTGAAGTGCAGTATAAAAAATAAAGTACCAACAATTTTTTGGATTTAATTTATTAACCAAACCCAAATTTGGTAGAATTCAAATGTTCATCCAAGATACAGAGATACGAGTCTCTACCTTCGCAATACCACTGATAGTAAAAGTTTCATTGAATCAATAACATGTTGCTTTTGTTCTTATATATAAGGTTAACTCACTTCTGGACATTATGTGCTCATGTAGAATTATTACATAAAATTAAGGTAATTAGTCAATAAAACTCCATTGCACATCACTAGAAAGTTATTACTACTATATGATCTACTTTGTAATACAAAAAAAGCCATTAAAAACCCCCCATTATTTTTAAGATGAAAGTAACAATTGTTTACACTGTCATACAGTATGGAAAAATGAAAAAAAAGTAATACTTATTTTTTGGTTAAAAATAATAAATTAATTGGTGGGCAAAGTAGTTCTACAGTATTGTTATAATATTTGTATTTTTAGCAAATTGACATTCATACAGTTGGTGGCGAATAAATTAACATTACTTATTACAAAAAACAGATAGTTGACAAAAATCATGTTAGTCTATTAATGTTATCTATTTTTTTTTTAATTTAAAAATTGCAGCTGTTGTTACAACTGCTTGGTTTCTTCATAAATGACATGATGTGCTTAGAGATGGAAATGACCCCCATTATAAAAATGGAAGACATTAGAAATGAGTATTTAGAGTAACGGTTTCAAAAAATTCATAATTAAAGAAAAAAGGCACCAACATAAAAATTGTGCATAGTTATTTTAAAAATCTCAATGAACACCAGTTAAAAAAAATGATGAATGGGCAGAAATTGCTTTAGAGTTTGGATTTCATCTTACAGACATTTGGTGTACACAAAGATATTATTACAATATAACTGCATTGCGTAGAACAAAGCAGGTGTACCAGAAAGTATTGCACTAATAGAAAAATCCATCATTTGTATCGCATGCAAAAAAAAATAATATTCCTAAAAGCACTTGATTATGTCATTTAAAATACATATGAAAAAAAATTGGCTCTAAAAATGGAAGACTGCTTTATCTTGTAAAGAAATTAAAAATCATTTTACAATTTGCTAATGTTGTGTTCATCTTAAGTAGAAATATTGCTAGAAGCTTGTTAAAAGGTATAAAAAGGTAAGAAAAATGTATATATTATTATTATTACGTGATGGAACATGGTGTAAGATAAAAGGTAAAATAAAAGATTTTAAAATGTCATGCATTCATTAGAATAAACATTATTGTGCCATTATTGCAACAACTAAAGACAAAGGCCAGCAGAATTAACAAAGTAAAAGACAAAAATGCTGAATGGTAAACAAAAAAATGCGTAGATGTACAAAATAATATCAAGAGATGTGATCGCAAGATGAATAAACATACCATAAAATTTCAAAATTGAATGAGTTCAGAAAGTAATTGTACTTTCTTGAATTGTGCTTTAAAAAATAAAAACAAATGTTAGTAGCTTGGAGTAGTTAGACACATAGTTTCTCATTTGATCAGAACTTCAACAAAGTTATCTCCCCTGACAATCAGAGAAAAATAATGCTGAATTACACACCCATTAAAACAGTTTGCCCAAACATAAACCAATACAGGATTAGATTAAACAATGTGTAAATAGATTTCTGTAAGGTTAAATGGGAAAGGCACACAGGAGAAAAATCTACAAGTAAAAAGGAATATAAAAATTAAAGTTTAAAATAGTCATTCATGTATAGTTTTCAAATAAAATGATCTTATGCATAGTTTAAAAAGCCAGGCTCTGGTCTTTGTTGTGCTCATAGAGGAAGGATTGAACTAGTCTAAGAAAAAGCTGATTGGCATCAAGTTTTGAGAGCCACTAAAGATGTCCTTCATCTTGATATGACCAACAGAGGAAGGATTGAACTAGTCTAAGAAAAAGCTGATTGGCATCAAGTTCTGAGAGCCACTAGAGATGTCCCTACATCTTGATATGACCAACGCCATCTGGCGCCGTGGAATGTTATGTCAATCATAACCCACAATTTTCATTTATTCACTCCTTTGTCATCAATAGTTTGTTTTACATCAACTTCTACAGAAACACAGGAACCATATCTCAAAATCTCGTCATTTCTATCTAATAAATTCTTTGACCAGACCGTAATTGTGATGGAAGCTTTAGGATAAAAAACCCATTATAAAAGATTTCTTCAAATGGATATGAAGATTAGTATTGATCAACATTGGTCTTCATGTGCTACAATTTAAAACTCTTAGGTTTAAAAAAAACAACAGCATGACTGTACACAATTTAAAAAAAACCCACATAAAATATGCATAGAACTGTAGATACATACAAGAAATTATGTCTGGACAGGGTGCTAATTACAATAGGGCAATGTTGTTCAAACAGTGATCTGTATCACATGCAGCTCTCAGCATATATCACAATCTTAGTTCATGGAAGCAGGACATACTTGTTTTAAACTTTCTATCTTTCTGCATTAAAATGTTTATAGTAATTTAAAATATTTTATAGTATTCACAAAGAAAAAACTCTTTAAAAAGTGTATAAATTCTTGTTTAAAAGAACCGCGGAATAACAAGTTACAAGAATGAACTAATTCAAACCTTTAAGCTGTTACCAATTTTAAAAGTCGTAAAATTTAAAATTAATTTACAAAGCATTTTTACAATTAAAGTTACAGAAAATGTGTGTACATGATTGCTTAAAATACTTTTGAATATTAGTTTATTTTTTGTATATACAACTTTTGATCCATTTGATGGAGATAATAATTGCTTGGGGGCTCTAGTTGGTTGTTATATACAAGGACTGCTAGAGGAAGGCTTCAAGCCAGAACTACACAGGCTATGTATTGTACAAAGGGCTCTAAATTACATCACAAGCCTTACTTCAATTGTACACAGGAAAGACCAGACTTGAGCCAGGTTGTCAAACAACAGAATAAATAAACTCTCCCAGGTGGGTACAGGTACATGACACCACACATACAGCATTTGACTGTCATGTGTATACATCATGTCATCTACACCCAAATACATCTATACAGGGTAATCTCTAAGGGTGAAGTATTATGCATCATCAACTTTTTGGTTGTTTACATCCATCTAAGGGTGAAGTATTATGCATCATCAACTTTTTGGTTGTTTACATCCAAATGTTCAGTTGAAATCAGTGAGGGAGGCTTCTTTTAGAACAGTGACCCACCTATCAAAAGAAAAACAATCTTCAATCCTCAGCGAAAAATAATTATCTTCTAGTATAAGTATGTATAGATAAATAAAAAATTGCAGCTGCATTGAAATTTATGCAAATAGTTATAAAACGGTTAGGGTTAGTACTCACACAAGTTCATGTATGTATAGAGTATGGCAGGAAAAATAAAAATCTGAGCCACTTTCCCATGGGTGGTTTAAAAAAAAGATTTTTAAGCCAAGAAGGGAACTCACTTGGTGGTGGCTTCTGCCGTGTCAGTGCGGAAGATCAGCCTCTGGGTAGTTTTCTCACTGAGATTTTTCTTCAGCAAAGGCTGGTTGTTCTTGTGTGTTAGCTCAAACAGGTAGTGTGGCTCAGCACCTTCAAATGGCTGGTCAGGAGGACAAGGTTAAATATGTTAGGGTCTAACTAGACAATGTTACTTACATGAGGGTGTAACTAGGCAATGTTACATACATTAGGGTCTAACTAGACAATGTTTACATACATTAGGTTCTTATAGACAATGTTACATACATTAGTCTAACTAGACAAGGTTTCATTAGGGTCTAACTAGGCAATGTTACATACAGTAGAGTTTGGCAGAATAATGTTATATATTCACTAGGATCTAATTGAGCAGGAAAAGTGTTCACTATGAACTTGGATTTTAATAGCTATGTGTAAAGCATGTTCTCACTATGAGTACAGTTTAAACGGATTAAAATTATTATTCTCTATTTCTTTTTTTTTAATACTAAACAACGTATTTATCTGGCTAAAACTGTAAAAAGTGAAGTCAGAAATCTTACTGTGGTGAGACAGGTAACTTCGTAGCCAAGCAGGGGCATACTTTCTGTGGCTGCCACATCCTAAAAAATAAATCACGGATTTTAGAACATAAGAGATAATATCTGAATCTTAAATAATCACATTAGAATTTTAGTTCAAATAGGAAATGGAATATAATCTAATAAATAACTACTTGAAATTTAAAACAATTTAGCAAAAACAAAAATCATATAAACCTATGATTTTTATTTAGACTGCACAGGTAATTTAAGATACACAATATTTTACAAACACAACAAGATTTCTTTTTATTGAAGCTGTCAAGAATGAAAAACACATCCATTTCCTAAAGTAATCAAGCTAAACCTACCTCACTAGCCTTGTAGGTGTACAGTACTTTTCCTTTCACCACAAACCACAGGCGCTTCCATTTCCTGGACTTGTATGCTCTTAGGTAGCCACTCATATCTGAGCCTTCATCGTTAGCCTTCACCTAGTAGAATAAATAAAAACATGGACATAAATTTATTTTTTAAAAACAATATATTAAAATTTAGAAACATTATAGTGTGGTTATATGTAATGAAATCAATTTTTGTCATTTTTTTTTTTAAATTAAAGAAATCATAGTGGCTAAGCATGTGAGTTTATCTACAGATAAACAAATGTTAAAGAGTTATTATTTCTAACCTCCTTAAGGACTGACGGCCTGCTTTGGTTATTTTTCCTGTTGCTGAGTCTCAGCTTCTGAAACCTGGCCAGCAGGTTCTGCAGGTTCAGGCTGGAGTCAACGTTGACCTCACACTTCATCTCCCCGTCAACAACATCCTCACAGCTGGCACTGGTTGGAGAAGCTGCTGAATCTTCCCTCGCTGGCGGCGACACTGGTGGAGACACGGATTTCTGGAGCTCGGCTGCTTCAATTCTTTTCAAGATTTCTGATTGGAACAAAGTAATTCAGTCAATACTAGATTTTTTGTTTTCCTATGATCAGTATTGTTTTCATGATTTCTGATTGGAACAAAGTAATTCAATCAATACTAGATATTTTGTTTTCCTACAAGCAGTATGGTTTTCATAATTTCTGATTGGAAAAAAGTAGTTTAGTCAATATGAAGGTTTGCAGATATATTTTTTCCCCTTATGATGAGTATATGAATAGCTGATTTCACATACAAAAGAGTTTGTGGATAAGCGTGAGTCATGTGACTAGTTAGATTAGACAAGAAAGAGTTTAGAGAGTATAAATGTTTGCTGACTGACCCGCATGAAGCTGTGTGTAGCAGTGGTCACAGACCCTGGCAGGCTTGTTGTTCAGATACTGTAGAGGGGCTTTGTTGTCAGAACAGTGGGAGCAGATGATCTGGTGGTGGAGGAAGAAACATTTTTTTAAAACAATCAATACAATATTTTCTAAAATTTTAAAAGGTGGATTAAAAAAGCTAACCATTTATATAGCGAGTTAATTTCTTAAATTATTAGAAGCCCTAGAATTTATTTTAAATAAAATATTTATTAAAAGAACACTTCGGAAAAGTTAAGGATTATTAATAAATTTTATTAATTAATTTTAAAAAATTAAATGCATTGAATTGAATATTATTAAAATTATGAAGTTAAGAAACATTATACTTAGTGAAATGAAATTACCTTGCCAAAAAGAAGTGGAAACAGGACAAAATACTGGCCTATTATCATTAGGTAGCTAGCAGACAAGTCCATATAAAATTTAGACATACTTAGTCACTATTCAATCTAGCAGAAGATTACTAACCCGCCCACAAGATCGACAATGATGTCTTCTCCAGGTTAAAGTAAACTCCACAAGACAGACCATGCACATGGTCACACGAGCATCAGGCACCCACAGCGGGGCTTTGGCGCCAAGAACAAAATCCTTGCTCTGCTTTAGAGGGTCAAATGTTTGATGTCTCTTGGCGTTCTTGTCTATGGCACCTTGTAGCGCTGACACCCAATCTTCTTTCTCTTTTGGTGTGCTAGAGGAGAAATGGTAAATTAACTTCAGGAGAATATGGCAAAAAAAACTGTGTTACAATTACTATAATATCTGCTGTTTGGAAAGAAGTTACATGAACAAAAAATAGTTGCTTTGTCAATATCAATACTTTACTAACCCTAAGTACACTACAATTTTCTAAGATATAGCGTCGGAGAATCCCATCCCCCCATCTTGACATTTTTAAAATTTACGGCTCTGCTAGCTTATTTAAGCTCCACACAAGACCATTTTCTTACCTTGCACTTAGTGTAAACGAACGCTGGAAACCAATTATGTTAAATTCATATCTGTAGTCTTCAAGTTTAGGTGCATTTACCTGTAACATATTTTAACATAAAATAGATGTATATATAAAACTGACTGAATTATTGAAAATTTCTGATAAGTTAAAAAAGTAATTCTCTAGAAGCAAAAATTATACATGAAAGATAAAACTTTTATGAAGAACAAGCAGGTATAAGAAGAAACGATATTTATATTTTGTTTTTAAAAAAATTAGGGGTAAGGTTATATGATAGAGAAAACAAAGCACAAGGACATTTAACTCTAAGTGAAAAATTTCTTAAAATAATGTTAAAAATGCTTATTGTATAAAGTTACCTTCATCCCAGCTAGGGGTAAAATATTATTTATTTTGTAGCCTGTGGCTGTACCAGTAGTATACAAAAGAACATCATTGAACTGAAATTGTATATAAAATTACATGGTGAACAAAAAACTTGAGTTACCTATATTAAGAACTAACAAAGACCTTGGGCCAAAGCACCTGTTGTAGTTGTCCTTAATTTGGTCGGTTACTAACACCTCCAATTTATGCAACATATCTATTAAACATACTCCACTGCAGCAGCTACCATTTTCATTCAACTTGCAACTATGACATTGGAATAGAGATAAGGGCGCAGGCTAATACATTGAAATGAAATATGGAACCACATACCAGGAAAAACATTCTGGGCTGCATCTCTTTTCTCGAAAGTTTCTGTAATTCACCTTGCTTGATCAGAATCTGTAAAATATATTCATTTTTTACTTTAAAAACAAAAAAAGACATTTCTTTAATAACAAATAATTTTTTTTGACAATTTATAGAAGTATATTTAATAATTGATTTGTTACAAATTATCAGTTAGCAAATAATTTTCATATCAAAAGAAACTAGATAGCAGTCTTTTCCGATATGGGTTAGAATGATTTAAATAAATAAGTTATTAACAAAAATACATATCTTACCCTTCCAGGCTGAATGACTTCAAACTGACCAATTAGTGACCTTTGAATCTCAAGCAATTTTTGCACATTATCCTTTAAAAAAAATTGCACAATATTTATATTACAAAAATAATTTTTCTTATGTGTAATCAATATTTGAATGACTTATACACACAGTGACTGTTGTACACATTACTCACACAACCTGATTCTACACATTCCTCACACACCCTGACCCCACACACATTCCTCACACAACCTGATTCCACACATTCCTCACACACCCTGAACCCACACACATTCCTCACACAACCTGACCCCACACATATTCCTCACACATGACCCCACACACATTCCTCACACAACCTGACCCCACACACATTTCTCACACAACCTGAATACACACACATTACTCACAAAAAGGCCTTATTGAATCTTTCACACATATTTCTCACCCAACCTGAGTTCCACACAACATATTTCCCCACACAAGCATATCTCCACACTTACCCCATGTCTCATACTCTCATTGGCATGATCAGCTACAGCAGAGACTATATTTAATGCAGCTGTAGAAGACAGATCAACATAACATACAAGGTGAAATGGTACAACATTACTTTAAACAGTACAATAGTAAGCCATGATTGAACTAGATCATTAAAGAACTAAATAAAATATACATTTTTCACTATTATAATCCTCTTGGACGCACTGAGATAATTGAAAGACCGATGAAGGAGTTTGTCTTTAACCCCCTAATTATAATTTAAAACAATTTTTTAGTGAACTTTCAGATCCTATAATCTAAATATACAGAAACAAGTTGATATGGATGATTGATTTGCAAAAGTATTTCTAAATAAATTTAAGAAAATGATCTCCCCAATCCCTCTCCACATACTGTGTAGCCTGACGTTATCAAAAAAGTGAAATTTTAAAAAATTGGTACTATAAATATTAGTTACAAAAAGGCTAGATTTGACAGAAACTTACTGATAGTGTCTTTGTAGTCTAAAGACAGAGGGCTCAAGTTTTTGAGATAATCTGTAACAATTTACAAAAAGATTTGGGTTAGAAAACAAAGTAATCCAAACAGGAAATAAAAAAAAATTGCCTAAAAATAAATAATACTGTGAATGTACTCTTGCAATTATAATCATCACAGCCCATGTTTTGGTAAAGAAATAAAAAGCTATTACTGGATTAGTTTTAAAACAAAGTTGCGAATTAAAGACCATTAAAGACCATCCAACCTTGAAGCAACAACTTGTACTGAGGAATTCTCTGTATGGGTTTCAACATGAAGTGTTTTAGGGCAAGGTGGGCACATCTAGGACTCATCTATGACATAAATAGTAAAAACTATTTTAGTTACATGAATACAATTTAGACAACAATTATTTTTACAAAGCCCTTCAACATTTACCTAACTTGTGGTTAGAGTAACTTCATAGAGTAGATACTGGGTGAATGGAGAACAAACAAATGATGGTATCAATAGGAAGAGTTAAGGACTTGAGCAGCTATTTTAGAAATTTTTGTCAGAAATTCTAAGCTGACTATGTCAGCAACAATCCAGGAGCATACCTCAAACTCTTTTAGGGCAGTCGCAAAAGCTGGATATTTCTTGGCTGAGTTTTCTAATAGAGATGTTGCGTTCTCAAAGTTGCTTATGTACGTAGAATATAGTTTCAAGAATGGACCTTTTTTTACAAATACATCAGAAATTCTTGGATTGATTTCCCTATAAATAAAAAATAAAATAAAACACAACTTAATATTTTATTGGTTCGTTTTCAGCACTAAGTCCCCAAGACTAAACTCACTTAGGTGGCATTATATACTGTCATATTTTCTAACTAACACACAATGCAACATACATTCATACTGCCAAATTCAGTCTTACAGACACATACTGTGATATAGTGTCATTTCACCACATACTGTCATACTGTCAAACTAACATGTATTGTCAGGGTGACTGTCATACTGCCCTACTGTTTAACATGTATTGTCAGGGTGAAGTGTAAAAGCTGATATATACTGATATACTGACACACACCAACACTGTAATCTCACACAGCAAATTTATCTTAATATTTACAACTCTAGTAACAAATAATATATTTGAGTGATTTTGAAGGGGAAAAGCACTTTAAAAAAGTATTTTTTTTAAATGTAGTAAAAAAAATCATTACACAACTAGGAGGAATTAAATAAACCCCAACAAAAACAAGTTCAGTGCTTAAGAGTTTATGACTAGGCGATATCAAGTGGGGTCAAAGGTCGTCTAGAGTAACTCAGTCTTATGTAATTGAAGCACAAAATTACCATTTTTCTATTCGTTCAGTGAGATCCTTTAATAAATCTTCATTAAAGTTTAGAAGCTGAGGCAAATAGTCCAGGATTTTGTTTAAAGTCTCTGTAGGGATGACAGGTTGACCTAGTCTCTCAGTGGCCATAGACACATGAACTCTAAAGTCCTGGATGGTTGAAAATAATAATTTACATTAAAAAGCAAAGCCACACTGCAACAAAAAAAAAAATAATTAAAACCTGACAGTATCATACCAGATTTAGCAGCCGGAGAACATCAACAAAAGTACTTTCAGATGACATGATCTCTTTTGCTATGAAAAACACTTTCTTTGCTTTCCTTTGAGCCTGGGAGAAAGATCACATATAAGAATGGTTTTTATCAATTGTTTTTATTAGCAAAATACAAAAAAGTTGAGAATTTGAATTTTTTAGCACTTTCAAAAAAAAAAAAAAGGACATTCTTTGTTGAGTTTTTGGAAATAAAAAAAATGTGTAGAGCAATGTTGTGTACTAATTATAATGATAACTTATGGAAAGCAATGTTGTGTAAATGTAAGTCTTTGTATTTCTAACAGATGTTAATCAAAGAGAAAAGTGTTCTATTTTGGGAAGTACATACATAAATTTCTTCCTTATCTGGCTCAGGTTCAGATTCACTCTCTGAGCTGGGTATTTCCTCAATGACCTGGTGATCAAAGACATGAACTTCCTGCTCGCTGTTAGAGCTCTGCTGGCTGATTGTTGATGACCTTTGATCTGAAGAACTGGTAGAGCCTGTGGGCGCTACATCAGCGGGCAGATCCGTCGCTTGAATTTCTGCGGGTTGGATGTCTTCAACATGTGGAGTCTCAGTGTTTGCTGGCTCTGACTCTATGACAGTTTTGACAGGAGTGTTGGTGTTTACAGTATGTGATGTGTTCGGCTCTGGTGATTCAAAGGACTTGGACTTTTTAGCACCTTTACCAAAGCCCAAGCCTTGAGCTACTTTTTGAATTAAAGCAGTTTTGGCCCTTTTCTCTCTCAGTCTTTGATCCTCAGGGCTAAGTCTCTTGACTGGGACAATCCTAGCAGTTTCTGGTGATTGGGACTTTAAAGATTCAGTGCTGCCTCTCAGAGAGGTAGATGTCAGCTGGGTGAGGCTGTCTTTTGAGGATGATCTTTCTTTACTCTTGAGGGAGTTTGATCTGAACAGGCGGGGAGGAAGTTCTGGGGGAGGGGTCATCTCTGCTGGTATAAAGAAATAAGACATCAGACACCCATACTCAACATTTGTAACTGTTTAGATAGGCGAGGGGGAAGTTCTGGGGGAGGGGTCATCTCTGCTGGTATAAAGAAATAAGACATCAGACACCCATACTCAGCATTTGTAACTGTTTAGATAGGTGAGGGGGAAGTTCTGGGGGAGGGGTCATCTCTGCTGGTATAAAGAAATAAGACATCAGACACCCGTACTCAACATTTTTAACTATTTAGTGCTCAATATTTTAGCCTTGTTACTGTTATTTATTTCTGTACTATTAGAGAGTCCTCCCAGGTTCAATATCTGATGAACTCAAGTACAACATTCGATACAATTTGAAGAGCTTTTAGTTTTCATTTCATTTAGGATAAACATAATTAAAATGGTAGATCTTTATTTTAAAAAATTTCAGAGTCAAGGCTCACTAAGTTAGAAACATGTTAACAAAGCAATGGTGGAAAGTAACTATTTAATAACACATTTTAGAAAGCTTAAAAATCAAACAAATTTAGTAATGCTTCACTTTGCAATTTAAGATAAGGAATGTTATAATTACCCTTTTTAACCCTTGAATGTTCAGTAATTTCATGGTAGTCATGGTCATCTACGGCAGCTTTATATTGATACAGTGAACCCTTCAATAAAGCTGCAGGGTCTGAGGTGTCGCTAGATCCATCACTTATATTCTCTCTAAAGAAGGAGATTAAATATTTATTTGCTACGTCCTGAGAATTTAATGCTTTGGGGCATAGAATGTTTAAGTTTACATTTTCCAAAACTAAAGACTCTTTATTACTTAATTTACTTTTAGATAACATATTTTAAAAAAAAAACTATTAAAAAAACAGCAGCTTGTCTGACATGATAGAAGTAAATTATACCAACCTCTCTTCTCCACTGTTTTGTTTAGTATCCCCAGTACTGAAAGTTGCAGCTCTTTTTGGTGGTCCAGGTGGAGGTGGGGGAGCAACTCTTGTTGGTCTTGGTTTAGAGGACCTTTTTAAAGTTGACGATCCTGTATCAGGGGGTGTGGCTAGTGAAGGCTTGTATGTTGAATCACCTGTGTCTGTGTTGAATGGATTCTTCCTGCTAGAGACAGGTGTGTTGGAATCTCCTGTGCCGACCTTACCTTGATTGTATACTTTGCCAGCAGTATCTGCAGAGCTCGGCTTGTTACGAGGGGGTAGTGGGGGTGGTGTAACAGAAGAACTGCATGACTCACTTCTCTTGAGAGAATCTAAACGGGGAGGCAGATAAGGTTTGCCGTCCTGCGTTTGCTGGTAGTGATCCATATCTGCAGAGTTCTCTACACTGTCTACAAGAGACTTCATGCCAGTCACATCTGAGTTGCTGCGGTTCACTTTGCTGACAAACATTCTTTTAGGTTTCGGTGGGATTTTTTTACCCCCTGAGCTTAGACCACTTGTATTAATGCACTCAGTACTGGTACTATCTATTGATTGAGTTAGAGACTCTAGGCTACCCCGATGCCTGCATATACTAGCCTGGCGTTTTGGTCTTGGTGGCCGTTGAGGACTAGAAGACTGAGAACCCCTGGAGTTACCAGATTTCTCAATATCAACTGATTTTTTTTCTATATCAAAATTTGCATCTCCAAGTTTACTTTTCAAAAGTTCTTCAATCTCTTTGAGCATATCACATGTTGCTTCAGGTTCTAATGAAATACTTTGTTCACTTAGCCGACTAAGTCTTGAACTATTAGTGTCTAAATTCTCATTAAAATCTTTGATTTCAGTTTCTACATTAAGTTCAGTACACGCACTGTCTGTTTGTGAAAGTTCCTGGTCTGAAATAACTCTGGGGTGCTTTTCCTCTATTGCACTTTTCCCAATGATAATTTTTGAGTATTTTAATCTTTTGCTGGATGCTGATTCTTCATCAGCAACTTTGATTATCAGCCTATCAGCTTTTACTTCATCATCTTCTGCATCACCATGATACACCTCAACATAGTCCAATTCAAGTGTTTCACTAGCAGGAGACACAATCTCACTATATGGTGACACACTATCACTGTTAGATGACACACTCTCAGCAGGAATGTGAAGATCTTGGTTTGAATTCTTCAAATCCTCTGTATGATTTTTTGTATCAACGATATTGTTTACCTTTTGGTCTAAAACTTGTTCATCATTTGACAGGGGCAAAGAAACTCTAGTCCTAGGCAAAGGTTTCGGGGGTACTTTTATGCTTGCTTGACTTTCACTGGATGTGATTATAGTATTAGCATTAGAATCATTTACATTGAGGTTTTGACAGCCACTGGTGTCTTCTACCACTGAACTATGACGAGCTTTGTCAGAACTGTCAACAACTGTTTGACTGACAGGAAACTGAGGTTTTTTCTCTGATGTTGGAGTTGTCTTGCAGGTTGAGCTTCTGCGTTTACGTGGGACCGAGCCCCTAGGGGGATTTTTTGGAAGTGGCGGAGGCTGACCAGTTTTCTGTTCAGTGTCAGGCTTCTTTTCTATATGGTTAAAAGGGAAGACAAGAAATTAATCATTTCAAAAACTATAATGGAAACTTTCTAGCCAGAAACTAAAGACACGTAGTGAAATTTAAATTTATTTAATTAAATATATGCAGAGGGGTGTGAAAAAAATATTAAGGGATAGGGCCTGATAAACACTAAAAAGTGAAATGCAAAGAACCAGGTCTTCAATAGGCTCAGTTAATGGTTTATCTGATAGAAAATTATTAAAATATATTATATTATTCAGGGACTGCTAACCAGAAAAGCCTTGAGTTTTGGATCCCGGCTTTTTTTAGTCTGTAAGATGTACCTGTCCACCCAGCTCTGATGGGTACCTGACTTGTGTAAGGGAAAGTAAAGGCATCTGGACATAGTACTGACCACACTATCCCCTTTATAATATGCTGAGGTCATAAACAAGTGAACTCTACTTCATCTGCCCTATGGACCACCACATTTTAAAGGGTACTTAGGCTTACTTTATTTAAACATGTATTGCAGTGTTATGCCATAAAAAGCATAGATTTCAGTTTCAAGATTGACAGGCTATTTCAATGCTACATTTATTTACAAGTATAGAATCTAAGTTTAAATGCTTAATTAATAGCCTATGTAAAGTGAGATTCTTACATTTTTTTAAAGACAAGATATAGAGTCTAACCCTATAGAAAGATTTTAAAAAGTACAACACAAATGATTGAAATAATCACTACACTATGTGACTTCACGAAGTCTAAAAGACTATTACAATTTGTTAAAGTATATCCGTTTATCCAGAAATCTAGATCTAGCCTAGAAATAATTAATAATAATTTAATACAGATTTAGTTAGATCTAGATCATAGATTAGTTAGATCTATTTATCGAATTTTAGTAAAGTAATTAGTAATTTTCAAAATTAATTTTATTAGCGAAAATCGTATGACTAGGGGGGTCATCCATAAATGAGGTCACGCTTTTTGGGACGATTTTTACCTCCCCCCTCCCCAACGTCACAAAAAGCCAGACCCACTCTAAAATGACGTCACATCTCAGCCTACACCCCCCCCTTCAAAATTGCAGTTGAATTTTTCTTCAAATACGATATTTTTTCCAAAATCTTATCTGAACTCTCTCGATATATAGTTTTTTTTTTAACCAATTCCCATTACAATTTATTAAAACAGTTTTCTAAAACGCAAAGTAACGGCTAAAATTCGTTTTCTAACTTTGCTATTTATAATGCAAATGTGTGACGTCAAATCATCTTTAACCCCCCCCCCCCTTCATCACACACACACCGTCACAAAATTACGGACGGACCCCCCTCCCTCCTACGAGTGTGACGTCATTTATGGACGACCCCTAGGCTATACCATCTTTTTTTAATTACAATCTATTTTTGTCTAGACATTGACCTTCAATATAAATTGTCGAATGACTATTTCATGTAAATTTAACACTTTCGTCAACGGTTTTTTTTGTTCGGAGTAAGTGATTAACCGCAGATGTTTCGTATCACTTAATATACCCCTTCAGACGGTTAACTATGCCAGATTTTTGTAAAGGTTTAAGCCAAACACGGTATTGAATACCCACAGTGATAATGTTGGTCAACAGATATATTCACGTTCAGGAGAATTTCTTATGTTGTCACTATCTTTATAACTTAGTGAGCAGGCCAATGACTACTAATAACTACTCGATCTATTTAAGAACGTACACGCTTAGACCGAACCATTTGTAAAACGGTGTAGTGTAAACCTCTCGATGGTAAGAAAACAGAGGCTAGTCATTCATCACGCACGTCTGTAGGCCCTAGCTAACAAGCATTTACAGGTAGACTTTTTTAAAAGGATCGGCAATCGGCAACCAATTAACAGGTAAAAAAAAATCACCCCCCCCCCCCCATCATCAAAATCTTAAATTGATCTTTTTCTTTTTTTTTGTTTAGCTTAATTCTCGCTAATAAAAAGCATAGCCTAGTTGCGTTTAATTTGAACATAGCTATAATAAATGAAGCACGTGAATCTAATAGCTTGCTTGAACACAACACGTAGCCTACAACGAGATTTTGTTTAAATGCGTAAAAAGGGGTGAACCGTGTTTCATACAGTGTAGGGAAAGTTCACTTTAAAATATCGTGGAAGGGTTTGTGTGTATGCAAAGGAGGGTGGAGGGTGGGGGGACGCTAAATAAAAAAAAACAACAACACACACGGGTTAATGAGTATCAGCTCGATAAAACGGGTCGTGACAAGTAACGTCATCAAGAAATACACACTCGTATATTTTAAAATTGCGTTATACTGGGGAGGGGAGATTTTCTAAATATTTTTTATTTTATTTTTAAGTGTCAAGACATTTTTTGTAACGGTATTTGTCGGAAAGGAGAGAAAAAAAATGGGGGGGGGGGGTTGAAATCATCACGTGAAGCTATTTACTAACGAGCTTTGCTCTGCTTGTGAAGTAAGTAACGTGAAACCTATTTGTCTCACTCGTCTCATTTATAGGCCCGGCGCAGGGCAAGTGACCACTGGTCTACGATAAGCACCTATACGGCAGTGTGTAGATAAGCACACCCGTGTCTAGCGGGCTAGTTGGTGCTGAATTGTTCCTCTCGTTTGGCAGGCTGGTATGTGCTGATGTTTTTTTTCTGTTCACGTGCCATAGTGTGGACTGTGTAGTGTATCACTACCGCCCCCTCACTACAAGGAAGATTGTATGCCGGATGCTTATTGAAACCCAAACATAACGATCTTTTAGTTATCCTACCATTCATCACACCCTACCCACACCTACAAATATTCTGGTGATGCCACCATTTATCACACACTACCACATGACCAAAGCCCACACTCTCCACAATGTATATGTTTTGTTATATTTTATAGTGCCTTTATAACTTCTAAGTAAATGAAAATGTATATTTATGCAAAAAAAAACAAAAACAAACAACAACAACACTTATTTAATAACTAAAATACAAACAGATCAGTGTCTGTAAGGTTTGTGTAACGTGTTAGTTGTTTTAAAGTTAGTAGTCCACTTCTATCAACTTAATGATCCCACCCCAGATTTTGGAATTCTTTCTATAACTCATAGTTCTTTTTAAAAATACATCCAAACAAAATAACTACACACAAATAAGCAATGAATATTAAACAAATTTCAAGAGGCAAACTAAAAAGAATGTTTTGAAAGAACTTAGCTAGATAGAATCTTGTGATTATCTTCTAAAATTTTTAAAAAATATAAACAAGTATAAAAAAAAAAAATACCTGCATTGTTTAAAGGTTGCTTAATAGATGACAGTGTTTTATCAGGCAAAGGTTGGCTTGCAGCAGGTAATGGCTGACTTGCAGAGGGTGGAGGGTTGGGGGATTTTTTCAAGGGAGGGGCAGGGCGTGTGGGGGGCCCTGTGTGCTTCAGCTTCACAGTGGGGGCACTTGGAGACAGCTGGGGGGAGTTACTTTTGCTAGGAAAACTAACAGGTGAGCTGGACTGCTGAGGTGGGTAGGATGGCCGTTTTGGAACCTGGGGCCGAGGATGCTGGACTTGTGAAGGAGATGTGGGACTGGAGTTGGTAGTGTTGGTATGGGGGTTGGTCTCTGTTGCTGGGGCCTCGGGTAAATTATTCTCAGTGTTTTCACTGTGGTCAGTGATGATGTTTAAAACAGTGGAGTTGGTAGCGTTGGAAGACATTGGAAGATGGGCATGATTTGATGAGATATCTACAGGTGAGGGTGAGGGTGAGGATGTAGCATTTACATGGAGCTGACTATGTGCAGAATTTTTATTTTGAGAATTTAAATTCTTGGATCTGAATGTTGCTGGAAGAGAGAGAGATGATGAGGGTGATAAAATGTGTCGGCCAACAACTGGAGGAGGGGAGGCAGGTAGCGGAGGTGGAGCTGTAGAAAGACATTCTAGAGATTTTTCAGATTCTGAATTGGTCGATGATGTTTCTGATGATAACTTTAACTTGAGCTCCTTTAACATTGCTCTATCCATTGTACCATTTTGAGATGAATGAGGCTGGGTATTGTCTGTGTCGTGAGAGTTGGCTGAAGGTAGAGTGGGGGAGGGATGGTTAGAGTTAGATAAACTGGTGGGTTTAGGTGGAGGAGGGGGCGCGATTTTTGGTTTCGCAGCCACTGGCGGCTTTTCTGCCTGTCTGACATTTCCAGAATTTGGCCTGTAAATGTAGACAGTGGTAAGTGTTAAAACTAAAAGTAGTTATATTAACCTATCTAAAAATAGTTTCCAGCTTAATAAGTATATAAGATGGCAGTGTTGGTTAAGGTGGAATGTTTTCTGAAAACATTCAAATAAAAAGTAAGTTAACCTACACCATTTATTATATAAACACAATCATAAACTCACATTAATAAGCAAGTTAAAAACATTTGTTTACAATAGAATGAAACTCACAACAATATAGTATTTGAACTATTTGATTATAACTATATAAAAAACCTGAAATCCATTTTCAAAAGTTAGGAAGGTATATAAAACAAATTAAAAGCATGTCAAGGGTAAAATGGAAAAACAAGAAAAAAAAAGCCTGATAAATGATAAATATTATGAGCTCACCTAGTTACCATCACATTTGAAGAAGAAAAATGATTATTTGTATCTTCCTCTTTATCTATGAAATCAAAAAGATGTGATTTAATTAAGTTACAATCAAAAAGAAATATTCACACATTTGTTGCATGCTATTACTTATAAATAATGCTGCAATCTCAAAACTAGCCTTGGTGATAAAAGGTTAGTTTCCACAACTGTATCAAAACCTAAAGGCTAGGATTAGCTCAAATTATGAACAACCATACTCATGCTGACCACACTATCTGTATCCCTTTATATGCTGAGGTCAAAGAAACATGTGAACTCCACTTTCCACAGGGACACTCAGGTTCCAAAAGGGAACGTAACTACTACTATATCCATACAAGTTAAATAGAAAATTTGAATAATAAACTGTTCACCATTCATGCTTTTTTTGTTCCAAAATAACAAAACACTTTTTAAGTATCCATAAAAATCTGTATGCAATTCAGTTTTAAAATGTTTATATCTACATGTTTACTGTAGTTAAGTGTTGTCCATAATATTAGAAGATAAGGAGTCAAAGAGAAGTAGAAAACAGAGAGTAGACTGCACTAGTGCACTTCTGCACTGATAATAAATAAAAATGAAATTAGAAACAAATTTAGTGATTGCACATTGTAAGTGCCTTGGTATAGTTTAATTTTGGACTTAATGATCTGAATGTTAATAATCTTTTGAAATTTTTTTTAATCCACATATCTGTTGAACTCTCAATTATCTATATATTTAATTCTCTACATCGCCCAACCATGCGGGTCACCACGACCACGCACGGCGACTCTCTAACCCTCCTCCTGCCCCTCCCTCACTTTCCAGGCGTGCGCAAGTATCACCCGAACATTTACAATCATAGAGCTGGGTCGAATTACTGAGGGCAGATAATTTAGTTTTTAAACAATATGAAACTTAGGGGGAGGTAACAAGTTCTGCTTGATCTTTTCATTGTCATCTGTAAACTGTCGTAACTGACAGCTGCTTTCAGGGGGGGGGGGGGTGAGGGTGAGGATAATTGTCCTTCATGAGCTACTCATGAGAGTGTTTTAAAGCAAAATGTTTTCAGTTGCCGCATTAGTAGTGTCAAATTCACAAATTGTGAATTATTGAAAAGTAGAAAATAAAACAAATATTAAAAAAGCCTACATATACCAACCATGCGGGACACCACGCACGCACACCGACTCTCTAACCCACCCGAATTTACGGAATTAAAAAAAAAACCTGAATGCACTGATGAACAAAGTTTAACTTTAAGAGGCCTACGTATAAGTAAATAACTAACTAAACTACTAGACATAGGGCCTACTATTTTTTTTTATTAACACTAGGTTTAACTAACTAAAATTAATTTATTAAATAGTTTAAGTTTAATAGTAGGCCTCTAAAAGTCTAAACTCTAAAGTTGACTAAAGTTAAAAGTAGTCTAAAGTAAAGTCTGTAAGTGTAGGCTAGTAGGGCAGTGTAGTCTGAGTGTAGGGCCAGACTATCATGAGAGTATCATGACTTAAAAGTTAAATGACTATCAATTTAAAAATCAATTAAGTTTTAAAGTTAGGGAGCTGTTAAAGTAAAAACTCATACATAAACGACAAACGCAGATCTACATGAAAGATAAAGTAAAGAATAGTAGTAAAGATTAAAGTGGACTAGAGTGGAGAATAGACTAGAGAATTTTTTTTCTTTAGACTGCTTCACAGTGACACTCGACGAGTCAACAAACAACTGCTGCGGCTACTCACTGCTGATCTGTCTTACTTACTTAGATCTAGACTCTAGACTACTCAGAAATGCAAAGGTGTACCTGAAATAGATGCCATTGTAAGTTCCAATGCCTTATGCGGCTGGTAATACTGAATAATTCATAACAATCATTTCAGACCTAGATTCTAGATTTAAATCTAAACCTTTTTGGTTTGAGAACAGAATAGCTACTTTTTTCTCTAGGTGGTTGTGTGTATAAAATCAGTTCCCGATTTATTTTTCTGCTATCATTTCCGGTTTACGTGACCTCTGACCTCGATTGACAAGCCTCCCCATTGTTCCTTGTTTGAATTATTTAAAGTTTTGTTTAAACAAAATCCATGTAAAGTCTAGGCCATGGCAATAGAATCTAGATCTAGATCAGCTCACTATTTACTATTTAATGTGCGCTTTAAATGCTTCTTGAACTAGAATCTAGATCTAGATCTAGATCTATAATTTCAGCAATATGAATAGCTCTGAATCTTTAGAATAAGTAGTCAGACATTTTTAAAAGCCTAGACCAGGGGTCGGCAACCTTTTGAGACGTAGAGCCAAAAGTTACAATCTACAAAATTTCCAAATGATTAAAGAGCCACTAACATTTTTATGCACCTTTGTAGTGGAAAACATGGAACCATTGCCACGGAGCTGGCCATAGCACAGTTGTGGGGCAGGGCCTAATGCCCAGCGGCTGTCAGCTGTCCATTTACGCTCTACTCCACCTATTCTAATTTTTTTTAAAATTTTGTTTTTATAGTATAATACTTTTTGAGTTTTGAAAATAAAATAAAATAATTATTATAGAACTGGAGAGCCGCATATTAATATCAAGAGCCGCATGCTGCTCGCGAGCCGCAGGTTGCCGACCCCTGGCCTAGACCTAATAGGGGTCACCCATAAACAACGTCAAGCTTTTTGGACTTCTTCGTTCTTAATTAAGTATATGATGGAGGATTTAAACAACAAACCCAACTTCGTGTATGTACTGGACTGTGGTCTCCAGATCTGCAGGTCCCCTATATAGTTTTTCCTTGAGTGGGGTGTGTAGGGGCCAGTGTTTTGATCGCGCCTGGCTATATAATGAACATTCTTGAAGGACGTGCCCCGTATTCTCCTGGGCCTTGCTGCAAGGGCATATTTCACCACACCCAATTTTTAGTTTTTTATGCATGTACTTTTGTGGCCTGTTCTGAGTCTAAAGATTATGTATTGTTTTCGTGTCAAATTGTAATATCCATCATCTTTTTTTTTTGTAGTGTGGGTGTGTGTCAGTGTCAGACCACATTTGTGTTTTTTTGGTGCTTTTTATGATTCTTTTTATTTCTTTTGGATGTAGGGAGATTTCTGGTTGTTTTTTCCTTTCCCCCCAATTTTTGCCAGCTGGTCCGCGATCTCATTTCCTTGTATCTGGCAGTGGTCCGGGATCCACTGCAGCAAAATCATGCTGCAGGTATTTTTTAGCCTTTTAAGTGCCGTACTGAGTGATTGAGTATAGGATTCTGCTTTTTGGACGATTTTTACCTCCTCCATTCCCATCGTCACACGTCGTTTTAAATTTAGAACATAGATCTATATCTAAACTCATGACATTGAAGCTTTTCTATGCTACTACAATATTTACACTATTATGCTAATGATAGCCCGTAACAAAAAGATCTGTTCTATGAAAAAGTGCATACAAAGATTACAATTCGCTTTAAAATTATCGTCTTTCGGCTAGCTTTATAATTTTATTTACATATACATATTACAACAGCAAACAAGCTAGCAACAAAAATAATGTAACGTTCGACATGATAACTATTAATATATTTGACATTATATTCAGTTCCAGTGCCAAGCATTTTACCATGTACATTTAAAGGCCCTTCTAACATTTTTTGACGAATTTAAGTGCTGCTGGTATAAATTGTTTAGGCCCAAATAAAAATAATTTTAAAAAAAAAGTAGATTCCTCTATAGACCTAGCGAACCAATTTGTGCAGATGAAGTAGAGTTCATGTTTCTCGACCTCGGCTTATGAAGGGATAGTGTGGTCAGCACCAGTGGCGTAGCGAGGTCGGGTGTCACCCGGTGCGGCACTTAATGGTGTCACCCTCCCAGAGGCGTGGCGACCCTTCCCGGGGACAAACTTTCAAATTTTCGATTTGCACCCCCCCTCAAACTTTCAATTTGCACCCCCCCTCATACTTTTGATTTGCACCCCCCCCTCAAACTTTCGATTTGCACCCCCCTCAAGTTTTTCTCTATATATTTTGCTATTTTTTGCCTTGGTGTCACCCCCCTAAATGGTGTCACCCGGTGCGGTCCGCACCCCCTCCCCCCTCGCTACGCCCCTGGTCAGCACTATTACTATGCTATTTACTTTCCTTAACGTTAGTTAGGTACTAATAAGTGCTGGGTGGACTCAAATATTTTAATTTTTTTTTGTGTCAAAGTAAAATTGTTAATTATTTTGTGTGTGTTTTGTTTAGCAATTTAGCCTGACAAATTGTTACCACGTACAATTTCCGCTTTAAGGGGGGACAATAATGAAAATAAAGACAAGCAGAACATCTAGATTCTAGATCTATAATCTAGGTGTAACAAATTATTATTAACAATAGTAAAACTAGAGATAGAATCTAGGCTATAAATCTAGATCTATACAACTTTCAGTTACAGTCACAGTAACGTATTGACTTCTCACACAAGTTCTAATCTTAGATTTTAATTTTAGGGTTAGGGCTTTTTTTGGATTGAATTGTCTCAACTCTCAATCAAACAAAATCAAACAGTTACTTTTAGTGTCCGATAATCATAAATCTTCTTTAAAAAAGGGGTGCTGGGTTGGTTGTTAGTAGTATTGTATTCTAGACTAATTTTATGGTTAGAAATTACTAATTACTATAGTTACACTGTGACTATAGTAACTAGAGTTAGGCATATTGTAGGACCAGGGTTGGGGTTAGTTAGGGTTAGGGACAGGGTTAGCATTGACATTAGTCATTATCATTAGCCAGCAATGTGTGTATTTAGTTAACTACCAGTAACCTAACACCCCTTTTTTGAAGAAGATTCCATTATTGAACACTGGTTTAAACATTCTCCCTCTAGGCCTAACTAATTTTAAAAATAAATTAATAAATTACGAAGTGACTACTCGGAAGATTTTTCTCCCCAACGTCTCCACTTAGTCGGCAAAAGAAAGCTCTGTGCATGCGCAGTGACCTATGGCTAGGGTTAGGGCTAGAATTAAGTTAGGCTTAATAATCATTATCATAGTTTCAAGAGTAGTATAATAACATTTTTCATTGGCCAGCTAAACATTGTCAATAAGTTTTTTCAAAATTTTATTTCAGAATTAACTTTGTCAACCTCATTTAAAGCAAGCCTGTTGTCATTACCATTGAATTTTGGCATGTATGTTAAAAAAAGACGCATCTATATCAAGTTCGCATACTTTAAGTTGCAACAGCCAATACTACCAGTGATTTTGATTGTTGTACAGCTTTTACCAGCTATTACCGAGGCTAAGACTGTCAATGGAGTGTTTAATACTTTTTTGGCTCAAGCTGAGAAAGGGCAATATGTCACAACATTTGCTTTTCATGGTAAAATATTTGTTTAAAAATACCTTGTTTAGAAATTTGACCATGGTCTTAATACCAGCTTAAACGACACTTTTTATTTTTTCCAGGCCATGCTGTTTTAAACTTTACAGTAAACACAACAGGCACAGATTCAAAACTGTACCTTTTTCTATCAGATGATTGGAAAAATGCTGTCAGCGACACAAATTGTTATCGTAGGCTTAACAAAGCTAGGACTATAAGTATGTAAAAGTTAAGTCTTCAATAAATCCCTAAATACACCTTTTCATAGGTTTAAGTTTTTATGTAAAATAATTTTCCATGATGTGAGAACTTTAATAATATTTTGAACTTACTTCAGTTTAAATCTATATTTGTCACATTATTTTTATTGCTCTAATGGAATGTTAAATGGATTTTATATGATGAATTTTATATGATTCTTAATAATTTTTGTTAACATCTTTTTGTCTTCAAACGAATTTGTAAATTTACAGTGAGTATCAATCAAACAGTAGGGACTCGTCTTATCTCCCAGTTTGTCAACCCACGAATATGGCACATTGTTTATGCTGATATTTATACATGTGAACCAAACCGTCCGAACCAACCCTTGGAAACCCCTAATGTGATACAGTATACCATTCAATTGTTTAACCCTGATTCCTTAGGGAACCCAACTGAACACTTTAGTGACCAAGAAACTGGTAGGTTTCATTCATTTGGAATGTTTAAAATTTAAAGTTAGTAATGTGTATGAGAAGAATCAATTTTTATTGTGGAGTCAAATTTTACCTGATTAAATAATATTTGTGTAAAAAAATTTCTTGGAGAGAAAATAGATAAACACATTTAAAATTTTGATAGATTAATTATTAGTGAAAATCAATCCACAGGGCTTCTCAAGTTTTACCAGTTGCTGTCCCTGATTTATTTTGTTGTGGCTTGTATTGTGGCCCCACAGTTGTGGGACACCCTGAGTAAAGGGGGCCCCATGCAGCTTGTGATCCAACTACTCACCTTCTCAATGTTGTTACAGGCTATTGCAGCTTTTATTATCATTATACATTTCTACAGGCAAGTATTCTTGTGTTAACAATTAATGGTGGAGGATAAATTTTGGTTGAAAGGATGTTATTCTAATAAAATGTATATTTTTTATAGTTGATATAACTATAGCTTTTTTGTTCCACTCAGGTACTCCAAAGATGGTATAGGTTCACCTTTGATTGAGCTAATGTCAGAATGTAAGTCCATATTGCTGTTTAAAGAAATTTTTGAATCAGAAATATCCTGATTATGTGAGTTTGTTTAATCAGGAATATCCTGATTATGTGAGTTTGTGTAATCAAAATATCCTGATTATGTGAGTTTGTGTAATCAAAATATCCTGATTATGTGAGTTTGTGTAATCAAAATATCCTGATTATGTGAGTTTATTTAATCAGAATATCCTGATTATGTGAGTTTGTTTTATTTTCAACAAAATATTAGAGATTAGTGGATATCACTTTAGAAATACTTGACTTGACATACAAAAACAAAATAAACATGCTGGAAGATGAAATTTAACTAGAGATGAGTTACAAGATTTCAAGTATACCTGAATGTTTTTCATGTGCATAAAAAGACATGCTTAAGTATTGAATAATCTAGCACATTTAAAATTTACTTGAGATAGTTAAAAAAAATTCTGTTTTACTTCAGTTTTAGATATGTTGTCGCAGTTCACTATGCTCTTTATGCTGTTGAGCCTGTCACTTGGTTGGTCCTTGGCGTCAGCACACTCAGTCTGTCGGTATTTACATCTGCGCACCATCAGTCAAAACAACTCAGCTCGGGTGGTCTTTGTGCTTGGCTTAATGCAGGTTAGTTTTCTAGATCAATTTGGCTTAATGCAGGTTGGTTTTCTAGTTCAATTTGGCTTAATGCAGGTTGGTTTTCTAGTTCAATTTGGCATAGTACTGGTTGGTTTTCTAGTTCAATTTGGCATAGTACTGGTGGGTTTTCTAGTTCAATTTGGCATAGTACTGGTGGGTTTTCTAGTTCAATTTGGCATAGTACTGGTGGGTTTTCTAGTTCAATTTGGCATAGTACTGGTGGGTTTTCTAGTTCAATTTGGCATAGTACTGGAGGGTTTTCTAGTTCAATTTGGCATAGTACTGGAGGGTTTTCTAGTTCAATTTGGCATAGTACTGGTGGGTTTTCTAGTTCAATTTGGCATAGTACTGGTGGGTTTTCTAGTTCAATTTGGCATAGTACTGGTGGGTTTTCTAGTTCAATTTGGCATAGTACTGGTGGGTTTTCTAATTCAATTTGGTTTGATACTGGTGATTTTTCTAGTTAAAAAACTTTTGTTTAGATTGGATCTGTGTCATTAGTTTTCTTATTGTTTAAACATTTGTTAAGTCAAAATCTGTCATTGGTTTTCTTTTCTTCTTAAAAATAAAAAAAATTCATTTTGTTATATTAGAATCTATATTGTTAGAAACATGTCAGTATTGTAATCTCGTCTTAAATTAATATAGTATTCTTTATATAGAAAATATTTAGTAAAATGTAAATTAAATTTCAACTGCTATTTTGATTTAGGGTTTACTTTTTATGTGGGAGCAAAGTCAGGACCAGAGTAAAAGAATGTATCACGCCCAGCGCAGTTACCCAGGGATAGCACTTGTTATATTACGTATTCTTTTAGCTGGCGTGTTTGCTTTCAAATTAAGGCGCTTGATAGCCTCAGAGAGAAGCCACCTCAAACGCAAGTTTTATAGTTCATTTACTAAGGTGGGTTTTCATTGTTTTTGTTTTCCTCTGCCAATAGTGTTAAGCAATTTGAGCCTAACACTTGTAGTTTTTGTTGTAAGGTTGACGACTAACAATACTTTAATGTCATTTTTTTCTTTCTTGTAGATGTGCATGCTGTGGTTTCTTTGTTATCCAATTATCGTTTTCGCTACTCTAATTTTTCCTGAATATTTGCGGTACAAGGTAAGTGTAGCATTCTATCTATTTAATTTTAACTTTAAATTTTCGATAATTATATTTAGATATATATATATATATATATATATATATATATTAATAAGTTGATTTTATGATATAATTTCTCAGTAATTTTTTAATATTGCTTAAAATAGTTTCTATTACAAAGAATTGAGTTTTGATTGCAGACAATTTTTTTCTGCAGCTTATTACCATGGGAGTATTGATTTGTCAATCCGTGGCTGGCGTTTTACTCTACCGCCTCTTCCTGTCTCGAAGCTTATATTGGGAAGTCTCGGCCTTGTCTAGTTCTCTCCCTTTTAGGTTTGGTCCAAAACTGGATCTGAAATTTTATTCCTGACCTCACATTTTTTGGTAGTTGTGAATTAAGTATTCAGGTTTAACAATTTAATTAGAACTCCTCTGAAATTAAAAGTAGATATGTCATACAAAGTTCATAAAGTAGATATGTCAGCAGTATTTTTGTGACATACATGATATTCTGTACATTTGTCTTAGCATGCAACAAAAGATATACCAGATACATTTATATGAACAATAAGGGATAAAAATTATTGCAGTTTATATTATTGTAAAAATAAAGTCAATTTAAAATATTTTGTAGTAATGTTTGTCACTTTTATTTTAACTTTTGAGACGTATTTTTATGAAGTTTTGAAATAACTATATTAAATGGGCATTTTAAATTTAAAATTACATTATATGGTTACTACAAATGATGGGAGGTTAATACATTTTGTTTTTTCAGGATACAATACTATTTTAGCTCTCTATGTAATACTGTCACATTTATGTAGATGAAATTGTCATGAATAGGCATTTCTTACTCACAGTTTGAAATGTTATTGCTTTATAAGATTCTGTGAATCTCGTTTTTATTTTTGATATTTCTGTTGACAGAAACATGTAAATTTTTTAATGAAATGGTTTTTGTATATTATCTTTATTGAAGCGTTTTAAAACCCAAGGGGTTTAAATACCTCGTGTCTACAACCAATGGGATCTGGTCTCGTAAAAATTTGGGCACTGAAAGAAACTGCTAAAATATTCGGAATGTCATATCAATGGGTAGTGGACTTTAAAATTTTTTAAAATTAGTATTTTGCTTGATTACTTCCCTTGCATCCCTTCTGTGAGTGATGTAATGGAACTCAGTAGAGGTAGAATTTACACACGATTTTAAAACTAGAATAATTCAATTTGTAGACAAAACTTGGTGTAACACAAACATCAACTGCAGCTTCAGTACTTTGATAATCATTTAATTTGTATAACAAATACTCTGTGTAAACTGTGAGCAAAATCATAGCTGTCAATGTTATATGCTATGTCAGCTATGTCGCTGAAGTTTTATATATTACAATATGTATTAAAATCTAACATTATAAAGAAATTTTATGAATTGAAGAAGTATAATGTTATGATATAAAATTGTTTAAAAATGGCAAACTTGAATCTCAGTATAACCTGTATGTTTGCTGTTTAAGTTTGTGTTATATTGCATTATATGATTTCATATATTGGTCTGTTTTTGTAACAAATTTAAGTTTTACTTATAAAAAAATATAACTATTTTAAAAACTTGCACAATTTAAGGTTATGGTTGTTAACATATAGGCCAATAATTCTTCTTCTTGAACTCTGTGGTAATAATTTTTGTTTCTGTTGTCTGAAACTTCTGCCTTTAAAAATGTTTGAAAACTCTGACAACTAACTTAATACTTTAATTGTGTTCAATATTTCCAATGACTAATTCATAAATGGAGCTGTTTTGTATATTTTTTGCTTTTTAAAAAAATACAATTTTTGATTTGTTTTCATTGTATTTTAAACTTAAGACGACAGCATTTTTTTATTCTTCAACAAACCAAATATTGAAGTAACATTATTTATAATTATGATTATTTAAAAAATATATGAGCTTGAATGTTCTTCCATTAGACTATCTGATCTAAAAAATTTTGTAGTAAAAAATATCTTATAAATACTAAAACACCTATTTATAACTAAACTGCACTATGTTCTCTAGCTAAATAATAAAGACATTTATATTTTTACAAATGTTGCAGTCATCTAATGAATAACTTTGTTTTCCCCTCTTTGAAAGTGCCTTTTAGTGTTGTGTTAAATACATATTAAGCTTTAAAAGCACAGCTTGGTTTCATTGTCTACTAACAATATGTTTGATGTGGATAAATGTTATCTTTAAGTATGGTAAACACGAACTGGTTAGTGATGTTAGTGAGGTAAATATGAACTTAACATTGTCTGTTAGTTTACACAGCATATATGACTAGCTGGGTATAGCTGTCTACAAAAGTACTAGCTCGTCCTTGTATGACTGCCTTGTATCATCTGTGTCCTGTCGTCCTATTTGTATTCTTGTCCTATAAAGTATGTCCTCATGTCCCATGAAACTATTTTACTGCATGTGTTGTCATACCCTATGAAATTATTTTTCTTGTTCAATGTTATAAAAATATATTAAACTTGAGTTATGTTAAAGATGATTTTACCTGCTGTTTGATTATTATTTACATTTGCACATCTTTCCTTTATGCCCCAATTAGACCTGACTTGTCAGCATGACTTCCTGTCAATCACAACTAAAGGTAGGTCACCCTGACTTAGCCATCCACAGAAATAGATTTTATCTGGCTTCCATTTAAGGCTGTTGATTGAGCGCCCTACTGGGGCCTAGAGAAAAAAATAAAAAGATCTTTTGAGCTGATTTGTTGGATTATACAGATAAGAAACTTGGCATATGCTGATACTATCTACATCAGTTTTAAAGCTGGGAAATACATAACGTTTATGGTTACCAGTATACCCCCCCCCCCCCCTCCTACAAAGTCGGAAGTATTTTTACCCGATTTTCATGAGAGAAAAGCTTTCAAACAAAACGGACAAGCAATGTTTACACGTATGGAGTGAGCTGTTCTCATTCACTGTCAGTTACTGATGCAATGGTTAGAAATGACGGAAGTAATTCCAAGTAAGTATTTTGTATTTTTACTGAAGTTATTAAAGATTATTACTTGATTGATGTAGATATTTTCTATATTAATTATTTACGGCGACGTTCAGACAATCTGAAGTGGTTTTCTCGACCAGTAAAACAGCCTATAACAAAAGCGGGTGGGTGGGCCTGTTTAGCCACAATGTTAAGAATCAAGAAAAAAATATCCCAAAGATTTCTATTTACAAACGTATACAAATTATGATCATTTAAGAAAACACGGCACGTTTTACCAATTGTCAGAAAACCATGACAAACAACAGGACAACTTGCCGCTGTAGAACCAATCAGGAAAAGAAGATGGGGTTGGATAGGACACACGTCATCAGACCATCAACCAATATCACTATTATCACCAGGTAGTTATTGTGGTGGGGCCCTCATGGAAAGTGCATAACAGGTTGGCAAAAAACACTTGGCGACGGGACATTTAGGCTGAAACCATAAAGATGGGCTTCACCTGGGTCAGGTTGAGAAGATGGCACAAGACAGAGGACCCTGGAGATCTATGATTGGCGGCCCTTACCCCAGCAGGGGGGGGGGGGGGGGCAGTGATGATGCGCCAGATGCCCACTAGAATATAGGATTGTTTGGAATAGTTTAAAAAAATAATTTTACAACAAAAAAAAAATTCATAAAAAACTTTTTAATAACAAGCTTTTATGTAATGATGCACTACAAAGTAGAAAATAAATTATACACTACTATTTAAATTACTATAAAGAAAAGCGTGGGTCACTTTAGTACCTATTGGATACCTTTACTAATATTTGAGAAGAGACCCACGCTTTTCTTTATAGTAATTTAAATAGTAGTGTATAATTTATTTTCTACTTTTTAGTGCATCATTACATAAAAGCTTGTTATTAAAACGTTTTTTATGAATTTTTACTTTCTCGTATATACGAAGTATAGAGAAAATCTTGTAATCGTGCAAAAAAAAAAAAAAAAAAATCGAGATTTTTACAAATCTCGACGTTTTACACATCACCGATACGGAAAAACATAATTTTGCAATCTTGTCCGTATGTCTGTGTGTCTGTCTCTATGTGTGTGTGTCCGTGTGTAAACACGATTACTTGAGTACCGTTACAGCTAGGTTGATGAAATTTCATATAAAAGTATTTTATCAAAATCGTAGATCCGTATCAACTTTTGAGCGATTTCCGATAACCGGAAATGGTACTTTTCCTACTTTGAATTTTTCAAAAGCCTATAACTTGAGTACTATTTCAGATAGATAAATGAAATTTTACAGGTAAGTAAAAATTCTAATTCTCTACCTTCTGTTAAATTTTGAGTAATTTCCGTTGACCGGAAGTAGTAATTTACGCTACTTCCGATTTCTCAAAAAACTAATGTCAATTTTTAAAGTACTAATAATATTGCGCACTATTATGCACTTTTTTATTTGGCGTTCACTTGGTGTGCAATTCTTTTGTCTACGAGATTTTATTCTATTTTTAAAACTTTAAGTATTTAAAATGGATTAAAAATCATGTCTATAGCCCGAGTTCCCATCCCCTGTTATTTTATATAAGAATATTCGAGAAAGTTTAGGGGAGATCACTCCCGGTTTATTTTTTCAGTACTTTACATGTTTTATTTACAATAGTGTTACATGACTAAAAACCATTGCGCGTCTATTGAACGTGATGGCGCAGCTATTAAACCTGATGGCGCAGCTATTGAACGCGATGACGCGTGTGGTGTGGTTGGATAGACATGCCTACTAATTTGGTCCAAATTTTAATTAATTCATAAAAAATTAATTAGGCATCCAATTAAGTCAAATTTAGTTTCAGACTGCATTGTCTTCATGTCTTGACCCACGTGCCAACTTTGAATCGTATCGGTCAAGTAGAACTGTCCGAATTTTCCCTCCTGCGTTTCGATCTAGACTGACGACAGACCGACGACAGAGGAAGTGAGTTAAATAAAAGCTTGTAAAAAGGCGATTCTTATGAAAAACGAACAGCCTTTATTCATTTATTTTATTCAATAACGGTAACAACAGTAGGAACGGAGGCCTTTTTCACATTTTTCAATACCAGTTTCCGGTTAAATAGTTCCCATCTGATGTAGGCATATACCTGAAAGTAATGACCAAATCACACAGCACACAAAGATTTCAGCATTCGAATGCTTTTTCCGCAACATGCCCCCACACCCAAATGTAGGCAGAGATTACTCAAGCTAATGCCGTTAACAACACCAGTTACAGCCCCTGACCACGGCACAAGCAAACGACTGCTATTATTTTGACTGCCTCAGACTTTTCCGGACACACTAGTAACCCAAAGGTATGATATATGATAGATTGTTTCAAAAATACAATATAAAAACCGACCACCTCATTTTCGACATTATATTTTGAGGCAAAAGATAATTTAATATGGGGATGACATCTGAAATATTCAGGGGCGCACAATTGATAGTTCGCCTAGGGCGCCGTAAAAGGTCGCCACGCCTCTGTCCATTTTCGAAATGTTTATTGTTAGTATCGATTACGATGTTCCTATCTCGTGGGTTAAAGTATCGCTATCTCCGATACCATCTACGTCTGAATATCTAATCGATACAAATTGACAACAGTTGGTCAGTCCGCGTGAGTTGCAGACGGACCATCATCGTCGGTAAATACCATCTAATTGAACTCTTATACCGCCCGAGTGAGCTTAGCATTCCAAAGCTGTGAAAACAACGCTGAAGAGCTCTTGTTGTCACTTTATTACTTCCGCTTCTTTCAGCGCGAGACACATTTCTGACGATTTCATTAGCCATCTTATATGGTGATTTTCTTTTGAGAAGATTTTCTTTCGACTCTGTTTCTTGGTCGTTGGTAGTTGGCGTCTGTGTGTTAAGGGTGTCTGTGGATTGTCTGTGCGTGTTGCTGCTGATGTAGCCTACTGAAAAGCAGTGTTTCTTCCAGACTTTTTTCTCCGGGGGGGGGTGGACCACTTGATATTTTTTTTGGGGAGGGGGGGATGGAGGGGAGGTGTGGTGGACACTATTAAAAGTATGAGTTTTCCATATAATTTACATTTAGTTTGGGAGGGGGGGGGGGGCGGTAGGCTTTCTTTGGAGGTGGGGGTGGGTGGAAAAGGGGGAGATGCCTGGAAGAAACTCTGCTAAAGACGCTATTGTTTATATTTTTAATAATATGGTAATGATGTACAGCGTTTCTTTCCACCTTTTTTTTTTGCTCCGGTGGGAGGGCACTTGGATTAATTATTTTTTTTGGAAGAAGGACGTGCTTAAAATTGAAACAAACTCAGTATTTGTGTCACGTTTATATTGAAACAAACTATGTATTTATGTCACGTTTATATTGAAACAAACTCAGTATTTGTGTCAAGTTTATATTGAAACAAACTCAGTATTTGTGTCACGTTTATAATATGGGCATAGGTGGAG